CGAACATGATCAGAACAGACTTAAACTTTCCGATAGGGAATGTAATCAGATACAGCCTTTTACACGGATATTATTCTTCTATTTAACAGATTATTTACAGGATTACCCACCTCGTTCAGGTGGGCAGAGATCTATCACACATTAGTGATGGTTAGGTATGGGCAGTGTTTTCCAGCCCTGGTCCTGTAGTAACCCTGTCCTTTTTCCCTCACTGTTATTCGAATAAGGTGTGTCTTTAAGCATGAAATACACCAAACTATGCAGGACAGGGTACTCCAGGACCATGGTTGGGGACCACTGGGTGATCTACCACCTCTATCTGCACTGTAAATCTTCATCTACACTGAAAAAAATATTTCTGAGTCAATCAGATAATCATAAATATTGTAAATATGTAAACCTGTAAAATTGCTTTTTATGATATATAGATTGTTGTAAGAATTTTTTAAATTATTTACCTACAGTGCTGTGCAAAAGTCAAAGACTCCCAGCACGTATCGGTCTACTGGCTTGATAAGGTCAGCAGCTCACTGACTGACTGCCACTGCTGGTCCACCCTCAGACCATCCAGATTATTGTTCTTTTTAAGCTCCTCAACAGATTTTAAATGCACAGAGCCTTTTATTTTAGAAAATAAACTAAGACAAATATTAAAAATAACTGAGAGAGGAAAAAATTATGACTAGGCCTGATATAAAATGATTTTATAGAAAATGTTGCTGACACTGTGTAGATTAAAATTAGTTACTAAACTAATTTACAAAGTATAAGTTAAGAAAGGAAGGAAGGAAAAATAAGTAAATTGGACTGTGAGTGGAAAATGAGTGATGATAAGTGGAATCTTGTCTAATACTCTGCTTAAACACTGGTGGGCCTCCCAGAGCAAAATGCCAGTGGCCCACTATCCTCTTGCTTTCAGGGCTCTTGCACAAGTAATCCCAAACACATTCAGTGATTAATGTACGATGAATAACTCAAACTTAATTGCCATTTTCGCTTCAAATTAAATAAATGAAGGATGTTTTAATCACTTGATTTTCAGTAAAATGGCCATTAAGTATGCTATTCATTGTACAGCATTCATTAGATGTGTTTAGGATAAACCAACATCTAAGACTGAACTTTGCAGGTGTGGAAAATATCCCTGCAGATTTCTTTGAAAAGCTGAAAGTTAAATTATGTTTGGTTGTTGAGGCTTCTGTGTAATTTTATGTTAAATATGCATTTCTGCTTTTTTCTCTGAAGCTTATTTCTCAAACTTGTACTTCCGCTTTAAGGCCGTTAAGTAAATGAAGTCTCTGACTTTTATTCAGTTCTGTATTTCTAGTAAAACTGTCTTAACCCAGCAGAAAATGTCTAGGAATGTGTTGAAGTTTGAATATTTTTTTAATATTCTTAAAACAGCCTCATAGTGATATATATTATATGTATTGACCAGATTTAAGACGGCTTCACCTGTCATTTGTTGCAGTGTAAGGCCATGGTTCTCAGTCTTGGTCATATGGTCAGCCAGTCCAGCGATTAAGAAGAGCCTAAGTGGTCAACCAAGTCAAAACAGCTCATTATAGTTCCACTAAAACTTCTGTCTTGAAGGTTTGACTACAGAACAGAGCAGGAAGTTCTGATTTTGATGAAGAGATTGAGGTAGTGGCGCCATCTAGGGTAGCTTCTGAGTACATGTCCCTATTTCTGAGTCTCTGTGGCACAATGTTGCCTCAGGGTAACAAACCCATTGTAATCAACTTCCAAGAGCACGACACATATTAAATGACACTGAAAGGTTAATATTAAAAGAGGAGAATAACAAACTATAAAAAAGCTTGTACTTGGTCAGATTTTCTCCTGAAGTGCAATTATAAACCTCTTTTTGTGCAGCTTGCGAATGTGTGTATGTGTGTATGTTTCTGCACCAGATCCAATCGAAAAATATTGTTTATCTGTGGAATGTAAAGTTTTTTTTAACTTTCAATATCATATAAACAATGTTTATGTTTTGAGGAATTGCTTATATATGTACGTTGAGATTACATTTTACACTTTTTACATTATACATTCTTTCTATTGTCACACAGTGTTGCCTCAAGGCAACATATCCTACAAAGACCCTCACACACATTAAAGGTTTGGATTTTAAGGTCCAATTTATGCAAGAAAAGTGCAGAGCCCTGTTGGTGACATCCGGTATAAATAAAAATAAAGCGTGGGAATGAAATAGTTCCCACACCTTACTAAGGCATGTTATCTTATTCCCATGCTCACTAAGCCATGCATTCATTTTATGTATACCAGATGTCACCAGCGGGGCTCTGTAGAAAAGTGAATCAGACTTTAAAATAAACTTGTAATGTGTGCAATAGAGGGTCAAGGAGTTCCTCTTGGTTGTGATGTCATATCCATGACCATGTTTCATAAAACCATTTAAACCTCCCGCAGTGATTAAGTGATGTACGTTGTCCATATTCAGTTTCTTAGAGTAACGTTTGCATTGCAGCATCTCTGCACACACACAATTCCAGCACCCGGCAGTCAGCACCCATTGGTGGCTCCCATTCCTCCTCAACTTTAAAGGTCAATTCCACTGATATGTCTAAATTTTGCATAATTAAATAATTAAATAAACAGAGTCATTTACAGTGGTTTGAAGTGAAATGCGCCACTCAGAATTGTTCACAATGGTGCTGATAAGAACCAAACATCTGAAGAGTTCAATGCCTCTAAAAGCTCCCTCAATGAAAGTTATGACAAGAAATAAATTATATGGCCAAAGGTATGCAGTCTCCATAGACAAACTGATTTCTGGGCTGCTAAATCTGCCCTATTCAAGCGTAAGTGCTATAATTGTGAAATGGAAGCATCTAGTAAAGGGGTCTGCAATATGCGGATCTTTTACTGCCCTGTTGCGGCTCCAGAATTAGATTTGTACATAAAAATAAAATAATCCTCCTTTACAGTAAAATAAAGCTCTGCTGATCGTTCAACACAGTTTAACAATAAATGGTCTTAAACTCTGGAGTTAATGTAGAACTGCTAATTCACCCTTTAACCCTGAAGATCAGCGCAGACTGCTGGTCACCTTAGCAACACAGACAACAATCTCGCCCAGCTGGTAGCTAACGAAACGGCAAAGAGACAGATAATTTGGAGACGAATGGACTTACTTGCGTTTATAATCACTCCAGCTGGTTTCCTGATATGTTTAATCTGCATTGAGAAACTGTCAAACATTCGACAGTTTCTCATTCGCCAGCTTCTTGTTCGAATTTTCCCGTTCCACCTTAAATAGTGCCTGAGGCACCAGAATGTAACTGCTGCACCATTTAAGGTGGAACGGGAAAATTCGAACAAGAAGCTGGCGAATGAGAAGCGACTTCAGAAGCGTAAAAAGTTGACCACTAAGAGACGTTTTACAAGAAACTGTTCTACTTTTGCGGAAAAGTTTCCTGCCGGAGATGCGAGAAAAGCGGCTATAGCTGAGCTAAAGCTAAAGCAGAGAAAAGTAAGTCTGTGTTTTCGTCTATATGGGTTTATGGGTATATGGGTTTCCATGGCTGAGCAGCTGCACACAAGGCTAAGATCACTATGCAATGCCAAGCACTGGCCGGAGTCCCCAACTGGACTTCAGTGAAATGCATGCTCTGGCAATCTGATGGACGAATCTGGGTTTGGCAGAAGCCTACCTACTGAAATACATGGTGGAGGAGGGATAATGGGCTGGGGCTGTTTTTCAGGGTTTGGGCCCCTTAGTTCCAGGGAAGATTGAGGTGAATGCTGCAGGATACAAATACCTTTTAGACATATAATTAAACACTTTTAACTTTATGGCAGCAGTTTGGGGACGACCCTTCCCTGTTCCAGCACGACTGTGCCAAAGCGAGCTCCATTAAAGACATGGTTTGTGAGTTCGGTGTGGAGGAACTCCAGTGGCCAGCTCAGAGCACCGTCAACCTTACTAAACACCTTTATAATTTTATCATCAACATTACATATTAAAATAAAACAAGATGTGTAGATTCACTTGAAGAGTTCAAGTCAATGTTTATTGTCAGATAAATTAAGTGGCACCAATGAAGCGGTTCTTGCGTGCAAGTGCACATGGCTGTTTGGCTTACAGAGTGCAGACAATCATAAACAAGACGTATGAAGAAATAGCCATGATGAGGTACTTAAAGTGTTGTGACCAAGGACTAGAACTAGTACCATGTTTTTAATTCTGACAGTGTTGGTCAGTGCTGAGCCCCAAATCAACCCATTATTGTGCAGATTATATTGTTTTTTTAACTTAATAAATATAATCTACCATACTAACTTTTTTTAAATCCCACTGCATGACGTGACACAACTGAACAATCTGATTGGTTACCGCTCAGCTCATTTGCATAAAGTTTGTCCAGAACGTAGGAGTGAGCAATATGACAACATTTTATCATTATGGTGATAAATTACGTCACAATATGCTTCTCTGAGTATATCATCAGTACTTTAAGACACTAGCTACATACTTAATCACAAAGTGACCATAATTAGGCCTGTTTAATTGGATTTAGTGCAGTGCAGCTAATTATTATTATTATTATTATTATTATCATAACATTATTTCTATGTGGCACTATTTTGTCTGTTCCAACATATTAAATCTCAGAAACATAAATATCGTGATGCATATTGGTTATCGTGAAATTGTCTTGAAGTATCATGATATAATATTTTTGCCTTGCCACTACTGGAATGAGAGAGCAGAGTGGGAATGATGTCTGATGTCGTTCATATTACATACATGCTGCTTAAAATGTCATCGCCCCCAACTTAGAACACTTCCCACATCCCTGTTGCTTAGCACCTAGGTTTACGGCACCGACAGTAACTGTGCATTTGAGAAAGCAATGCAGTATTTAAAAATAAATATCATAAATTATATTATTGTCTAGGTAATACTCCTTCACGGCCATTTTTCCCCAATTTAGTCGTCTCCAATTCCACCCACTAGTTAGCCATTTCTAGTCCCTGGTACTACATGGCAATAAATACTGTTCAGGTTTAAAATGTTTACAGTACAAAAACATGTGTTTATTTATGTATTTGTGCACACAAATGTATATAAAGGCAGTTTGAATGTGTTCCCCATCCTCTGTCTGAAATGATGATGACCTCAGTGCCATGGTGGATTTATGCTCTCTGGTTTTTGTGCGGATTGGCTTCTGGGGTGCTGAAGCGCACCCGTCAGTCGAGCATGGGAATGCTTTAGAAGTCCGGCCTGTCCTTCTTCAGTTTGGAGTAGTCCATATTGACCGAGAAGAGCTGCGGAGAGGAAAAGACACGCTTAACATCGTAACAATGGAAGAATGCTTTTTTGTGTTGTGCGATATAGAACCCTTTTTAAAAAGGTTCTACATAGAACCATCTACAGCACATTCTTAAGAACTCACGCAGAGGGTTCTCTGAGTGTTCATGGTTTTATATAGAACCTTTTTCATTACTAAAGAACCATTGAAGAACCGTCTTCTTTACGAGTGAAGAAGTGAATTTCTTCTATGTCAAAACCTTAAACACCCGGGAGACGGCGATGTGTTAAAGCAACCTACACACTTAAAAATGATGGTTCTCCAAGGGTTCTTTAGAAAGAAAATGGTTCTATATAGCACCAGGAACACTCAAAGAACGCTTTGCATGATTAAAGGGTTGTTCGCATGGTGAAATTGTTCTTCAGTTTGATGGAGAATGTGCTGTAGATGGTTCTATATAGAACCATCTACAGTACATTCATACAGAAAGAACTGTTTCACAATGCAAAAAACCCTTTAAACATGCAAATGTTTACATAGAACCATGTTCTTTACTAAAGAACCCTTAAAGAACCATCATTTTTGAATGTGTAGCTGAACATCGCTTACTGTTGCGCTAATGTAGCACTGCAAGACTCATCAGAAGAGAACCTGGTCAGCAATTTACACCTCTGACAAAATTGTCAGCATATTACTAAAAGACCTTCTAGAACTCTTCTTTTTGGAAAATAAACACAGAACTAATTAGTCATTTCGGAAAATAAACTAACAAACTAACTAACTGCTGTTGTGCTCAAAAAAATTATAATTTATGCCGTTATCCTCAAATTTACATTTTACACTTTGATTTTTGACCCCAGCAAATTAATCATCTGGGAATTAGAAAAATTCTGGTGGGAATTCTGTTTTCCCCTCCCCCCATGTGGTGGGAACTACCCATGGTTCTTACACTACTACAAGTGTGGTTATGTTAGACAAGGGCCTTAAATTAGACAGCCAGTTTTCTGAAGATTGGAAAATTCATGGTGACCTCAATATCATCAAAACAACCAAAACAAACGTGTGTGAAATGTTAATTTCTTAAATTTTATAGAGCTAAAACCGCCTCAAACTGACCCCAAAGGACACAAAATCTGTTTAGAACACAAAATTTGTACAGGATACTGAAAGCATATCATCATGTTTTCCCCATTAAACTAGGAAAAGTCATTAAATATAAGCAAAAAATGACGTCAATCATTCATTTAGAGACGTTAAACACTTAATGGAAAGACAACAGGAGGGTTAAAAACGAGAACCCTGACCGATTCTGAGTGGAGATCTGATCCCAGCTGTGTTTCTACTCTGATGTGCTTTATGTGCTTGATGCATGATGCAGTCTCAGGCTGAACTTAAGGCTGAAGTCCTTTGGATTCAGCCTTCATTCACCCTCAGCCTTTTAACCAGTGAATGTATAATTTCTGCTTGTCCGAGTAAACGGTCCTCCTCACCTTGTACTGGTCATTGGGGCCCAGTTTGTTCCAGGGCTCTGGGTTGTTGGTGCGATCCCATCTGTTAATGGTTGAAATGAAAGTGAAAATGCAGCGATATGAAATCTGTGATATAAAACATGATATTACTGGATATAAAACAGAGTTAGCACTCACGAGCACTCCGGGTTCTTCAGAGCCAGACGGCAAAGATAGAGCGCAGACATGGTCGCTCCACCACCGATGAACACGAACAGAGGGATCAGCTAGAGAGAGAGAGGAACAGAAGAGTTCACTTTCAGACTTTTGGAGGCAAAAAGAAACTAAAATGAATCTTTTATTGCACTGAAAATTAGTTTACGTAAAAGAGATACTGTTGAATAATTTGATATGTCATATATTTATTAAGTGATTTTTGGGAAGATAATGGACAAATAACTTGAGATGTCAAGGAAACAACATTCATCAAGAAAGCAAATGAAATTTTTTTGGCCGGCCTCACAGCAGCCAAAAAGACAATACTGAAAATATGGTTTGAACCCTCCGTTCCTATGCATCTTGTTTGGCTTACTTATTTTCGGGACTTCGCTCTTTTGGAATGTACAACAGCCAGGATAAATAAGGCCAAAATAAGAACAATTGTGTCCTGGTCAAATACTGAGAAAGAGTTGTTAAAAGCAACCTTTTCTAACTGATATGAGGGTGTAAACTTCAGTATACTGAGTTTATTCATTTATCTATTTAGGTATTCATTTGTTTATATATCTTTTGCTTTGGTGTGTATGTCTTTTCCTCTTGTGTGGTTCTGCCACTGACCATCACTGCTGTCATCGTCAGTGTTGTTACTTTGATGTCTAGCGATGATTGTTGACTCCGTACTATGTTGTGGGAACATAGTTCTCGTGTTTTTTTTTGTTGTTTGTTTGTTTTTTTGTTTGTGAATAAAATATTGATCACAAAGAAAGCCAATGAAAATAGCTTCTTATCCCAAAGAAATGGAGTTAAAAACGTGAATGCACAACAGTTAGGGCTGTTCTATTCCAGAATTTGGGACATGATTCCGATTCCAGTTGCAAATAATGGGGATCAATGGAGTCGATTCCACATTTTCTTGATTCTCAATCGCAAACATAGAGGGAGATCTGGCAACATAATTACACAGCACAGTATTATGATAGATGATATGAATTATAAAGCATCAGACATATTAACTAAGGTGCTTTTTTCAGTTTTTGACAAAATGCCTGTTGTTCTTTATATTGTGTGTAAATTTCATGATGAATGGATCAAAAGAAACGGCCCCAAATGACTTTGAAAGACGTCTGGTTCCATTGACTTACATTAAAAGTAGAGTATGTTTTTTCCTTCTCCTGTAAAGTTACCATTTTGGAGATACGAGGTTTTGTTCCAGCAGTGATATATAATATGAATGAATGTAATACTTATAGTGGTGTACGTTTTGACATTAAGATGCCAGGATGTCCGTTTAATTATATGACCTATTTGACCTTAGCGAGTCCAGTTTTACTCAAAATATGAGGAGTCGAGTCCAAAGCTGTGGAGCTGACTCGATTACCAAATGCTTGTAATCAGAGAATCGACTTCCAGCTGTACAGCACATCTGGTATGGTAGCCCGGAGGACTGTAACTGACCGTAAGGATGTTTTAGACAGAGGATGCCATTGTAATATCACAGTCATTAAGTTGTCCTCAAAGGAGCCTGAAAAGCTTGACCACAACAAAATGTACCCAGAGGGTTTGTTCAGTATGTAGTGGACTCTTTTAATCCCCACCGCCTACACAGATATCTGTCTAAATAAGGAGCATTTCAGTCATGACGTCACCATAATAATCCACTGGGGTTGGACAGTGATTACACCACCAGTCGTTCCTGCCCTCTACATGTAGCCAGTGTTGGACGCTGGTCTGACCCTGCACTGTGGGACTGCTTTACAAATAAAGGCTATTTACAATGCTTTTGTGTCAGAGAGTCACACCTGCTGACTTCAAATGCTGCCTCTGTAAAAAAGCTCACTAGTTATTAAAGGGGAACTCCACCAATTTTTCAAAAATTCTACAAAATAAAATGGGTGAGATGTAAACAGTCATTCATAGTAGTTTGGTGTGAAATACGGTGTTCTAGAGAAACTAGAGAAACTAGAGGTTAGAGAACCAGCCTTGTGACCGGAAGGTTGGTGGTTTGATCCCCTGAGCCGACAGTACGTGACTGAAGTGCCCTGCTCCCTAGGCGACGTGGACAGGGCTGCCCACCACTCCAGGCAAAATGTGCTCACTGCCCACTAGTGTGTACGTGGTGTTCCACTGCACGGATGGGTTAAAATGCGGACGGGAATTTTCCGTGTTGTGAGACTAATAAGGGTCACTTAACTGACTTTACTAAGCTTACTGAGTGAGAATTGTTCACAATGGTGGTGATAGGAACCAGATGTCCACCTCTAAAAGCTCCCTCACAGAAAGTTATTATATGAAACAGTTAGCTATACCTATAGCCTGATGTCTAAGACACCCCTGCTGAAAAAGGACCATTAGAAACCCTTAGGCTTTGTTTTCTAATAGGAATTGACAATGGTTTTCCAATACAGACCACTACTTTCCTGTAGAACACCTTTAGATCCCATTAGGAAACCATCAAACACATTTAGAACCAGCCATTAGTCACCTCTTAAACCATTAGGATCCTTTACACTGTGATATCAACCCATTAAAAAAGCCAAAACACATTACAAAACCATCAGGAACCAAGAGAAACACTTAGTGGTTTCTATGGGTTTTTCAACAGGAATTGTTTTATGATGGTTTTTCGGAATCAGAATCAGGTCCACTGATGGCGGAGGGGTATGTGCAAGGTGCTGAAAGGCAAAATAGTCCCCAAAGAATACTTATTTTCTCAGATTTATGACTATTTTACCTTCATCAACATTCCATATAAACTCAGAAGACTCGTGTAGGTTCACTGGCGGTTTTGGATAGTAAATAAAATGGGTATATTTGTGTTGTACTCATGGTGACCCCTGGTTCCATTCATCACCACTGTGAAGAAAGAAATCTCTACAATGAACCATTTCACATCAAACCACTCTGAATGACTTACACGTTTACATCTCATGGGCTGAATTATTCAGAAATTTTGAAAAACTGGTGAAGCTCCCCTTTAAGACACATCCCGTTCTGCTGACTGCAGCTATGCAGTATGTATGTGCCCTGCTGCGCATGCGTATCAGCAGCAAAAACCCCAGGGTGTCTCTAGAGGACTTCTGAATCACGGGACGTTAGTAACGCACAGGAAATGAGTAAAGCAAGGCGGGCAGTGCGATTTCTCCTCAATGCCCTTGGGCTCGCTGTCCGGCCCCTGTAGTGGACGAAGGAAACGTGCCTGTTTGACCCCCATTCATGGAAGACTGCAGCACGTGACTCATCATCCTTACTGAATCTGAAAGGGCTGATCTGAAGGCACCGCGGGCCTGAGCTCAGCTTCTTATTCACATTTTCCCGTTTCACCTTAAATGGCCAACTGGCAGCTGGTAAGGTGGTAACTGGTAAGTGGCAACTGCTGCACCATTTAAGGTGGAACGGGTGAATTCGAACCAGAAGCTGGCGAATAGGAAGCCAACGCGTTCGGCAGGTTCCCAAACAATCGTGAAAGAGAAAACGATGAAAAAAAGACCTTAAATCAAATATAATAATTCATACAAACGGTGTCCAATCAGAAAATAGCCCAGCTTGAGATCAGACTGAACAGCGGGTACTTACAGCCGGGTGACTCCTGAGCTGCTTGGCCACGACGTTCAGCATCTTCAGTTTTCAGAGAAATATTATAAGATTATTTTTATTTTTACAAGTGTTAAATATATTATTATCAATATTCAGCGCTCGAGACCACGTTCCGATGCGCGCGCTCTGACAGAAGAGAGCGAGGAATCAGCTGAAGCGCCGCCCCGCTTCCGTTTTTAACCAATCGCAGAAGAGGAGGGGAGAAATCCGCACATTCCGGACAGCCCCGCCTCCCTGCGCTGTGATTGGCTAGTGGTTCATCCACACCCGCCCATCGTGAGCCAGGATTGGCTAATAGCTCATAAAAAAGATGGTTCTTCAAGTGTTCTTCAGTAAGGATGGTTATATATAGAACCACGACCACTCAGAGAACCATTTACATGATTAAAGAGTTCTCTGCATCGTGAAATGGTTCTTCAGATTAATGGAGAATGTGTTCTAAATGGCTCTATATTTTTGAAAAGGGTTCTTTATAGCACCCAAAAGGTTTCTTTTATCATGACGTCAAGCCTGTAAGAACAGAAGAACCCATTTGGGGCGGTATAGAACCATATAAACCACACTCGCCATTAACTGGAAGAACTCTTTCACTCTTTCTTCAAGGGCAAGATTAAAGGGTTGTTTGCATCATGAAAGGGTTCTTCAGATTGATGGAGAATGTACTGTAGATGGTTCTATATAGAACCTTGAAGGAATGTACTGCTGTGTAATGTGTTTAGTGCTGTGTTATGTCAGTATGTTCAGTACTGTGTGGGCCGGTACCGTGATTGTACTTAGAACATTCTGTTCTGCCTATTTTTGCTTGTGCCTACATGGTCACGTCTGTAACACCTGTCACTTGTCATGTATAGGCTGGGCCTAATCTCGGCGTCAGTCCATTGTTTTACGGTCTGGCTAGGTGACTGGTACCTGCGCGCAGTGAATAAACTTCAATTCTCCAGACGTACGGCTGGATCCCTGGTTTGGATTCTTCAACTTTTTAAAAAACAAACAAACAAAAAAGAAAACGGTTCTTCTATTGTTACCATGTCAAGCTTGGTTCTATATAGAACCATATACAGCCCATTCTTAAGAACTCTTTCATGATGCAAAAAAAAACCTTTAATCATGCAATGTCTTCTTTGAGTGTTCATGGTTCTATATAGATGGTTCTTGTGTGCAAGCAATCACAGGTGGCTTTGCCTAAAGGGTTCTAATAGGTTCTGTTCCATTGCTAGAGAAACAGCACTGTCTGATGAACCCTCTACTGCACACATTAGCACAGCAGTGTTTAAACAAACGTTTTCTCTTTTCTTGCATAAAATGGGACAAATAACTTTTTAAAAAACATTAAAAAAAAAATAATAGACCAGGTGTCCTGTCAGGGTTCCTTGACAACAATGTGCAACAACAAAAAGAAAGAGTTTTACAGGAAACTGGATATTTTCATCTAAAACATCTTTAAATACTAAAAAATTGCTAAAAAAAAAAAATAACAGGGGAATTATTTGATGCTATTTTCCAAGAAACCATGTTTACACAATAACAAAAACTTTTGTTTATATAATAATATTCCGAATCCTTAAACACCAAACAACCAAATAAAACCACAAATAAGATAAAACTATGCTAAAATTTTCAAATATTGGAAACTGACAATGATACTAGTAAAACATACACAGGACAACTGACTGGAGTCTCTAAACCTGCATAGACAGTGAATACTTTATAAGTTAAATGTCCAAAATAAGCAAAAAAAACAAAAACAAAATGATTCTAATTAAATTAAAAATAATTCTCATCAAAAAACTAAACAATAACTGCAACATTCTCTGACGTGGCAGCGCAAGTGACATCTTGCTTGCTACTGGCTAAATACATTACTCTGTTGCACAGTGTTGCTTCAACGCAACAAATATATTTCAGCAAATTATCATAACAATCATTTATAGGCTACTGATTATTAAAAAATGAACCTCACATTTACTGGATTTAAATTGTATGTAAATTTGATGTAAATTGTATTTTTGATGGATGAAAAATAACATTCATTTTCTGAGAAAGATTGTCTGGTGCAGTAAAGCGCATCATCCAAAAGGTGCTCTAGGTCAAAAACAGGCCTAAAGATGCCCACAGAGGGAGACTGTCATCAAGCACAAGCTTTTTTTTTTGGTTATTTGATTAGTAATCCTGTCAACATCACTAAATATGTATAATGTCATTGTAAAGTGAGCAAAACAAGTTATTTAAGGAAACAAGCAGGATACGACATGTTTGAATTCATTTATCAACTGATACAAACCAACAAAAATATATATAATGTTATCTTTTTATAGCAAGCAAGTTTCTGGACTTGGAACAAATCTTTCGTCAAGTTACAATAATGCAAGCAGCCAGACGCACAAGTCCTCGAAGAAACAAAAGAAATAAAAACATACAATAAAACTAGTTAAAAACTTAGAGACGACTTGCATTTCATTCTAAAACACACAAAAACTCCCAAGTGCAAGATTCTTGAGTAAGTGGAGAACTTGAATGATACATCACCGCTCACATCATATAGCTTATGTGGCTAACAGCTAACAATCCAACAACCAGCATAGCTGCTCTGTAATAACTATGTTCAAGTACAAACACAAAAATATGTTCAAGTGAGTATAAAAATAGGATCGGCATACCAAAGTATGCTGTGCAAACAATCATTAAACTAGAAAATGAAGATATCCTTGTTTCTCCAAGGCAACCAGCAGAGAAATAACAAGTTCAGTACCTCAAACAAACAAGGTCACTTTTCTAAGTGGTCTTCCAGAACTCCTGTGGTGAAGACACAAACACTTTCATCAAGCATAAACACCATTATGTGGCCTTTTGTGGTGACCAAAACTACTCTTAATCACCTTGTAAAGAAAATAAATCCCATATTTTGTATATTAATAGTAAAGAAATAAGCATGGTCTCCATGGAGGTTCAACAGGTCAGACGAGTTTTTCTTCCATTGACCTATTTCAGTCCGTGCATCTTCTCACAACAAACTCGAACGAAAATCCAGAAAAACTACCTACATTCAGTCTCATCTATTAACTTCATACGCATACGGTATTCAGTGGTCAAGAACTTTTCATATAAATAACTAACATCTCTGATTATTAAACTTCTGCTCCTAGATCCATTTATAATGAACTACCATCTGCAATTCCCTTATAATCACCTAATTACTTCTTAACAACTATACTACACGAAATAAATGTGATTTATAACTTACATTCAGCATATTTCAAGCATTTCTCCAGCACAGAATCATCAAAAGAGGCCTAACTGTCTTTCTGAAAGGACAAGGAGGTCACAGTTCGGGCATTCTGATTATCTACAACCCAAAACTCCATTTCCTCAATGTCGCAGATTAAAAAAAGGCCAAAAGATGGTAATCAAACTTTCCCCCTTTGCCTTTCATATCAGGGTGATCATTTCAGCTACAATTGCACTTAAAGCACAAGTCAAATCATCATCTTTCCATCCATTCCCTAAAAGTGTAAGACAAAATGTCTCTTGTGCAGGTGAACAGGCAAAACGTATGAAGGTGTAAGACACAAATCGGTCATCCTCCTTTTGCACTGTAATCTCTGCTTAACTGCTTCCGCTGCTGTCTGGTCAGGGGTTGAACGCTCAGAAGTTGACCATCAAGCATTTACAGACAACTGGTCAACACCCCACCACCCTCCCAAAAAACAAAAAAAACAGGTTCAGTTCTTCCTCTCTTCTTTTCCTCCTCAGACATTTCTTCTCTCTCAAAAAGCAAAACAAAACCAAAAAACTTTCTTCTCCGCATATAATCCACTGAGAGAAAAAAAGTCTGGAAAAATAAGGTTGCTGGTGGGTTTCAGAGTCTTTGGAGCATTTTAAGAGAGAATGAAAAGACGTTTGCTCTTTTCCTTCACTTATTCTTACATTGCTGTGGTTGCTGGCTCTAGGGGGCCCATGTACCCACTCATTGTTACCGCAGGACTCGGGGGCTGGCAGGCTCCACCCTGTCCCACCCAGCAGGACCCCGGAGACACAGACAGGCTCCGAAACAGGAAGTCCACAGAGGGTAGGAGGGGCTTCAGCAGACTGACAGGACAGAAGGCAGAGCCTCCATGGGGAGTGAAGTTCACCTTGTTAGGATCAGGGCAGAACGAGAGATTGGGCTGGTCCTTATATGGTGAGCTGGAGATAAAAAAAAAAGAGCTTGAATCAGTACATCAGAAAGCCACAGCCATGTTTTGCCATATCACTGCCATACACGGTAAAGTAATACTATAACACCTGTGCTGCCTGTCAAAAGTTTAGTCACGTAGCTTTCTTTTAAAATGCCAGTTTTGATACTGATCCTCAAATGTGTAAGACAGTAAAAATACCTGCAAATGTTTTAATCTTAAACTGTTAAAAGTTCATTCTGACCCAAAAGTGGCTTAATCACTTGAAAAGTTTGAGTGCTGGCATCGCAACAAGTGGATAAAATGTATGGCTTTTGGCTTTATTTCAAAAAGGTAAGTAATGTCACGTTCATAACATCGTCACAAATGTGTGTGTGTGTGTTATTGTTTGCCTCTAAATAAATCTGATTACACTTAACGTCAAGTTATCACTGAGTGTCCTTAAACGTTTGATGGGCAGTGGAAGTGTAGGGGTGTGTGTTTGTGTGTTTACAAGCCCACTCACATGTTCTCCTCACACACTCTGATTCTCTCACAGCCCTCCGGTGGCTCCCTCTGAAAACAGTAGCTCTTGTTGGGACGAGGTGAGGAGGACAGGAGGACAGAGGCATCAGCGTCACCACTCAGCAGAGGCGAAGGGCAAGATGGAAGAACGCTGCCAGACAAATCTGAGCACAAACATGTATGAAATGTGAGAAAAGACATAGTATTTTCTTCATAATCTAATATGTAGTGTTTTGGTGCAGTAATACTAAAATAAACAGTAAAAAAATACATATATGAGAGCAGTATAAAACAGTGTAGTGACAGAATAGTGTTGGTATGCATATCAGTTATGTGCTGCTGTTAGTGTTAGTTTTGAGGGGAATTCAGGATAAACTGATTCATTTACCAGTGTCCAGATCTGATAGGCACTGTGGAGAGGCACAGGGAGAAGAGGATGAGGATGTGGAGGGGTGTGGTGTGATGGAGGAAGGCTCGCTCTGAGAGCTGCTGCAGGAGCTAAGAGAGGGAACAGGAGCTCTGCGGCCATCAGGGATTTCTAGCAGCTGCAAAAATAAAAATAATAATTTCCATTAACAACAACCACAGTGACTTTGACAACATGCTGTTTCGATTGATGATGTCTTCTGGAGGTACAGACAGACACATGCAGAAGTCAAAGACCACTCTTTCATTTATCTCCTCTCCAGTCAAAACTGCCATCAAGTTTAAGTTGCTAATTATTTTCAATGTCACGAAAAAAAACATATTTAACAGAAAATTACACTTTAGGGGCATCAACAAAATCTATAGATTTATGTGTGTCCACTCTTGTATTACAGCTTCCACTCTTTTCAGGAGATTTTTCAGTTTTTCAAATTGGCAGGGACATTTTACCACTCCTCCAAAGCTCAGTCTTAGTGGTTGGTTGTATTATGTGCACACATGTATATGACTCATATGCTTTGTTCACATAGCAGGTAAAAGTGGCCCAAATCTTTTTCTTCATATGTGACACAGATGTGTATCTGTGTGTCAGTGTGAACAGATAAACACACTGAATCTGACATTTTCAATTCCAGTTTGAGATGCTTTCATATGTGGTACTGAAATCCGATCCATATCCGATATGCAGCAATATGACTCAGTCTGAACAGCCAGATCGGAATTCATGTGACTTTTACGTCAGTCCAACTCGTCATAATTTCCACTGCTGAGACCCCATAAACATTTGAACTGACGTTTTTGTACTAAACAATTAGAAGGTAGTTATCGCCACCGATCCGTGTTCGAAGAGATTTTGAAAAAAATGACCGAACGCGGCTGAAGGAGAACGAGGCTGCAGCATCAAAGAAAAGTCTGGAAGCAAAGTTTAAAGAGTCCGAGGATGCGAACCAAAGAATTGACCGTGTCTGAATAACGTGACCGTTTTACGGTGAGCTTGACCACATTCTGGGTGATGAGCCCAGCTGTCAGTCAGTGAAGCTGCATGATGGCTCTTGTGATGCTGGTGTAGATGAAGCTGAACCTCCGGGAGCGGACCTGCATTTGTTAGCAGTCATGATAGTTCACCTCTGGATGAGCCACATGAAGCAGAGTGAAGCATTGTCCTTATGCGCACGTGGGTCAGTTTAGGAGCTGATCTGCTCAGACTGATGTCGCATACAGATCACATTTAAAAGATAATGTCAACAGCCAAACCAAAAAATCGGATTTGGTAAGAAAATCAGATTTGGGACACTTTCACCTGCTGTGTGAATGTAGCCATATTTACCCCACCCTTAATTATTAAGCAGAAAGACATTAATTATACGTTTAAACTGTTAACACCCTGTTGTGTTAGATTTTAGAAGAGATTTGTGTATATGTGTACCTTGCTGTGCTGACTGGGCGACTGACGTCTGAAGGCTCTCTCTAGTTCTTGGTCCAGTCTCTCCTCACTCTGCCGCATAGGAGAGGGCAGATGAGTCAAAGATGTCAGCGGGATGGGCACAGGCTGGGACTGTCCAGACACAAAAAACAAAAACACTTAGTTGCTAAATTATGACATACACCTACCGTGTACCAACACTCATTGGCCTCTATGAGGTACACCTTCCATATAGCTTCACTACATAGGTGTACAATTATAGACTGTAGCCTACACAGTATCTGTCCTACACAATTAACAGCCCCCTCTACCCAATTCTTCATTGGTTGGTTTTTGACCACAGGAACACCGTTGACTAGAAATGTAAAGAATTAACCAAGAAACATTTATTCAACCAATGCAAATGGTTAAAAAAAGGATACTGTAATTGCCTTTATAAATTAGCAGGTTTGTCGTTTAAGATGAACTGTTTTTAAATTGTATGCACGAGGGGGAAACAGGCAATTAGTTCTGCTAGACAGGCCAACTAAAAGGATGCTAGCACAACTACAATGATGTAACAAATCCAAAGCGAACATCTGGAAGCGATAAAACTGACTACTGCATCCATGTTCTCCAACATAAAGTGTGATGCACAGCAGTGTGAGGAAGTAGCAGCCTGCAACCGGCTTGAGTCTCTCTGCAGTGCAGAAGCTTGTTTTCATAAAAAAATCACTCTTCCTGTTGTTTCACTCTGCACTCCTCCTCACTTCCTCTGATATACGCATGCAGGAGTATGTGTGTGTTTTGTTAAATGTTCATGCAGCCCTCACCCACAGACCACTGAAGTCATTTGGTTTTTTCGATGGGTCAAATCTTTTTGCACACAAGCATTTTTGTTTCAGTTTTCAAAACAATGCGGACAACCGCGCTCACTATATATCCTGTGTCACAGAGCGAATTACTTTATCACCATAGAAGAGATGAATAAGCTGGGCTATACGTATTAGAGGTGGGCGATAAGGCAAAAATGTCATATTTCACATTTTCAGAATATGTCAATATTTTTTTTAAGACATCTGATAAGTCGGAACAGGCAAAGTTGTGCCATATTTAAAAAATACTACCATGAGCTATTAATCCAATTATTTATGTTGAACATTTCCCATGCTATGCTGTACTAAATCCTGTTATACAGGATAAATATGCTTTCTTTTTAATCAAACAAGCAGTTGGTTAGTGTTTCTAGACACTGATGATGTCCATAATATGCACAGAGAAGCATATTGTGATGTAATTCATCACAATAATGATAAATATTGTCATACTGCCCAGCTCTAATGTGTGTTCTTATTTGCCAGCTGACCAAACACAGCACTGCTTTAGTGAGGCCTATGTTCTTCAGTCGTTTAAGCCATGTGATGTGCAGTCAAAGAGCTACATATACACACAGATGTTTTCAAGGTTTGATTCAGCAGAAAAAGGGAAATGGTCATTGAGTAAGTGGAACTAAATGGGATAAGACATTGTGAAAGAAAAAGTGTGCATGTGTTTGCTTGTTTGTTTGTTTTACCTGGGTATATGTCCAAGTAGGGTGGTGGAGTCTTTCATGGATGCCCCCATAGACTCTCGGTTTGGGCCTGTGTTGCAACTGCTGCTTCAGTTTGGCAATCTTAGATTCAGAAGATGGAGAAAGAGGGGAAGTGACAGAAGTGACAGAGATGAAATCAGAGGGGGAAGAAGGAGGAAAGAGACAAAAATTAAAACCCTTTTCTCCTTAGCACACCGACAAGACTATCTTCTGTAAAACCAGACTCTATTTAATCTAGTCACGAGGCCAGACATGATCTCATAACTAGAATGCCTTGGGAAACCATGAGAAATTCTGGGCTAAATGTGAGCGGGAACATAGACTTATTAGGGTGGGAACAAACTGAGAGTGACATTTCAAAGCCAATCCAATGCCTCATGAAGGTGAAGCTCAAAGCAGAGGGTGATGGTGCAGTCTTCAACATTAACATGCCTGTGCATGTAACGTAATGTAGCACAGCTGAAAAGTCCCCCACAAAATTAAGCGTACAGACGTGTGTTTCATGCATGGAGAACAAACTACACACTACATGCAGTAAAAATAAAACATTGCCACTTCCACTATGGAAAAAAATGTTTTTTTTGGCTAAAGATAGCCCTTTACTAGCTAGTTTACCTTGCTTGTGTTACTGATTGACCTCCACACATTCATACAGAACAGACTAGAGTAAGCTGGGGTCGTGTTTTACTTGTGGCACAAATGCAATCCAGAACCAAAAGTAGTCCCTAAATGTGTATTCTCTTACACATACACCATCGTGTCTGGCCCCGTGAGACTATATTTAAGCACACTCTTTTAGACATGGACTGAAACTGAAAAAACATGTTTGTGATACATACATCTCGTAAACGGTCTCCATTTCCCCATGACGCAGAGCGTTTGTGACCTCCAGCATCGCTTAGCTCGTCTTCATCCAGCCAATTTGAAGTCTAAAGCATGGAAACAAACAAAAAAAAATCATCATCATCATCATCATCATCATCATCATCATCAGGCTGAAACCCAACCTTCTGACTAACTCTTTCAATGTAATTGTATAGGGAAAAAAACCCACAGTACTAGGGCTAAGCTAAGGGCTAATCCATACTGTAAAACCTTTTACATTGGTGATATTTTAGCACTACATTTGATAGACACCTATGAATATCTATCTCTACAGACACTAAACTAAACATTCACAGCCTCCAAACTGTACAAATTCATTGATACCTGTATAGAACATTTCTAGCATTAAAATCCACAGCAACAACAGCAATTTATCCCATTTTCTTTACTGTGATATATTCCTCCACAAATCTTACTTAATACTTTGTACAGGACCAGACATTTATTTTAATGCTTTTACAGTTAAACAGAACAACACTCTTACACAGTGTAACGCATAATCGCTGCTGTCAGAAGAAAAAACATGTATCTCCATTTTTGTCGTTTTTCAGTTTTACACACACACACACACACACACACACACATACATATATATATATATATATATATATATAAAATATTTTGAAAATACCTGTTACTCTTTATATTGTGTGTAAATTTCATGATTAATGGATTAAAAGAAACAGCCCAAATTGGCTTGGAAAAAAGTCTGGTCCCATTGCCTTACATTAAAAGTAAAGTGTGTTTTTTTCTTCTCCTGTAAAGTTACCATTTTGGAGATTTTCTTCTGACAACAGCGAAATATGACCATAATCTAAGGCAGTCAGAGAAAGACTGAGAGCGCCAGGTTGTGTTCTGAGAGGAGTTGACAAATCTGTGGTAAAGCATTTAGGATTAAAGCATAAAGTAAGTTATGCTGCAGATGCAGCAAGTTTCGTGTCTTTTTCTACAATCAAAACAAACATGTATCTGATTATTACAGCACAACACTTGTTTTTTTAATTCTGAGGAGCGATGCTCTGACGTCTTGGTCCATTCGTCATGTGAGGTGTTCTGTTTTGTTCCTGTACAGCATTCATGACAAATGAATTTCACATAAATTAGCATGACTATGCTCATACTGCACTACTTAATGAGTCTGATCAGATTTTTTTAGGTTTGTAAGTCTAAACAATTGAAAAACAAATCTGAGCACAGAGAGTTACTTATCAGAGTTTATGAGAAACCTGTATTAGATTAGATTCTTTAATCCCAGCATTATACAGCTACAAGCATATTTTATATAGGTAAAGCGGGTAAAACATGGGTAAAACATATTGGTGGACACCTATATACATTGTAAGTATGGTATCCTTAGTTAATGCAAACTTAATCATTTGCTACTGTGATATGATTTATTTTGAGGGGAAAAAAAAACTATACTTTTATAAATATCATCCAGTCTTACAAAGAATGGTTAACCAAAGACCATCAGCTATGACTTACATAATTTCCTCAGCAAAAACAACAAACCAAGAATGTATTTTAAGGTGAATGAGGAACAGAAAGTGGACAAAATATTAAAAAAAAAAAAAAAAAAATACAAAAGCCCAAGTACATCAAAGGGTTTCCTTCCTCTTCACAGCTGAGCCACCATCGTGCCGAAGCCAGTCACGTTCGCTTCGGGCACGAGGCTGAAACTCTTGCTCAATAGCAAAAAGGTCATATTAACTAGGAGAATTCTGGCCTTACTATCGGTTTATGGTTTAAAAACCAACAAGAGGTCCAAATCACTGTACTGAAGGTGCGGAAATACAGCGAAGAGCATAATCAGACAGGTTGTCTATGCCAAAACAACACTCAGGACTTTCCCCACTTACAGGTTAGTGGAGTAATGCGCAGGCAGTCTTTCAAATGCAAAGAGGGAATTAGCTGCGAGAAGTGCTGCTGAAACAGATGAAACGTTAGTGCTTCCACCAACCGTGCAAACACAACCACACCCAATCCACACTCTCTGCCTTAAGACAATGTGGGTGAGTTGACAAGCTGCACTTTCCACGCTGATCTGACACCAGTTTCTCCCACACCCAAGTCTCAGGCTAACTCTATTCTCTGAGCTTGCCCTGCTAAATAATAATGTTTTTTTCCACCTCATTTATTATACTGAATTCAGTTTTCGGTCACATTTGACTGCTAATTTAGAAGGAATAGGAAACACAATGTTACTGTGAATAAAAGTATTAAAATTACATTAGCTCTTATTGACCAGGGCATATTTTGGTTTTTCCATCTGAATTTACATGACCAAATCGTCAATTATTCAGTAATTGCATGAAATGAATGTTAATTTTTATTTTATTTATTTTAAAAGCTCCCCTCAAATTAACAGAACATGTTTTATGATCATCACATATTACTATATGCTTACAATTTACTACTGAAAGCCAAAAATCTTAGACGCTCTGTATTTTTTTTATAAAAATAATTTTTACAGATCACTGAAGAGACGCCATCTGTTTATAGTTTACAGCCCAGATTTGTGGAAAAACGGGTCGACTTTCAGCTTCTTTTATTATAAAATTACATCCCCCGTCTATTTGACCAGAAAGAAGACAGTTACAGCTCTCATATGACCCCCACCTTTTGAATGTAGCTTATGAAATATGAAAGTTATGAAGAATATGACGAAGTGCGTTTTGGAACCACCGGTGGTCTCAAGGAGTTGAAAAGGTTAAATAAAATTAAAATGAGTACCGTTACATCACTAAAGTTGTAACTACACAAATGAATACGGCTAATTAATTCAAGTAACTAGACAAAATGCCATCAATTTAGCCCAATCGCATAATGCTCCGTGGCATTTTTCCTCATCATATTACATGTAGTTGTTGCACAAATGCAAAGTACTGATCTCAGATCTGCACAGAAAGGCTCCAGGCTGTGGCATAATCTGTAGAAGGTGCAGTGAGGATGTGGCTTCTGCCGCTTGCCCTTACCCCTCCCGTGAGAACAGAGAGCAAAAAAAAAAAGGTTTCACTAACACCTCCACCAAGAAAATCAGCTGCATCAGCAGTTCATGGACCTTTGTCCATTTTTTTTCTTTTTCCTTGCCACTTCTGTCTCTGTCCAAGCTCAAGGCTACAGAGGCCACTTGAGTAAATGGATGGATATCAGTGAATTCACTGCTTAAATCCTGAAGACATACAGTAACACATCTCGGTAAAACAATACACATGAAGATGTAACTTTCTGTGGGTGTCATTACTTCTGTACATTATGACCATGTCTAACACATCAGACAAACTGGGGCAAAGGACAAAATGCCCTATATTTAACACTTCTGCCTCAAACACCAAAACAACCTCAGAAAATGTAATAAACCAATACGCATCATGTATATGTGTAATAAAACAATGTGAAACGTCAGAATAACTAATAATACACTAATAAAAGTTATAAAATTACTTTGCATCACTTTATCCACTATTTGACCAGGCAGGATAAACACACTATTCCAAACTATTAATGTTAATCCAATCAATCAAACTACTTACTGCTTGGAAAGACTGGCGCAAGAACAAAGTACCTTAAATGTACTAATTTACTCTTGTTGGTAATTTAATTTATTTATATTTATTTATGAACAGGTTCATTTAGCTAGCTAACTAACAGGCTGGTTGATGTTAGCAAAAACATTTTCCACTGCCAAGGTTAAATTAAACTAATTAAAATGTTTTTTATATTCAGCCTAGGGGTGGGCAATATAGTGATTTTTTTAATCATATTGTTATAAAGTCACAAAATGCTTTTCTGAGCATATTAAAGGCATCGTTAGTACTTCAGGAACACCGACTAACATGTTTCATCGCAAAGTGAGCATAAATAGGCCTGTTTAATTGGATTTGGTGCAGTTAGTAAAACACTGAGGGCATTTACATGCACTTAATAATTGGATCATAACCAATTATTCGATCATAATCCAATTTCAGCAGTCATCTGGTTATTCAAGTGGTCATAAACTGCATACTCTGATTTCTTAAATCATATTAAAATTGTTACCAGATTTCTAGAAATCCAATATAGGGAGCCAGATTTTAGTTCGGTAATGGGGTTTTTCAGTGCATGTAAACTCTTACTCTGATTTCTTTCGTTTGTCTCAGTCTGCACATGTGTGAAAACACAGCGCTGTCCCAGAAAAAGATAGCAGCGTTTAACAGCAAACACGAAACGGCAACAAAACACTTTTTGGAACGATGCTGAAACCAACTACATGCATGATGGTTTTAATATTCTTCATCTTCTAGATTATGCATATTTATATTTTCCGTTTAAAAGACTTTTAGCTTTTAGCTTTAGTGCTCAGGGCTTTTAGCAGCGCTGCTCAGCTTTTCTTTGCTCAGTACTTGCCATGCAGGGTGTTATTTTGAGTGAAACAGCTTTATTTGAAGTTGTTCACAGACAGTGTGTTTCATGTAGCATGGACAGAGCGTTTTTGTACAGTGTGAGTACATAAATCGTAGCCTTTGTACAGTGTGAGTCACCAAAGAACAAGATTTCTAAAATCACAGCGCATGTCTGGCTTTGGAGGACATTCAGCCACAGCTCAACCAGCCAATCAAAAGACTTCAGGTGTAAAACTCCGCAAGCGAGCTTTCGGATGAGATTCCTGCTGTCGCTGTGCTGCAGAGACGGGATCAAAACTATGAAAATGTACTTTTCTTACAGCTGTACAGAAGCACTTGTTTCACAAGGAACAAAGCCGACTCTTCTCCACAGCAGCACTACTCAGTCCAAGGTAAATAATGTGGCACAGATAGCTGATGCACTTCATTTAAAATCAGCTAGCTTGTAATGAATTAACTGTTGAGGTAGGTTGCACTCATCTACACTACAACTACTTCATCCTAAAAAGGTAATTCAGTATATCAGACTTAGTGTCCGTGAGTACTAAAAATGTGTACCCGTACTCAGTCTGAAAAAAATGGTTTCAATGCATCCCTATTTTTTTTTTATATGTGGCACTACAGCTTTGATTTTGTCTGTTCCAACATGTCAGAAAAATGAAATATCGCGATGCATATTGTGTATCGTGCAAATGTCTTGAAGTGATATATTTTTTGCCATAGCGCCCACCCCTAATGCTGCCCAGTCTGTGTTAACAGCCCCTAAAATTCAGTCACTGAGGCCAGTAAGGGGCACTGTCAAAGGCCCCTAACAAATGATTTCCTAACCTGCCACATACACCATTCGAAAGTTTGGAATCAAGTAATATTTGCAGTAGTATAAAAGCAGTATGGTGTATACTATACACCACAAGTATACTATACTAGTATACTAGTCCTGTGCAAATTCACAAACCAACAATTACCTGTAATTTTAAAAAAAAAAAGTGTCCAGAAATGTTGAATTGTTCGGCTTTGTAGATGGTTTTTAACCTTTTATGGTTATTATTAGTAAAATTAACATGCATAATGCATTCCATTTCAAACACACACACACAAAAAAATAAATAAATAAATCACATCTAAAAGTAGAAAACAAAAGTAGAAAAAAATCTCAATAAATACAAAATAACAGTACACCACTGAAAATCTTGTTGTTGCCACAATACTTAAAAAACTGAATACAACTTCTAAAAGCATCTTCCTTTGTTTAGTATTTAAATCTGCAGTTATTATAAATAAAATAATAAAAATTATTTATTTTAAAAGTGACTGCAAATTCTTTTAATTATTATTATTTTTTTAAACAGTCCTTGACCATTTCATTTGCCTTCCTCCAGGCAAATTTTTGACAAAAAACAAAAATAACATGCACAAGGACATGGACACAATCAGCGAACAAGAACCCACTCACCTGTGTGAACTCATCTTTTTGGTGGTGTCCACTTTGCCCCCGTCTTTCCCCTTCTCTGGGCCACTGGCCTTGCAGGTATGGTCCCAAAATCGTGTCTAAAGAGGTCGTTCGTCGGATCTCTGTCTGGGTCTGGTGTCGCACCCTCACTGTGGTCTTCTCAGCTGGTGAGAAACAACAGACATTTTGATTTTAAGGTCAAGAAGAACTGTGTCGTCCTTTGTCATATTTAGCGGTACAAAATATTCCTCCATGGCCTCAATGTGACATAGAGGTCAGGACCAGTGCAATTAATCTGCATATTGAAGCATAAATATATGACTATGTTTGATATTTTTTATGTAAATATCTGCCAATGCTGATGCATAAACCTTTATAAAATGTAGAAACTGTAAAGATTCACCTTGATTCGCATTACAAATATTACAAATAATTTTAAAACTTACTTGTATAGGGTTACAAATGCAGTAAAATTAATGCAATGGCAACATTTCAGTGCAGTAGCCCAGCATCACCTACATATTCAGCTCTTCGGGAATACAGTAAATACACCATTAAATATAATTTTACAATATTGGTAAACTCTGCATGTGTATGAGGCCATTACTTTTAAAAGCAAGTATCTGCTGATACAGATATTGTTCAGATTTCACTGTGTTTCCCTAGAATAAAGTAATAATGTAAAATAAATGAGCTGCGTAAAACATGCACAGACATGAGTAGATGCAACTGTGCAAATTAAACAAAGTGGAACAGCAGCATAGCTACATTCGAAGAGGAGCTTTTCAGACCATATGCTGTCACAGGAATCAGAGCTACAAGATCAGGGTCATTCAGTCGTTGCTCATGAATGAGAGAAAAACAAGACAAAACCTCCAAAATAAATGCTCACAAACAACCTATCATGGTTAGATATGGCTTGCAGTATTCACAGATCAAGCGCCACCGCTGACACTGCATGCCCATTTACCCATATTTTGGAAATGCTATCTGGGCCGGAATTGTTTGTGTTATGAGAAAAGTTTCCCCTGCTGTTCAGGCCACGCGAGATAAAGAATCAGGTCACCGAAAGGATCCTCAAGTGGCCAGACAACATGCAGGAAAACAATAATATTGCAGGAAGGTGTGAAGGAAGGCGTTTTCACCACCTTTCACATCAGCAAACAGACACTGTTATTTAGGTCATCTTCATGTGCCTGGCAAACAGGGCGACTTCAAAACTCACACTGAGTGCCGTGTGGCAAATGTAATGGTTTTGTGGCCTCTTCCAAAGGCCTGCTCGATTTGGTATACTCTATGTTACTTCCTCAAAACTCATGAGACTCTCTCAGGGGACTAAAACTGTGACACTAAAGCAGAACAGTAATCCTGCACATTGCATTTGGTACGCTCTGTAAATATCAAAACATCTGCTTGACTGGTCATGAAAACTTATTTGCAGTGACTTATGTTGCCAAAAGCAGCTGCTCAGGCAAGAGAAAGAAAAGAGAAGAAAGAAAAAAGGAAATCATGCAAAAATGAAAGCCAAGAATGGTAGAAAAGCAGAAAATAGGGCAGTTTATCTTCAGTTCCAGTGTAGTTCCTTATTCCTTTTCATAGTTTAATTTCACTGTTCTGTTGGATTGACTTTGCTTTACTCACAGCTCTCACTCTGGAGCTTTAGCATTTTATTTTAAACCTATTAATAGGGCCTAACAAACTTCAGTCAGTATGCAGATACGTGTAGATATTGCATGTACTGAGAAGTTCTACTGCAGTTCTGTAGGAAACTCAGTACTGAAGGGGTCAAAAAATTTTTGCAAGCTACTTTAACTTCTTTACTTTTATTTGAGCTGTTATTTTACTGAAATAACAACACTTTCACTTCAGTACAGCCTTATTCTCTTCTCCTTTCCTCAGTTCAGTTGTGCTGAATTACTCCTTAAAGCGGACTCCCACCATTTCTTCAAAATTAGTGCATAATTCCACTGGTGTGATGTAAACAGTCGTTCAGAGTGGTTTGGTGTGAAATGGTTAATTACAGACTTTCTTTACAGTGGTGGTGAATGGAACCAGGGGTCACAATGTCTACAACACAAATACAGCCATTTTATTAATTATCCAAAACCACTACTGAACCTACACATATCTTCTGAGTTTTTTTAAAGTTTATGAAGGTAAAATAGTGGAAAACCTGAAAATATATGCTCTATTTTTGGCCTCACAGCGCCCTGCATGTACCCCTCCGCCATGAATGGATTAAAATAAATGGATTCAAATGCATTTTGATCCAAAACTTCATCACAAAACTACCATAAAACAATGCCTCGGGAATCATATTCATAATAATTTCATGTAATAACCTTCTGTGAGGGAGCTTTTAGAGGTGGACGTCTGGTTCCTATCACCACCACTGTGAACAATTCTAAGTTTCTCTAAAATGGAGCATTTCACACAAAACCACTCTGAATGAACTTTGTTTACGTCTTAAACATTTAATTATGAAGAACGTTTGAAAAATTGGTGGAGTTCCCCTTTAACGGTAACCAGTTAGCCACAAGCTAACTAACTACTGTACTTTAAACAAATACTCTTTAGAGATAGAAGATGGTCGTTTCAGTGACATTATTGTATATTGTATACTGAGCTTCGTCGTGGACTTCACTAATTCTAACATTAACTAAAAATTGACTCTTATTTTTTACCTGGAGCTCCGTTTCTCGGCTCCGGCCGGCTCCTCCTGCGCAGCTCTACCGGCCCGGCCGCTCTCAGAGGTGGGAGGCCGGGTACGCCGCGCTCGCCACCACCGTTGCTAAGCATCGTCTCTACCGTCCCGTAGTGACCAGGTAACGGTTACTATAGAGCACTAGCCTGGCAGCGAACAAAACAAGGTTTCCAAAATGAACTGAAACTTTTCTTATCGACTTTACTTGCCTATTAAAGTGTATGGTAAATATTTCAGCCCGGACTGTGTCGAATAAAGTACAACAGCTGGCTGGAAAACTTCTCTGGGCTTAACAAAGCTGGACCTGTTCGCTAGCCTTTGTGTCTTTTTGCCCCTTTTTATCACTTTCTCGCTAAACTTTTTCAGTCCAAACCAATGTCACAATAGCCAAATGTCTCTAAAATACATGTAAAGTAGCCCAATTTGTAAAAAATTAAACGTATGAAAACATATATAATAACTCGCTAAGCTCGCTGAGTCGAAGTTTCTCTCTGCGGCTGTCATGCTCCGGTTCAGAGCTACGCTAAATTAACCGTGTGGGCGGGAGCTGCTTCGAAGCTTCACGATTTGATTGGCTAGTGAAGATAACTTCTTAAAGCTTATTGGCCACCTCAGATATCAATCTGAGACATGTTTTAAAGTTGTAGTCTTCTTCCACAAGACAGCTTTTCAGTACCTGTATTTTGAAATTTAATTAATGAATCTATATCGCATTAAGTATTAAATTAATGCTTTAATTCATTATTTTTTCAGCTTTAAAACTATGCTTGTAAAACATGCACAAATTTCTATTCATTTAGGTTTGTTTAGTGTTGTACACTGAGGGATGTGTGTTACAGAAGGACATATGCAATGCTGAAAACAATGTTTTTGTTCATTCAGACGCCCAATTTTTCAAAATGGCTGATTCAGTTGTTGAAACAATGCCATTTAGAGTGATATGATGTGAAATGGAACCAGGCGTCACAACGTCCACAACCCAAATACAGCAATTTTTTTATATGGAATGTTGATGGTAGTAAAATATATTTTTTAAATATTTATAAATATTAATAGTTATCTTAGGCGACTTAAAACTTCATCAAAACTATCATAAGCACGAGGCAGTGTATTCATAACCACACTGTGTAAAAATCTCCCATGAAGGAGCTTGTAAAGGGTATTAAACTCCTCAGATGTCTGTTTCCTATCACCTCCACTGTGAACAATTCTGACACTGGAAGTCTCTCTAGAATATATAATTTTACGTTAAACCACTCTGAATGGTTTGTTTACATCTTCGCCGTTTAATTTTAAGTATTTTAAATGGTGGAATTCCCCTTCAAAGCCTGTGTTGTGCAGAGGGTGCAACACTAAGGTGTATCTCTGTACTGTGGGTGGTGTCTGACCATGTGCTTGGGGCCAGATAACTACTAGGATTCGTGGGCACAAACTGCAGTGGCATTTTCATGAGATAATTCACTGAGTAGGAGTGTGTGAGCAAGTGTTATCGTCAAGAAAAAGGTGTCGGAAACCAAATGTTCAGTGTGTTTGTTACGTATGTGTACACTCACACATGCATAACATGTGGTCTTGAAAGGTCATGAACCTTAGGAGGCCTTCAGATTGAACAAGATGATCCCTAAAGTTTCTTGAGTCCCATCAATTTCAACCATTAGGTCTACAGAAACAGTTCAAACACTGCCTTTTTAAAATCCACGACAGATTGTGTTGTTTTTTAAAACTGCAGAAGGTATGAACCCCCGATTCTCCTCTACAAGATGGACAAACAGAGGGAGCAAAGGGACCACAGCAATGTCCACATCACGATTAATTAGGGCCTTTAAATGCTGGACACTTTCTGTGTGGGGCTCTTTTTACTGTGACAGCCTTAATTAACAAATGACCCTAACCTTTGGCCTATAATGGACACTGGTTCTTCGTCTGACCCCCGGGTCACAAGGAACCTGGTCACACACGACTGAATATGTGCAGGTTTGGGTCAGCAGATGAACAGTGATGATGAGTGGTCACTTTCAGGGGAGGATTCTGAAACAGAGTGCAAATTATACAAGGATATTTGGGAGGGGGGCAGCTTTGTTCCCAAGCTTTTTGGCTATTGTGTCATTAGGAAGCCACATTTTTCACAATTAGTGGCAACAGAAGAGGACAAACTTAGCTACACATGAAAAGGCGAGATACCATGGTAGCAGTGGTTAGCAACCTAGAGGCTAGCCAGCTAGCTAGCAAGTTAAGATGACCAGCTAATGTTAGCGGATACCCAGTATTATATACTTAGGCAACATCCTGAGTACGCTGAACTACATTAGTCATCTGGTAGGGAAAATGAATTCATTCATGTTTTCCTACATTCTTACATTTTCTCTTCATTTAAAATCTAAAGCTAGAGTCACTCATTAGATATTAGTGCAGGAATATCTAATGAGTGACTCTAGCTTTAGATTTTACTGCAAAAGGAATTTCTTACATGTAATTTTTAAGACTTTTTAAGACTTTTCAGCAGGTTAAAGTCTTCATTTTATTCTAGTCTTTATCCTGAAGTCTTAATATTTGTCCAACTCTCTAAAAACTCTCTAAAAACTCTCTCACGCGCCTCACTTATCACTGCCCTCAATCTTTTTGCTCGTTAAGACAAAACCAAGACACAAAGGCCAATAGCAACAGTTCAGCTGCTGCCTGTCACCTTCTTACTAATGAGGTTGTTACACATGTACACTATATGAACAAAAGTATTGGGAGACCTATACATTACACACCATGCTTTCTTGACATCCCATTCTAAATCCATAGGCATTAATATGGAGTTGGTCCCCCTTTTGCAGCTATAACAGCTTCCAATCTTTCTACAAGATTTTGGGAAGATTTTGAGTCTGTGGGAATTTTCATCCATTCATCCAGAAGCGCATTTGTGAGGTCAGACACTGACGATGGACGAGAGGGCCTAGTTCATCCCAAAGGTGTTCAGTGGGGTTGAGGTCAGGACTCTGTGCAGGCCAGTCAAGTTCTTCCACACCAAACTCACCCAGTCAGGCCTTTATGGAGCTGCTTTGTGCACTGGGGCTCAGTCATGCTGGAACAGAAAAGGTTCTTCCCCAAACTGTTCACACAAAGTTGGAAGTGTACAATTGTCCAAAATGTCTTGGTGCTGAAGCATTAAGATTTCCCTTCACTGGAACTAAGGGTTCTAGATCAACCCCTGAATAACAACCCCATATCATTATCCCTCCTCCACCAAACTTTATAACTGGTACAATGCAGTCAGACAGGTAACGTTCTCCTGGCATTCGCCAAACCCAGACTCGTCCATCAGACTGACAGGTAGAGAAGTGTGATTTGTTTTGTGTGTTTTACTCCACTCCATCCGACGCTTGGCATTGTGCATTTTGCAGATGCTGCTTCCAGAGGCAATCTGAAACTCTTTAGTGAGTGTTTCAATAGAGGATGTACTATGCAAATGTATTAAAAACAGGATGCAGCTTAGTCTCCACATGTAGACTAAACCGTATGTTCTGAAACTTTAACAATGCTTACATACTGCATCTAACTGTTATTTTTAAAAGGAAAGGACATGATATAGACTGGGAAAACCTCAACAGCGCATTTAAACAGACAATACACCGCCTTGGTGAGTCTCAGGGACAGAATTGTGAAAATAGTCAGAGAACAACACACAGCTGTGACAAAAGGAAAGGGACAAAAAAGAGGCAGTTTTATTGCGGTTTAGAATGAAGAACAGCATAGTTGCCCAGGTCCTAATAAATAACAGCCTTTTTATTATAAATTAAAAACTGTAAGTACATATGAAAATTAATAAATGCTAAGAATTACGACTCTAACACTACACTCGCTCCCACTCACGCATATGGACTTAATTCTACATCTTCACACAGGGGTTGAAGGAAAACAAAAAAAAAGCAGAACTACCTCATCAAGTTTCGTTCGCATATCGCGCTTTATAGGATATGACCTCCGTCATTGCTCTCTGTGTCCTTCTTGTTCAGACCGGCTTGACACACAATGATGCTACCATGAAGAGACAAACATTACAATCAAAAGGCAGACAGATGACAAACATACAGTATACTATGAAAGCATATACTGGTCTGTAAGAATGTACACAGACCGGCCACTTCACTGATGCCACCTCCTTGTTTCTACGCTCATTGTCCATTTTATCAGCTCCACTTACTATATAGGTGCACTTTGTAGTTCTGCAATTACAGACTGTAGTCCATCTGTTTCTCTGCATACTTTGTTAGCCTGTTCTTCAATTGGAGATGACGCTGTTGGCTGGATATTTCTAGTTCTCCATCCAGCAGCACTGAGACATTGAGGTGTTTAAAAACTCCAGCAGCACTGCTGTGTCTGATCCACTTGCACCAGCACAACATACACTAACACACCACCCAGACATCAGTGTCACTGCAGGGCTGAGAATGACCCACTGCCCAAATAATACCTGCTCTGTGGGGGTCCTGACCACTGATAACAGGGTGACAAAGTATGCAGAGAAACAGATGGACTACAGGCTGTAATAGTAGAACTATAAAGTGCACCTATATGGTCAGTGGAGCTGTTAAAATGGATAAAGAGTGTAGAAACAAAGAGGTATACTTAATGAAGTGGCCGGTCAGTGTTTATATATATATATATATGTATATATATTTCCCTCGTTTACATGGTTTACCATTGCCACCGCAATGGCTGTCTTTTGGCAGTTGACCTGTTGACATGGGGAGGGATCTGAAGAAAAGGAAAAGGCAGTACCGCAGCTGTCCCGTCTATTTGTATTACGGCTCTTGAGGTGATGGTGCAAGTGTACAGTAAAAAGTCGGGTCAGGCATGTGGATAGAACCCGGAACCTCCTTGTGCCTATGCTTGCATGCAGTTTTGACGGAGGAACCAAGTGAGGTTTTCTTGACGTTCTGAAGGTTCTGTCTTTTGGGTGACATGAAGGGAGTTGCTTAGGAGTACAGATGCTGACTGACCATTACGTGTCTGTATGTGTATGCCTGTGTGCATATAGTGTGTGTGCATCTGCATGACTGCGTTCTCATCAATTTCTTAAAGGGAAGTAACACAGTAGGTGCTGGTTGGCCAGGATTAGGTCAGTCAGTGCATAGTCTGCAGTCCAGGCAGCTGGAAGGAGCACAAGATGAGGGAAACTGGACAGCAAAGACATTCAGAGACGCACGCGGTGCACATTACAGCGACAAACAGCCACATCGGAGAAAGGCGATGCTGATCTGCCCGTCTGGAAATAAGGCAGGCATGACCCAACTGTTAGCTCATCTCACTACAAAATAGCCCCTGACCACTAGCCCTAAGCATCTACGAGCCATCAAACCCAATGTCAACTGTACTGCTGCTTTTAGTTTCTTCAAGCAGAGAGCAAAGACACTGAAAGAGGAGAAGACAGAGCAGATTTGGACATGTCACAAAATCAGGGTACGGTGCTTAGCCATAGTCTTTGGATGCCTTTGCTGATAGAATGTGTTAGTTGGTGAGAATGGACTCATTAGCACCCCCTAGCTGGGAGTGAGCGCAGGGCTGGGCTCGGCGCTAATGTTGACCAGGCACTCTGTGGACCTCAAGCTGGGCAGGGACTTGCAGCTGGGCAGCGAGGCCAAAGACCCACACAGGCCCAGCATGGAGGGAGTGTAGTCTTTATCTGTGTAAACGGGGAAAACAGAGGAGGAAAAGGGAATGAGTGGAGACTCATGAGGGATTTTTTGGAAGGAAAAGGCTGAAGAAATGTCTGTCAGCGTAAATCTGGGCTTGCAAGTCCAAACAGGTTTTACCTGCTGCACACCAAGGCCGACCGTTCTGCTTCCCCTCGGTCTTCTGGGAATCAGAGTCCAGGCTGATATGTGCTGAGAGAGGCTCGGGGCTGGGGAAGCTCCCCCTGTGGGTTTGCACAGAAAGCCGTATGTGTTCCACCATGTTCTGTATCTGCCATCCTGTATGTGTTCCACCATGTTCTGTATCTGCCATCCTGTATGTGTTCCACCATGTTCTATATCTGCCATCCTGTATGTGTTCCACCATGTTCTGTATCTGCCATCCTGTATGTGTTCCACCATGTTCTATATCTGCCATCCTGTATGTGTTCCACCATGTTCTATATCAACCATCCTGTATGTGTTCCACCATGTTCTATATCTGCCATCCTGTATGTGTTCCACCATGTTCTATATCTGCCATCCTGTATGTGTTCCACCATGTTCTGTATCTGCCATCCTGTATGTGTTCCACCATGTTCTATATCTGCCATCCTGTATGTGTTCCACCATGTTCTGTATCTGCCATCCTGTATGTGTTCCACCATGTTCTATATCTGCCATCCTGTATGTGTTCCACCATGTTTTATGTCTGCCATGCTGTATGTGTTCCACCATGTTCTATATCTGCCATCCTGTATGTGTTCCACCATGTTCTACATCTGCCATCCTGTATGTGTTCCACCATGTTCTGTATCTACCATCCTGTATGTGTTCCATGTTCTATATCTGCCATTCTGTATGTGTTCTACCATGTTCTATATCTACCATCCTGTATGTGTTCCACCATGTTCTATATCTGCCATCCTGTATGTGTTCCACCATGTTCTGTATCTACCATCCTGTATGCGTTCCACCATGTTCTACATCTGCCATCCTGTATGTGTTCCACCATGTTCTATATCTACCATCCCGTATGTGTTCCACCATGTTCTATATCTGCCATCCTGTATGCGTTCCACCATGTTCTATATCTACCATCCTGTATGTGTTCCACCATGTTCTATGTCTGCCATCATGTATGTGTTCCACCATATTCTATATCTACCATCCTGTATGTGTTCCACCATGTTCTATGTCTGCCATCATGTATGTGTTCCACCATGTTCTATGTCTGCCATCATGTATGTGTTCCACCATGTTCTATATCTACCATCCTGTATGTGTTCCACCATGTTCTGTATCTGCCATCCTGTATGCGTTCCACCATGTTCTACATCTACCATCCTGTATGTGTTCCACCATGTTCTACATCTACCATCCTGTATGTGTTCCACCATAATGAGAGTAACTAAGGCTCAAAAGGGGAGCCCATCCTCTAGACCACACCGGACAGTGGGAAGGTGGATAACTAGGTAACCTGAACATTACTAAATTTACAGGAGTGACCTTTCCGTCTCACCTGCGGTACAGTTTGCTGTCCTCCTGGTTGTTGTAGGTATGAAGCGATGGCCACTGGTTAACCAGAGGGATTGACATGTCCTTGGACAAAGGGTGGGATTCACCAGGAATCAGACGCGTCCTGAAATGTGAAGGCACACGCGTGAAGGAGTCATAATGTTGATAAGGTTGATACTGTGTGTAAAGGCTGCAAAATATTGGTCCTTATTCACTTTTGCTACATTGGCCATATGCCAACAAGCCTCTAACAAATCACTGAAAGTTCTGCTGTGTGCTGTGACCAAATCAATAATGTTCTGGGTGTTTGGATGAATTCACATTCAGATAATTCAACAAACATAATTTACTTTTTATTTTTTCTCAGTCCCCTTCCTAATTTAGGCCAAAGTCAACCCACTAACTAGGTCTCCCAAACACATAAAACCACTAACGCAATCAGGCGTAACATTATGACCTTGTTTCTACACTCATTGCCCATTTCATCAGCTCCACTTACTATATAGGTGCACTTTGTAGTTCTACAGTTACAGACTGTAGTCCATCTGTTTCTCTGATACTTTGTTAGCCCCCTTTTACCCTGTTCTTCAGTGGTCAGGACCCCCATGGACCCTCACAGAGCAGGCACTATTTGGGTGGTGGATCATTCTCAGCACTGCAGTAACACTGAGGTGGTGGTGTGTTGGTGTGTGTTGTGCTGGTCTGAGTGGATCAGACACAGCAGTGCTGCTTGAGTTTTAAACACCTCATTGTCACTGCTGGACTGAGAATAGTCCACCAACCAAAAATATCCAGCCAACAGTGTCCTGTGGACTAGAGGATGACCAACACAAACTGTGCAGCAGTAGATGAGCTATCATCTCTGACTTTACATCTACAAGGCGGACTGACAAGGTAGGAGTGTCTATTAGAGTGGACAGTGAGCAGACACAGTGTTTAAAAACTCCAGCAGCACTGCTGTGTCTGATCCACTCGTACCAGCACAGCACACACTAACACACCACCAACATGTCAGTTTTACTGCAGTACAGTCTGTAAACTGTAGACTACAGTCTGTAATTGCAGAACTACAAAGTGCACCTATATAGTAAGTGGAGCTGATAAAATGGACAACGAGTGTAGAAACAAGGAGGTGGCATCAGTGAAGTGGCCGGTCTGTGTACATTCTTACAGACCAGTATATGCTGTCATAGTATACTGTATGTTTGTCATCTGTCTGCCTTTTGATTGTAATGTTTGTCTCTTCATGGTAGCATCATTGTGTGTCAAGCCGGTCTGAACAAGGACACAGAGAGCAATGACGGAGGTCATATCCTATAAAAGCGCGATGTGCGAACGAAACTTGATGAGGTAGTTCTGCTTTTTTTTGTTTTCCTTCAACCCCTGTGTGAAGATGTAGAATTAAGTCCATATGCGTGAGTGGGAGCGAGTGTAGTGTTAGAGTCGTAATTCTTAGCATTTATTAATTTCCATATGTACTTACAGTTTTTAATTTATAATAAAAAGGCTGTTATTTATTAGGACCTGGGCAACTATGCTGTTCTTCATTCTAAACCGCAATAAAACTGCCTCTTTTATGCCCCAATAATGTTATGGTCATAATGTTATGCCTGATCGGTGTATGCTCCCAGTCATGGATGGCTGTGGCATCGCTGGGGATCGAACACCAAGGGTTTAATGACGTGTCTTCATTATATTGGAAGATAAAGCACTGTGCAAAAGTCTAATGCAGCCATGAAAATGTTTAAATCTATTCATCTTAGCAATAAGTGTGTTTTCTCTGAAAATAAAAAGAATAAATACAAATAAACATATAAAAGGGGACTGTAAATACTGAGCTTCCTCAGGGGTTTGGAAATAGTTGCCATACATAAAATCACAACGTGTTTTATATTTATGTATTTTTTTATGGACCGTATTTTTTGAACAAATAAAAATGTACATATGAGAGAGAGAGATTTCTCACAGCTGCTCCTGTAATTCCAGTATAATGCCTTCCAGCTCTCTCTTCTCCTGATGGCTCTGAAGCTGGAGCTCCTCCAGTCTGGAACTCAGCCGTTTATTCTCTGTCTCCAGATTCTTCAGCTGGGACTCCCGCAGACGCACCAGCTCTTCCAGATAACCCTACAAACACACAGAACAGTAAGATCACTGTACAAATTGATTCACCTGTGACTGAAACATATCTAATAGCGTGTAAAACCTCCATGAGCACGAATAACAGCTGTTATTTCATTTGGCATGGACTGGACATGGAGTGTGCTTACTGGTACCTAATTATCCAGACATGTGTATTTGCTGACCTTCTGGGCATTGACGATCTTGAACCTCTGCTCCATTCTGCGGCACTTGTTGCTCCAGCTCTCTTCATCCGTAACCAGAGGAATGTAGGGGTGCTCGGGGACACTGTCGTCGCTATTACTGCTGTCCACGCTGCGGCAGTCGTCGTCATCGCTCAGGTAGTCATAGCTGTACATCAAATAATGATGGAGTAAATGCTGAGGTCACAGCCATAGTTCAGCGAAAGCTCTTACTCCAAATGTAGAGGATCAGCCAAGACTTGTTTGCTGTCTGAAGTTTGCTTCTTTAGTTTTGCACCTGAGCTTCAAGGCTGTATCGAGTTGTTAAGTAAACTCCAAAGGACTTATGTGGTTTCTGATATATGGAGAGGAATTCCTGACAATTTGAAAAGCGCTTACTCCAGTGGAAAAACATGAAATGCAATGCACACACAACATGAATTTTCCATTGTCGTAGCAGAATAGGTGCCGGAATGAAAATCCTCTTTTACATTAAAGAACAAAAATGAAGAAGCTCTGCAGAGATCACAAAAAAGAAGCAAAGAGACAGGTGCTCCTGGGCATGGGAGCAGCAAACTCAGTTTCATAACACTTCCATGCTGTTGTTTTCATGTCACTACCTCTTTACTGAAAAACAATGAGGATTTTTTTTTAAAAACAAAAAGCTGAATTGGTGTCAGAATTGAGTGCACTCTGCCTTGAAATGTAATAAAAGCACTGCTATATTGCTTTCAACTGTGTAGTACTTAAAATAACATTAAATCAATGTAAAGCATCTTTTATTTTTCACTTTGGTGCATTTTCTGCATGTTACTATTGATGGAGATTTTGAATAAATATTCCCTTAATCAGTAATCAAATAGATTAGATGTTGTAATCAATATTAATTCTCTCACAAAGGCTCGGCGTTAGTCTGTCTGCATAGAAGATTCTAGACACTGGAAAGCCCCTGGGTTCACAGAGAGGCCTGTGTGTACTTACTGACCCAGCGAAGAGAGGGGCAAGTTGACCTTGAAAGGTAGAGCAGACTGGTAAAAACCTGTTGAAGCCAGTTTTGAGGAGGGAGCTCATCATGCGATGGCCAAATTGATAGACAAAGAGATGCACCTATTAGAGAATGAGCTAATATCAAAATTTGAGAAGTAAGGCAGGGGGATATCAAACTACCCCAGATAAATGGTATATAAACTGTTGTTTGGAACACTGTTTGTGCAGTTGGATCTCTCTCTGTGCCGCCTGATGCTGAAATAAAGAAGAAGCCTTTTTCCCTCTTCCACAAACTCAGCGTCTGAAGACTCTTTCCTTTTTGACATCTTTTGAGAACTTAGACTTAAAACAGTTATTAGTGAAAGTGTTTAGCCAGTATTAAAAGATTTCTTTTTATTCATAATATTATGTTGGAGGCCTGGGGTTGAAGGGGACAGCCCGTGGTCCCGACACTATGTAAATGCAATCTCATGCAGGCATTGCATTTCAGTTTCAGTTGCATTTCAACGAGGCAAATTCATTTGAAATAGAAACAGGAGGTCAAGCAACGTGAAAACAGTGTAATAGAGGTTTTGCTTTTCATTTTGGCCCTTACTCTGCACGTCACCTGTGGAGAAGTAATGTTGTCTGCAATTTATTTCACTGCACTGTTATGACTGCATTTCAATGAGTAATATCTGTTTAAAGCGCCACACAGTGGAAAGCAATACATTCGTGTCTTTGTTACATTTCAAATGGGATTGTATTCAATTCTGACACCAATTCAGCATTTTGTTTTTAAAATGCAAATCCTCATGCATCTCACTAAAGAGGTAAAGCGATGTGAAAACAATATACAGAGGGTTAGGTTTTCATTTTGGGACATGTTCTGCATGTCACTATGGAAAAGTAATGTGCTGTGTGCATTGCATTTAATGTTTTGCCACTGTAGTGACTGCTTTTCAATTTGGCATGAATTCCACTCAAAACTGATACTGCGTAACACACTTATCTATTAAAAGCATTAGCTAAAGGCAAAAAACAGCATTACGTTTATGCATTTGTCCATTTTTATAAACCCACATGTGCTATGATTCTGCTATGGATCCAAATCCCACATAAAGCTCTGACTCTGCGGGGATAGAGAAGATGGAGGGATCTAATGACACAACATCAGATTATAATGCAATCATGAACAACATGCAGTCGTTTGCGGAAGTAAACAAATCCCGTTCTTTTGACTCTGAGCTTAAACCACAGCAAGATCAGATAACAGCACATTTGAAACAACATAGAGCAGCTAGTTGTGGAGATACTGACACTAGCAGCTTTTAAATTGTCCTTCCTGTGGGCTTCAGGCTGGCTGGCAAACTGTATAAGAAAACAGATGGGCTACAGTCTGTAAATGTAGACCTTCATTACTGCGCAAAAGTCTGAGACCACCTTTTCATTGACTTAATATCCGGTCAGGACTTCTATTCAGTGTTTATTGTGTCCACTCTTTACCTTTATTACAGCTTCCATTCTTTTCAGGAGACACACTACCAGCTTCTCAAAGAAATCTGCAGACACACCTCCAAAGTTCAGTCTTCCAAGCTGGTTGCATTTTCTGCTTCTCACAATCCAATAAATTCCGATTTCAAATTTAGACGCATTAGTCCATTAAACCTCCACATTGCAGAGATCCAGTTTCAGTGTTCTAGTGCAAATCTTCTTGGTTCTGTTTCCTTTTCTCAGTAGCCATGTTTACATCAGCCTGATAATCTGTTAATAATCTGACTAATAGCTCAATCGGGATAGAATACGTCCATATAAACACCTCAATCAGAATAGACTAGTCTGATCGAGGCCATTTGGAATACAATTTCTATCCAACTGAGGTGGGTAATCCTGTAAATAATCCATTAAATAGAAGAATAATATCCGTGTAAACGCCTGTATCTGATTACATTCCCTATCGGAAAGTTTAAGTACGTTCTGATCATGTTCGTCGCGTCATAGTGAAAGTTTATAACGTTCAGCATGGCGGAGCAGAAACTGGTCTGCAGAGGAGACGAAGTTTATGCTCTGATCTTTAAAAGACGGCGGTGGGACGGACGTCCAGCTTATGTGTCTCAGAACACGACGTCTTCCTCTCGGCCTTCTTTAATAAGGACATGTGAAGGACGTTTTCCTGAGTCTGACATCATTTTAAAGAAATTAAAAACACAAGCACTGCTCACTGCTGCTCATCTCACACTGACTGGACTCACGTGATGTTGGTTGTCATGGTAACGTCTACACTAAGTGGTTCTCTACGTATGTGCGTCATTCTGGATCTGATTACTTGTAGTGAGCATGTAAACAGAGATTTTCCAGCAGACTGAATGTATTCAATCGGATTGGCAAAATTCTTTGCATGTAAACACAGCCACTGAGGGGTTCTTGACAGCTACACATAGCTGTGTTGTCTTCTCACAGTAGATGGATGGATATGGATCTGAATCAAGAGTGGAACTTGATTTTCTCCTCTCTCTCAATCTGATGGGGACAGTTTTGGTGGTCAGCCAGATCTTGCAGGTAGTTGTTAGGAGCCCCATTTTCTCTGTAGCTTTTAGTTATTTTTAAAAGTTTTGAAAACTTCACTTACTTTCCCCCTTCCTTATGGAAACTGATTATCTTACATCCAGTGGTGGACGAAGTACACAAACCATGTACTTGAGTTAAAGTAGAGATACCCAAGGTAAAATATTACTCCAGTAAAAGTAGAAGTTCCTCCCTTTAGACCTCCACTTGAGTAAAAGTACAAAAGTATTTGCCTTCAAATGTACTTAAGTATCGAAAGTAAAAGCACAAAAAGATTAATTACGACTCTAATGTACTATTATGTTTTGTGTAACAAGACTCGCTTCATTAACTTATTTAGGTGAAAATACTCCAGTGTCACTCTTGGTAAACCAGTCTTTTAATAGAATGACATTAATTAGTGACACTGATGTCTATTACAATTATCATAAGCACAAAACACTGAAGGTAAACAGTTTCCATCAGGTAGAACTGAGTGGCTCTGAAATAACTTTTTACAAACAAGCAAAGTTTCAGTTTAAGATTTATTTGCAACTTAGTTACAAGTTTAAATTTAATAAAAACTAAACTGCATCTGTAGGTCTCTGTTCATAAACATAAACTAGCCAAAATAAATTTACTATAAAATGAAATATTGTTTGTATAAATTCAGAAAAAAGACTCATCAGTCACAACTGCATATGTGTACATATTTCTATATTGTGGTCTATTTACACAAAGTTAGGTTAGTTCATCATTTATGTAAGATATTTGACTTTGAAATGTAGTGGAGTGAAAGTAAAAAGTCACCCAAAATAGAAATACTTCAGTAAAGTACAGATACACAAAAAACTACTTAAGTACAGCAATGAATTACATTTACTTAGTTACTGTCCACCACTGCTTACATCTAATCTCCTTAGAAATCTGAAAAGTGAAGCACTTATACTTCATGGATGCTTCAACTAGAAATAAATTAAATAAATGATGGGTGGTCTCGGACATTCGCACGGTGATGTACATAATGGACCTATAATGTAGGTGGAGCTCATAAAGTGGCCAGGATTAACGCCTGACTGTAAGATCTATCCTGCACTCTCATGTGTATTATCAATGAAAGGTGAATGGAAGAGAGTGTAAGTTTGAGAATTAAGGGTTACAGTGAGAATCTTACCTTTGTGTGAACTTTAGGTACGGAGTATAGTCAATCACAGCCTCGGATTTACCGTCCAGAGCCTCTCCTTTCAGACAGAAACTGAGAGAACACAAAACACCAGTCAGAGTCTCACCAAACTTCAGTCCACCTCTATATAATCCTACTAAACCTCTGTTTTCATCCACAGTCTGTCTCCTCAGATTAACCTTTCATTAAACTGTTCCTACAATGTGCCCATATTATAGATTTATTTTTTTTACACTGTTTGTGGACATACTTCATTTTTACATGACTATTGTCCAAGTTTATCCTCTAGAATTAAACAGACTGTATTGCTGCTGTGCATATACAACTGGTATATACAAACGACCTGGGTGTTCTGACTGGGCAGTGACATCACAGCCATGATGAATTCAAAACTATCTGTACGGTATAGGGGTGCCCATACTTTTGTGGTTTGAGATCTACTTTTTCCATAAAATAAAATAAACTGCCTCGTCCTTTTTTTTAATGCACTTCAGTGGCCTATGTTGATTGATACTGGCGCTGCACAAACTGGCTATCGATAAATGAAAACTTTCTAGATTGCTAGAGAGGCAAACTCACAGCAGTGCTTCAGGCCGCCTGTGGCATAGCTATGGCAACAAGCAGTACATTAAAGATACAGTGGCTACATTTTGCGTCAGTCAATCATGTTGACCTGTCTGCCACCAGAAGCAAGAAACTGTTGAAATTTGATAACCTGTCTAAATGAGGCGCGATCTACCAACGTGCACTGTAAGTTCGACTGGTCGATCGTGATCGATGTATTGGGCACCTCTGGTCTTGTAGCTCAGATTCTACATACATCAGTATGGACTGGGGAGCTTTAACAATGTTTACATACTATATTTTTTAACAAATATTGAGTTTCCAAGATATGGGCCTTTTCAAATAGGACTACACACAATAAGAGTTCCCAGTTATTAGTACATAAACAGCACACCCAGTAAGAAGCTTCGTTACTTTCCCGCCCCCCCAGTGCTCCTATTCTTTCTCTTTTCTCCTCTCACCTGAAGTCGATTGCTCCGAGTCCTATCAGCATACCAGTCAGCACAGAGGCTTCTTCTCTTAACATGATGGCACCTTCATCATAGAACCTCCTGCACACACACAAAACCACACACAAACTCTGATTCTCTTGATTAGAATCCTCTACCTTGTAGATCAACACTGCGAGAGACTCTGGCCCAGGGGTCGGCAACATGCAGCTCCGGAGCTGCATGCGGCTCTTTTACTGTCCTGTTGTGGCTCCACAGCAGAATCAGATTTGTAGGTAAAAATAAAATAATCCTCCTTTACAGTAAAATAAAGTTCTGCTGATCGTTCAACACAGTTTAACAATAAATGATCTTAAACTCTGGAGTTAATGTAGAACTGCTAATTCACCCTTTAACCCTGAAGATCAGCGCCGACTGTTGGTCACCATAGCAACACAGACAACAATCTTGCCTAACTTGTAGCTAACGAAAAGGCAAAGAGAGAGATTTAAGACGAACATCGATCATTTGGACACGAATTGTCTTATTTGTGTTTATAATCACTCCAGCTGGTTTCCTGATATGTTTAATCTGCAACGAGAAACTGCCAAACATGAAAAAGTTGAGAAGCTGAAGTCGCTTCTCATTCGCCAGCTTCTCGTTGAATTTTCCTGTACTGCCTTAATTGGTGCAGCAGATACATTCTGGCGCCTTAGGTACCATTTAAGGTGGAACAGGAAAATTTGAACAAGAAGCTGGCGAATGAGAAGCGACTTCAGTCTTGTACAAAGTTGAACATTGAGAGACATTTTACAAGAAACTGTTCTACTTTTGAGGAAAAGTTTCCTGCTGGAGATGCGAGAAAAGTGGCTATAGCTGAGCTAAAGCTTAAAGCAGAGCAAAGTCAGTCTGTGTTTTGTTTATATTATGTTTTTAGCCTATATTAGCACATCAGCACATCCTTAAATAATTTACAGCCAAGATGGTAAAATGGATATAAAATGTTGGCTCTCAAGGTGGTTTGGTTTTTGTTGAATGGACAAAGTGGCTCATTTGGGTTGCTGACCCCTGCATTAGTACAAAGAAACTGAATCTGTGAAAGTCTCCTGGAAAAGTCTCCTGGAAAGATAAAGTCTGGACACACTAAATACACAAGCACACAAGACTGTACGTTGGAGCTCAAATTGCTGCAACATACAGACAAGGATCAAATATGTACTTGTGCTATGTTCTCTAAGTAAACTCAGAGCTAGCTTGGGGCTGTCTGGTTAACCCAATGGAAATTGGGCACGATTTCATATGTGTGCGGTTTTCGGTGTGCTGTCTTTAAGCTCCAACCTCGTGGTGCGGCTGTCTCTCAATGCCGTTGCGATATATTCGGACAGACGCTTCTCCATCAGCGCCACTCTTATCCAAGCTCTGCCCTGCACACACAGAGACATGATGGTGATACAACAACAATGTTAATTCTAATGTAATAATCAGCCAAGTACATTTGCATAAATGAAGATACACAGTTTGTCTTCAGAATAGTACAGAATACAGATAAAAGGTAGTAATACTGTTTAAGCAACATAATAATTTTCCTAACTTGGTATGCTTACAATGAACCAACAGGCACACTTTTCATAGCCTATGATCAGAGCCGGAGTGGGTAATCGGGACAGGTGGGAGAATTCCCAGTGGGCTGGTAGCATTTTGGGCCCATTACTGTGACCTAATGTTTTAACTCACACATATAAGCAGAAGAACCCTCAGACAAACGATACAGGCTACATCCGAGTGTCTTTCTGTAGTAATGTAGGGGTTAAACCAGCGGCCCTCGCCTCAAGTGGTACAGCCCTGGAGTCTATATATCATAAAGGATAAAACATGCCATAACTTTTGCACAGGGCACATTTGATGTTTTATTTTTCCCTGAATGTTACATTCAGCACATAAACTGTAATTTTGGATTAAAATGTGCAGGAGTGTGTTCTCTGTAGAAGTTGTCACTTATTTTTACTTAGAACATCCACAGAGCATGCCGTTTGACCTGGGCCGCCCAAACTTTTGCACAGAACCGTAACTATGCAATTCAATATGTAATTACATTCAAATACCATATCGAAACAATAGCAGACGCCGTAGGGTTGTGACCACTACTTCAGCTGTATTTATGTCATTTGAGAATATCGCTGCAGTCAGAACAAAACCTTGTATCTCCAAAATGGTAACTTTACAGGAGAAGGAAAAAACATACGTTACTTTTAATGGAAGTCAATGGAACCAGACTCTTTTGCAAGCAATTTTGGGCTGTTTCTTTTGGTCCATTCATCATGAAATTTACATACAATGTAAAGCACAACAGGCTCTTTCAAATGATGTCAAAAAATGAAAAACGTCAAAAATGGAGATAGAAGGTTTTGTTCCGACAGCAGCGATATATGCCTTCTTTAAATAAACCTTAAAAGAATAATTCCTTGGTCACTGGAATGATGCTAAATAGTGAATTATTTCAAATTTTTCAAATATTCTCTCTTACATTGTAACAGGGGATAGAGAGATATTATCATATATATTTTCACCACGTAAAGGTTTTGGATAATTTTTCACAATTTTTTTTTAAAAGGCTGCCTAATTTATGTTTTTGGGCTCTTGGAAAGGGTATGCACACGTTTTATTATTCAATTATGTATTATATATTCTATTATTTGGACTTAAAAACTCCGACTACCAATCAAAATAACCACTAGATTACTTGATTACTAATATAAACAAAATTAAGATGCTAGTCTGCGACCCCACCTTTGCTCTAGACGAGTTAATGTTCTCCATGTTCTCGATGCTGCTGATGCAGTTGTTCTGGAGTTTGCTGCAGGCCAGACGAATGAAGTCCCAGAAACTACGCTGGCCATCGAACCAGCTGCCTGAACCTGTCAGAGAAAGAAACATAAAAAACACACAAAATATTTAATAATGTAAGAAAAGAAGCAACTATTTATTTATGAGGCTACAGCAGAGTACAGTGCTTTTCCTACAGTAGTACATTTTTAATAAAGATGGTGTTTCAAGGGTTCTTTAGTGAAGAAAATGGTTCTATAGAGAAGGGCTCTTTGCATCATGAAAGTGTTCTTCAGATTGATGGAGAATGTGCTGCATATGGTTCTATGCAGAACCTTTTTGAAAAGGGTATTCTATATAGCAACCAAAAAGGTTCTTCTATTGATACGAGGTCAAGCTTGTAACAATAGAAAAACCCTTTTGGGTGCTTTTCAAAAAGGTTCTATATAGAACCATCTATAGCACATTTTCCATCAGTCTGAGAACGCTTTCATGATGCAAAGAACTCTTTAATCATGCAAAGGGTTCTTTGAGTGTTCAAGGTTCTATATAGAACCACTTCCTTTATGAAAAAAATGTTGGAGCACCATCTTTTTTAAGTATGTAGTCAAACAGTTGGGTCTGATTTCTAGATATTATCCATAATGTGAAAGACAGTTTGATGTAAATGCTTAAATATTTTCCATAGTTTCAATATTAAAAAATGGATAAATTAGTTTTAAAATGGTCTGTTCAAACATCTGAGTGGGGGTTTATGCAAACAGACTGTTCCTTTTCGAGCAGAAGCTCTTCACCTTTAAAGCGGTGGCTGAGGATGTGTTCGAGGATTGCGGCAAAGTTGATGAACTCCTCAGATGAGTCATCTATAGGTTCGGCCGTGTACTTCTCCAGCAGCGTCTTCACCGAAAACCTGACACACAAATGGTGCATCAATTTCACAACTGGTCAAAACTCCAGCAAGTATCGCGACCCCTCCAAACGGACTCTGAACTAATCCAATTCGGCATGCTTTTCTTATGGTCTACAGAGATAACTGCGTGAAAAAATAATCAATTTTCATAGACGGTGACATTATTATGCCATTATATGGTCAAACTGCTTGTAGGTATAACAGTATAACAGTGTAATAGTGAGCCTGACTGTCTTTAAGTGGTAGGAAATGCAAATAATCTTTCCTGTGCTGTTGTGTTTGCCTCAACTCCAGGCCTGTGGGGGGGTGGTGGGCGGTGGGGCTCAAGAAGAAAAAGGCCAACCTGAAGGTGAATGAATGTGAAAGAGTCTTTCCCCAGGGAGCTACCATTTTAATGTTTCTGCTAGAGCAGGAAATAGAACCCCAATCTCAAGCATACAGAACTAGTTATCCACTAGGTTAGTTATCCACTAGGCTGTTGAACTAAGGAGAGTTATAACCCTCTATAAGCATCTCTTATTAGGGCTGAATGATTTTGGCAAAATATTTAATGGTGATTTTTCCATCCAATATTGCAATTACGATTTAAATTGCAATCGTTTATAATTGAGATATAAGATGAGGTAAGGGCATTTTTTGCCTCAGGGTGGCGCTGTAGCAAACTGGTTCACCATGTTGATCCTTCATAGCCAAGCAACTGTAACTATGCCCAACATACCTCTGAAAAATTATAATATGCTGCCCAATTTCCCAGTAGTTTGGTAGAAAGAGTGAATTCTGACTCCTTTTTCAAACCAAAGACAAAAGAGAAAATCTCAATATTAAACGAGAGTATTTCCAAAAGAAAACTGTTAAACCAAACATTTTGTTGCCATTGCAGATGGCATTAGTGCTGCTCTAGTGATGAGTGGGCAACCAAGCAACACTGGAGAAGCCAGCCAACATGGGTCCCCCCCCAAATGCCAGAGGGTATTTCTCACACTGATTAAAGGTTCCGTTATTTGCACATAAGCACCATCTAGACTGGCACTAAAGTGTGAACAGGCCTGTTACTAGACTTGCTTATGTGACACTGTATGACATGGTGTTACCTGTAAACTAAATTCAGGCTTCAAGATGCCTGTTTTAGCTATTTGATGTCCATTCTTTCATTCCATGTCCACTCTTCCCTGAGCTTTTAAAGAACAGTGTTGGTGAAGGCATATGATGCCCTAAATGTAACTAAAGCCCAGCAGTGAGGAGCTGAACTTTACCCTCCTCTGCTGTCACTGCAGACTGGCAGGGTCGCCTACAGAGCAGCGCTGGTAGCTGTTAATGAAGTGATGCTCTTTTTATTTGAGGGTCCCGTTTCAGAGGGAAGATTTCAACCACCACAACTTGTAACTCAGTTCACTTGAAAACAAGGGGTAGGGGTTAAAATAAGAAATGGGATTGGGCCTAAGTCTGTAAAGGACGAGAGCACAGTTTCAGGTAAATGACTGTGAATGGCCGGCTGAATCAGTACACGAGCAGTCAGTCCCCTGAGGACATCAGTCATCTCAAATCCAGTAATGGAGACCGAGAGTCCACCACAGAACACGATAGAGACAGAGCGCTAAGTCATGGTTCAAACAATGGTGATTTCAATAGCCAATATCCAGGACCAGCAGCATACAGAGCAAGTGACATCACCATCTGTTGTTCTGTGGGCAACAATGTCCCCTTCAGCAGCTGGCCAGTCCGTCCCAAACAGGACAATAACAGCCCACATGTAAGATGGGCCTTCAAAAAGACTTCACAGAAGGGCCAAAGCCAGTAAAAAGCTTGTGATGGTCTCTGAACATCAGTCCAGAGGTGGGCAGTGTAGTATAAGACTATGTTCAAGCGCTCCAGTTAAACAGTGACTCAAGTAGAAGTAGAGTTGAGTTGGCTATAGAGCTGCAGTGGAAAATCCAGAGTCTACCAGCATAAGAGCTTGAAGTGGAACTCCACCAATTTTTCAAAATTTCTGCATATTTGAATGGTTATGATGTAAACAAAGTCATGATTGGTTTGGTGTGAAATGCTCTGTTCTAGAGAAACTTACAGAGTCAGAACTGTTCACAGTGGTGGTGATAGGAACCAGATGTCCACCTCTAAAAGCTCCCTCACCGAGAGTTACTACATGAAATGGTTATGAATTCACTGCCTGATGACTGAAACATTGTTTTATGATAGATTTGTGGTAAAGTTTTGCCCTAAGACGTATTCATGATGGAAGGATACATGAGGGGTGTTTGAAGGCAAAAGAGTCCCCAGAAAACACTGTGTCCACTCCATGTCCACTCTATTAGACACTCCTGTCATGTCGGTCCACAAAGTCAGTGACGATAGCTCATCTGCTGCTGCACAGTTTGTGTTGGTCATCCTCTAGTCCTTCATCAGTGGTCAGAGGACACTGTTGGCTGGGTATTTTTGGTTGGTGGACAATTCTCAGTCCAGCAGCACTGCTGTGTCTTATCCACTCAAACCATCACAACACACGCTAACACACCACCACCACGTCAGAGTCACTGCAGTGCTGAGAATGATCCACGACCCAAATAAAACCTGCTCTGTGGTGGTCTTGTGGGGTCCTGACCATTGAAACACAGGGTAACAACGTATGCAGAGAAACACATGGCCTACAGTCTGTAACTGTAGGACTACAAAGTGCTCCTATGTGGTCAGTGGAGCTGATATAATGGACAAAGAGTGTAAATACAAGCAGGTGGCTTTAATGTTATGGCTGATCAGTGCTATTCTTAATCCTAATGAATCGTTAAAAACACAAACAAGATGATTTTTTTAGAGTTTCAAAACAAAATAGTCTAAAAATGACCATAAAAGTCACCACAGTATCATGACTTCCTATATCTCAGCTGCCAACTCCCAAAGGCTAACCGACCGTTGCTGCTCGTCCTTGCCCAGAGAAGGTTGTCGTCATAGTAACGACATCATCCGGGCAACGGTTTCCCCCACTCGTATTCGGACAAGGCCCGCCTTTCATGTTCAACGATTGGCTGGCTGCTCCTAATGGTGTGATTTGATTTGCTAACACTGTTCGCGAGTCTGAACGACTAGCCAATGTAAACGTACAAGAGGCGGGACCCTCCGGAAAAAGGGTGGGTTAAGAAAAAACACTAACGCCCTATCGCAATAACGGTGACAGAACAAGCCTGACACGGCCTTTCTCTACATTTCAGCCAAACATGTGAATCTAATTCTGCCATGTACGCAATAAAAGGTATCAACTTGTGTTCAATCACAAAAAAACAAGATACAACCAATACGCCATTGATGATGACATTATTGTCTTCGAGGCTGAAGTTGGCTTCCTATTCGAATTTCCCGTTCCACCTTAAATGTTGCAGCAGAACGTAACTGCTGCACCAGTTAAGGTGGAACATAGAAAGGATGGTCGTTTCCACATTTTCTGCTATTCAAAGACAAAACAAGGCAGACTGACCCACCTGCAGACGGTGAGGAGGTTCCTTCTCTCCACCGCCGCGCTCCTCTTCGCCTCCATTTCTCACCACAAACACACAAGCACACACACACACACACACTACATACACACACACTCACTACACACACACATCACACAGTCGCTCCAAATCAAGCGGACATCTGCAAATCCGGCATCATTGAGCTCCTAAGATAAATAAAAACCTCTACTGTACGTCTGAAAGCTGATGTCCAGCTCTCCGCTCCTGATTGGCTGTCTGTCTTTATTGGGGTTCCTCTCGGCCCCGCCCAGGCGGTGATGTCACGATGACCTCATCATTCGTCGTCTTTCTCATTAATAGCCAGTCAGCAGAAATCTATTGGAATGGATTACATCACTTACAATGGTTAAAGGTAAGAAGAGCAGTACTTTCCTCAAAGAGCGGGAGCTTTGCAGCATATTTTGAATCTCTCAATGTCTGGTTATCATTATGATATGACTTTAAAAAAAAACAACATTTTTTTATTGTTATTTTTATTCAAATTTTTAATTACTTTTTATTTTTTTAAATTATGCGTTTATTTATTTATTTAATTGTATTTTAGTTTGTGTTATTTTAGATTATTTTGTTACTGATTATTCAGCCATTTAGTGTAGTAGTGATGTGTGTTGTAATGATGAATAACAATAGATAATAATAGTTACGAATAACAGCATCAAAATCGACTCAAAACAGTCTCTCAAAATAAGGCTTGGTCTCTTCCTTGTAAGTGTTTTTTCATTAATAATAAAATCAGAGAAGTACACTTAAAGTCCTGCATAACATTTATATAATCTTTTCAAATTTCCAAATGTAGAACAAAGTTGTTCATTTTACACAAAAATCCAGAAAAAATGGACAAAATATTTTTTGAATGTTACTGTTCTAAAGAATTTTAAAGAGATTATCCAAATATTTTTCAGATAAATCTGGACACACACACACACACACACACACACATCTTCTAAGCCGCTTATCCTTCTGGGTCACAGGGGGAGCTGGAGCCCACCCCAGCAGTCATTGGGTGGAAGGCAGGATACACCCCCACCAGTCCATCGCAGGGCAGACAGACAGATAGACATATACATTCACACACACACTCACACTCAGGGGCAATCTAGCATGTCCAATTGGGCTGACTGCATGTCTTTGGACTGTGGGAGGAAACCGGAGCAATCTGGATACAGTGTAAATGTAAAACTTAAAAGACGATTATTGGTTTTAACTGTAGTGTATTTAATTGTAGTGTAATTACCATAAAAGAAATAATAATTTGAAAAAAATCAGCGCTGGCAGGAGCACAGCTCAGGGTCTGTTTTCTGAGGAACCTCAATGCCACCTAATGGTGAAACACTTGCATTGCAGTCTGACAGTAAGTGAAAAGGGCACAATTTGCATCAGTGCAATGAAACTTGGTCATATGGGAACATGCCTTCATAGCTGGTGATAAGTGTGGGGTAGTGTAGAGTAGCATTGCCCAAAGCTGATTTACTTGATTAAGCACTCTAGAAATTCACCCTCACCCCACCAACAAACATACTAAGCATGCGCCAATATGGGAATTATGGGCCGGTTCTGATGCTCTGATATTTTTCATGTACATTTCTGCCAATGATGATATATAAACATTCATAAATTATAGAATTTGAGACTATTTGGATTAGCATTAGAGAAATTTGTTTCAATGTTAATATTAATATTTATTTATGCAGTTATTTCTATAGAGGCCTTCTGGAAGTCCTACATACACCACAGACTGTGAATGTAAGCTGTAGGCTAAACAGCTTTCATGGACATTTGAGGCTTGTAAAAAAGCATTCTGTAATTGTATTGGAAGATTATAACAGATTTTAACATATATTGTACCTTGTATGTATCTTTCAGTAAAGAGTCCTGGCTTTTGTGCACCTTTGGCTTGTGTTCACAGACAGTGACGTATCTAGAACTTCCTGAAGGCCTGGAGTGACATTTTTTCCCCACAAAGTTGGTCCCATTCATGATAAATCAAAAGATAATTGGTTGATTCTACTATCAGTTCATAACTATGCCGACAGTAAATCTAAAGCATAAGGCCTTTTTTGCAGCACCTGAAGTCCTACCCAATAGGAGAACTCGCTTGGCTGTATATACCTAAATACCGAAAACAATCCATATTGGACATTTCTTTATTGTTTCCAACCAGAATATAATGCAAATAGGAATATTACTATAATACTCAGAGTTGAAATACAAGCATGATGATTCTAATAAATAAAATGAACTAAACATTACAGACATATATGTTTAATTCTTAGAAATCATCAGGCCCTCTGTGAAGGCTTAGAAGGACTGAGGTAAAGGTAGCAACTCTGTTAACATAAGTAACACAATTGCTACTTTTCCATTAAGAGAATAAGCTGTATGACGGATCATGCCGCCTAACTGCTCTGTATTGGGTGCATGTGTGCATAAAGTAGACTGAGACAGACTCTGTGTGACAGACTCTGGTCTAGATCTGAAACTGTTGTGTGAAATTCCTGATTGCAGTGAGAGGACGTTACGGGCAGAGCGGCGGAACAAAGGAAGAGATGTTCTAAGATGAAAGAAGGCTGTCATCTATTAGCGAGAGGATCTGTGGGAAAAATGACAAAAAAGCTTTGCCTAAATTCTTCTTTTCCTCAATTATTCCAGTTGAAATTGTCTTTCGAAAATGCTGCGAAGGCTGAACAGGCCCCCAAAATGAAACGCACCACTTACATTTGAATTGATGGAGCCACACCGGTCAGTGAAGAAACAGACAGTCATTAGCATTTTCTGCTAATAAAAAGACCACGTATTAAGTGAAAGCAAGAAGGTCTAAAGAAGAAAACCATGATCTTTAGACTGATGTCACTCTAAACTCCTCATCTTCACAGACACGGTCAACTCTGGAATGGAAGAAAACACTAGACAAACGGATGAGAAAAACCCCCCCTCTTGCCCCAGCCAGTCAGTTGTGTCATGCTAGCCCTGCGGCGTCAGGCAAATATTTAGCCAAGCTCACCATGCCTACTGCATGGGCACTTGAAGGAAGCATGGCACCATGGAACACTCTTTATAGTTTAAGCAATAAGCTCTGAAGAAGAAGAAGAAGGAGCATGTGTGAAGAGAAAGACTGTAGTAGTCAGCAATTTGACGCTTTGACGCTCTGCTTTGTTAGCCCACCATTGCTAACAGTCAGAGGAACCAGAAAGCGTTTGGAGGTTCTGTGATTTCTCACATTATTGCGGAAGTGAGAAGTAGATTAGTACATAATGGAACCTGGGCCTGGTTGTACAAAACATCTTCAGTGAAGGAAACGTAAGAGGGTTTCACAAAAGACTTTAAACTCTTTCAAATGTTTTCGCTTATACATTATATATAGCTTATATTGCTTAAACTCCTGATCATATTCACAGATTCCAGTGACTTCTTTTCCTCACAAACGTGGTTCAACCGATTGGAAATCAAAATGTGACTCTTTGATTCCACTGTCAGCTCGTAATTATACTGGTAGACCAGTAAAAGAATAGAGTATTGTAAAAGAATTTTCCTGTTCCACCTTAAATGTAACCGCTGCATCATTTAAGGTGGAACGGGAAAATTAAAAACAAAAAGCTGACTTCAGCCTCGTAAAAACTCGAACGTTGAGGGGCTTTTAAAGAGTAGAAACTATTCTACTTTTGCGGAAAAGTTTCCTGCTGGAGATGGGAGAAAAGTTGAGCTAAAGCTTAAAGCAGAGCAAAGTAAGTCTGCGTTTTCATTTTTTTTTAGTCTACACTAGTACATTAACACATACTGAGACATATTTACAGCCAAGATAAAATGGACATAAATGTTGTGCCTCCCAAGGTGGTGTGACTTTTGTTGAAAGGACAAAATGTCCCTTCTTAACATTTGGGTTGCCGACCTCTGGCCTAATCGATGATAGAGCTCGCTTGGCTGTATCTACCAAGATACTGTGGGAAAAAAACTCTGACTGAACACTTTTCCTTTTGTTTTCAACCAAAACGTAACAATAAAATAAGAGCGGCTGCACTCCTGTAATAGCCTGGTGGGAAATCACGGCAAACTCTGGTAAAGAATGATACAATTTAAATTGTCGCTGTCAGTACATTAAAACTGCCCTTTACATTGTGTGTAAATTTCATGGTGAATAGACCAATAGAAGTACGTCTTCTTACATTAAATATAAATAATATTTTGCCATCTCTTGTAAAATTGCCATTTTGGAGATGCAGGATTTTGTTACATTTTGTTTTTCTGCCCTTGGTTCTTTGTGCCATATAGTCTATGGTTCTATACAGCATGAAAAAGGGTTCAAGCTTGACATTGTGACAATAAAAGGACCCTTTTTGGTGCTAAACAGAACCATATACAGCATATTTACCATCATCTGAAGGACCATTTCACCATGCAATGAACCATTTAGGCATGAAGTGGTTCTATATAGAACTCACTCTAAAAAGGACTGTTCCCTTTACTAAAGAACCCTTGAAGAACCATCTTCATTAGTTTCGAAACTCCACTACAAAACTAAAGAAGCAGATGCCAAACATGTATGGTGTATCGACTAGAGTTGCCACCTGGGGATCTCCAAGTTGTGATTAATGACCTCTGCGTCTCTCTCAGTGTACCAAGTCTGGAAGGCATACATCCCACTTCCTGTCTGTCGTGTCCCTCTGTCCAGGCTGGCCTTCTGTTTACATCGGAAAGGCTTTTTTTCTTGCTCTTGTTCCCTGGAATGTTTGCTCATGGAGCGGGAATTCAGGAGTTTTCGGGGAAAACTAGAACTAAGGAGTATCTGTACAGCACACATGTACTGTATGTGTCATTTCACAATCTCTTTGATTTCCCTGCATGTGTGCTTGCGTAGTTTAAGAGTCATCCCGGGTCTGGACTTCAGGATTGGCCTGGATTCACAGTGACGAAGCTGATGGCCATAAGATAAACACAGTTCCCGTACATGTTTCCCAAAAGGGCGGATTCCAGTTTAATGGTACAATTAGGTCCAAGCAATACAGTTTCCTGTTAAATTAAGACTTGTTTATATGCAACGTCATGATGATATAAAAAAAAACTGATGAAATAAAAATGGCTCTTAATTTTCCTGAAGTGAGGATTCATAGCAGACAAATAACAAGCCAGTTGCTAGGAGACCAGTTTACAAAAGTGGAACCTTTTAATTTGTAATATTCATATTCCAGTCAGTGAAATACATTTGCAACTTCTCATACCCTGGGATATTCAGTCTTTCTCTACAATGCATATACCCTATAAGAAGCAATACTCTATTCTTTAACCGGTCTGGAAATCAGCTGTTGAACAGATGTAATATATTGCAAAGATCTAGACGTAAAATAGTGGATAAGCAGCAAATTTACAGTAACGATGAGCACCAAGCCAAGGAAATGACTGACACTACAGTATATACCATCATGCAGTACATTCAATGAGAGTGCAGAGCTTTAAAGTCCCAAAATATAGATTGAGACAAAGAATGATCATGAGGTGGGCCTGGTTCTCCACGTATTGATACACTTCCCATACTCTAGCCTGGAGCACAGTCTAAAAAGCATGTAAAGTACACTGAAAAGACCATGAACGTCCTGCCTCTGTGAATTTTCAGTGAGAAAAAACAGTTAACACAGAAGGTGAAGCAGCTATCTAGCAACATGCTATTCCTACTAGGGCCCTGCTAGCTCTTCAGACACATATGGTATATTTCAAAAGGCTAAAAGTTATTCCTGAAGGTTTCTGCTTGCATCCATGCAAATATCCACAAAATGCTTTGCGTTGTGATCTTTAGACACACCAGAAAACTACATTATATGACAAAAATATGTGGACACCCCTCCTATTTACTGAGTTCAGGTGTTTCAGCCACATCCGTTAGTAACAGGTGTATAAAATCAAGCACATAGCCATGCAGTCACCACAGACAAGCATTGGCAGTAGAATGGGTGGTGCTGAAGAGCTTGGAGATTTTATATGTGGTACTGTCATAGGATGCCATGTTGGCCAAAAGTCAGTTCATGAAATTTCGGCTCTGCTAGATCTGCCCCAGACAACTGTAAGTGCTACTATAGAGCAACAACAGCACAGTCTTGGGGGGCCATGCAGACACTCAGTGGGGCCGCAAGTGCTGAAAAATGTAGCACATAAAAAAGGCCTATCCTCTGTTGCAGCACTCACTACAAAGTTCAAACTGGAAGCAACATCAGCACAAGAACTGTGCCTTGGGATCTTCATGAAATGGGTTTCCATGGCTGAGCAGCTGCACAAAAGCCTAAGATCACTATGCACAATGCTAAGCGTCGCCTGAAGTAGGGTAAAGAACACCGCCACTGGACTCCGCAGCAGTGAAAATGTGTTCTTTGGAGTGATGAAACATGCTTCACTATCTGGCAGCCTTCTGAACAAATCTGGGTTTGGCAGCTGCCAGGATACGCTACCTACCGGAATTCATAGTGCCAACAGTAAAGTGTGGTGGAGGGGGATGATGGACTGGGGCTGTTTATCAGGGATTGGGCCCCTTAAGTTCCAGTGAAGGGTGATGTTAATGCTACAGCACACAAAACATTTTAGACAACAGGGACAGTTTGATCCTTTCCTGTTCCCAGCATGACTGAGCCCCTGTGCACAAACTGGCCTCCATAAAGACACGGTTTGGCGAGTTTGGAGTGGAGGAACTCCAGTGGCCTGCACAGAGCCCTGACCTCAACCCCACTGAACACCTTTAGGATGAACTTGTTCATTGATTGTGAGCCAGGCCTTCTCATCCAACATCAGTGCCTGACCTCACAAATGCTCTTTTAACTGAATAGCCGCAAATTCCCACAAGCACTCCAAAATCTTGCGGAAAGCCTTCCCAGAAAAGTGTTTTTATGGCAGCAAAAGGGGGGCCATCTCCACATTAATGCCCATGGTTTTGGAAAGGGATGTCCAACAAGGTCATATAGATGTGTTGGTCAGGTGTCCACATACTTCTGGACACATATTGTAGCTAGTTAGCTTACCGTAGAGGTCCACAACTTAAGACTGTATTTGTTGCCATGGACAATTCATCAGCCCACCTCTACCCTAGTCTGTATTCATTATCATTGGTCAGTTTCTGATAACAACACTGCAGTTTTGCCAGATATTATCTTGGTGGTGGTCGCATCTCAGCACAGCAGTGACCACCACCCAAAAGTATCCAGCCAAGAGCACATCAATAGATGGTTTACAGTCTAACTGTACAACTAGAAGGTGGAGATACAAGGGAAGAGTTTCTCACAAACTACACAGTCAGTATTGTTTTCACCGGATGCAGCAATATTACTGTTTCCATAGATCACCTGGGATGTCGGTTTTCCATGGCAAGCCGGTTTCAGACATTTGACAAGTCACAATTACTCGAGAAGACAAAACCCAGACAGTAAGCCGAGGTTTAACAACATCTCACTCAGGTGTTCTCTTTATGTTACTATGGAAATGCACTGTGACAGTAACATGCCTAGTTTTCCAGAGTCCTTCACAGAACAGTCTCCAAGTCTTTGGTAGACTCGGAGCTGGAACGATCTTTGGGTACGAAGTACAGTGAGGGGTCTTGCTCCTTTTCCTCTTCCTCTTCTTTATGTCCCATGGTCTCTCCCCCATTCCGATCATATAGCACACCCACCCTGTCGTCCTGTCTGAAGACTGGCTCAGGGTACTGCGTTGTGGGTAATGTAGTCTCAGCATCACTGGGTACGTACCCTGGTAAGTTGGCAAGAGGCTGGTGATGGCCTTGACCCTTGATCCCCAGGGCACTGCCTGCAAGGGCTAAGCCCTTAGTCCCACTCACGCTCAGGCAAACGCTGTGGGTGGTGGTGTGGGACATCATGCCGCCATAGTAACAGCTCCCGCCCCCAGCACTGCTAGTGACACGTGCCTTCTGCTTGAGATCCAGAGTGAGACTCCGCCTCAGCCACGCCTTTTTTACTTCTGCTTGTACCTAAAATGTGATTCATTAAAACAATAATCACTTTTAAAATGAGGAACTTTAATAAAAATAATGTTCTATATAAAACAATAGACGGCTTTAGCTGCAGTTAAACCTCTTTAAATATCCCCAATGTACAGGAGGTTTTTTAAAACTACCCGTTCATTTGGACTAGACACCTGGCATCTGGGCAGGGGGTGGGAGCACATAGTACGTTGCAGTGCATGCTGGGAACTGTAGTGGAGCTCATAGTGAAATGGGCTACTATTAAATGCACATTAAAATAATTTTGTGGGTCGAATAGGATTGTAGCATGGGCCTGATATGGCCCGCAGGCCTTGTGTTTGACACATGGGCCTTTACAGTGCTGTCTGGCTAGCTATCTAATCATTAGACTCAGCCTAAATAAAACCTTCTAAGGCCTGGCTACATCATTTAAACACATAATTTATTTGTGAATGACTAAAACATATAAGTGTTTCATATTTACCATCAACACAGTTTTATCATTTAGTTTTCTCTTGGCAAAACACTTTATGAACGTTGTAAATATTTGGTAATTAATGAAATACTTCATTATGTACAGAGAAACCAAACACATAGTCTAAGTTGCTTATCCTTCTGGGTTGCAGGAGCATATCCCAGCACTCATTGGGTGGAAAGCAAGACACACCCTGGACAGGCAGCCAGTCCACCACAGGGCACACATACAGACAGACACAATAGGGACAATTTAGCATCTACAGTTGGCTTGACTGCATGTCTTTAGACCGTGGGAGGAAACTCACGCAGACACAGGGAGAACATGCAGAATCCATACAGAAAGGACCCTGGTCACCCGGCCGGGGAATTGAACCCAGACCCCTCTTGTTGTGAGGTGACTACCCACTGCACCACCATGCCACATCACTTTTTACGTCATTTTAATACAGTAATGCTCTTTTATCTCGATTTTTTTGTGTTTTCCTAGCAGTGTGCCTACCCATTCAAATCTCTGGGTCTTACCTCGCCCCCCCCCCATTCTAAAGGTTCTAGCTATGCCCCTGCTCATAACTCATTGTAACAAATGAAAATTCTGTGGAAAGTGCAGATTCTGGACTTTCAATCCAAACTGCATTTGTGTTTGTAACAAAGATTTTTATTATGATCTGTTGTTGTATTGTACACTTTTATTTTTGTTGAAAGGAAAATCATCTTTCACATTTTTGCAATGTTTTTTTTTCTGGTCTTTGACATCAAAACAAAGGTATTTCTTAGCCTAAATCCAACAATCCAACAGTTGGTAAACAAAAGGAGTCAGTGTAAATCCAAAAAAGGTGGAGGGATCTCAGGGTCATTTGATAAATGGTTATTAACACAGGCATTTCAGAAGTCGGGTTAGAAGAGTGTGAGCTTTTACTGGTTGGTAATAATAATAATGATTGTAATAATAAGTGCATTTATTGAGCTAGCATAATTAGAAGTATATATAAAAAACTAACCTCTCCATTGCAGAAACAGTAGATGAAGGCCACAAAAAAGCCCTGGAGGAAAGAGAAAGAAAAGCATGAAAACCACACACACGCACATAAAGGGATTCTTCAAGCCACAATTTTCTTATTGGTTGTCTATTTAGGTCTGTTTCAGATAAAATAGCAGACAGAAGAACATGATCATATAATAGAAATTATTAATATTTTCATGTAAGCGCAGTTTAGTGGCATATTGGCAGCATATTGCTAATTTGGTTGGAAACATTTTCCACATTTGTGGCCAGTTGCAATTTTGGTGGCCAGAAATGACAGTGCCTGTGCTGGCTTGGGTCAAAATCTGCCACACCGCAGTATTTTCAAACCCACGTTGGCCAAAATTTCCTCCTCAGGCTCATTCGGTCCAGTAGACGTGCATTATTTATGCCACATCTACTACACTTCAACTCGATTCAGTACAACACAATAGACAGAGTAAATTAAGTGCTATGTACATTTAGTAAATGTGTGTGTATGTGTGTGTGTTAATTCATGAAAGGACTTGGTTTTCACCTGCAAACTGTTGAAGAACATCTCGTAGTGCATCTGGACCTGCCATAACATCCCGGTGACCTCTGTATATGGTAGAGCCATGAAGACCATATAGTGGACACCAAAGAGGGGCATCAGCACCAGAGTGGACTTTAGAAGCTTCCTGTGAAGCACACAGAGCAAATACAGCACAACTCTGGGTTTCTTTTCTGTGTGTGTGTGTTTGGCTCTACATCTGACGTGTTTGGTCAGCCACAGTCACATTAGTGTTAATTACAGTGTATTTTTAAAGGTAATTCTGAATCAGATCAAATTGAATCAAATGATGGTGTACGATGAAATGTACACAACCCTATTCTGGGATCACCCTGGAATATTCCGGCCCTGCCCCCTCATTATCGCTATGCCTAAACCTGCTGCATCTTGTGTAAGTTTGTCTGTACTTGAGGGCCGGTTTTCATGTAATTCTTAGCCGTCTTTTCCAAGTACGCCTTGTTTTGCTTTGACTTTTATCTGCCTGACTGAAAAGAGCCAGAATGCCCATCACTAGTCTCTGCGTGTGGGTGTAATTATAGTGACCTGTACTGCTGTCTTGGGTCCAGTTTCCCTGTGTTAGTTTCCCACAGCTTAGATGCCAAAACTCGGATGATGTTGAGGAAGAGAAAGAAGTTTACCTAGAAAGAGACGTCATATGAGAATAAGAGCGTATAACAGAAGCAGTGTAAACAGACGGCTGTTTAGGCGAATTATTCTAAAAACACACTCCTCGTCCGCTTTATTAGAAAACTCCTCCCTTGGAGCTTCCCTGACTGGTGTAGCCCCTCTGTGGATGCACAATTTCCTCTATCCCTCATCAGTGGTCACTTTCTGACCACAGAACTGCTCGTCTGGCCGCTGTATCTGATACACCCGTATCAGCACACTGCCATGTCAGTATCACTGCTGTGCAGCTACAGATAATCTACAGTGTGTAAATGGACACCTATACAGTGGACCAATAAAGTAGGTGAAGCTCATAAAGTGGGCAGTGAGTGGAACGCAAGTAGGTGTTTCTAATAAAGTGGCCAGTGAGTGGAGGTACAAGGTGTTTCTAATAAAGTGGCCAGTAAGTGAAAATACAAGGTAGGTGTTTCTAATAAAGTGGCCAGTGAGTGAAAATACAAGGTAGGTGTTTCTATTAAAGTTGCCAGTGAGTGGAAGTACAAGGTAGGTGTTTCTAATAAAGTGGCCAGTGAGTGAAAATACAAGGTGGGTGTTTCTAATAAAGTGGCCAGTGAGTGGAAGTAAAGGTAGGTGTTTCTAATAAAGTGGCCAGTGAGTGGAAGCACAAGGTGTTTCTAATAAAGTGGCCAGTGAGTGGAAGTACAAGGTATGTGTTTCTAATAAAGTGGCCAGTAAGTGAAAACACAAGGTGGGTGTTTCTAATAAAGTGGCCAGTGAGTGGAAGTACAAGGTAGGTGTTTCTGATAAAATGGCCAGTAAGTGGAAGTACAAGGTGTTTCTAATAAAGTGGCCAGTGAGTGGAAGTACAAGGTAGGTGTTTCTAATAAAGTGGCCAGTGAGTGGAAGTACAAGGTGGGTGTTTCTAATAAAGTGGCCAGTGAGTGGAAGTATAAGGCAGGTGTTCCTAATAAAGCGGGCGCTGAATGTAAATTCCCCTGATCTTCTGAAAGAGGCAATTCTAATAGTGTAGCTGGTTATAATATAAAATATATATTTAAAAAGCATTTGCTTACAACAATGGCTGCCAGGATGGGAACTTGATAGATCCATTTCAGATTTCCTGCACTTATATCCCAACATCTGAAAGTCCAATGTTGGTACAAATAGTTTTAGTGTGAATAATCACATGCACAGGAAATAATAAATAAAGAAGCTCTCCTTAATATCTCTGCAGTTTCTTCTCAACAACATGAGATCAGATCGAAAAAACAAGGAGACTTCTGCTTAGGTCTCCTTCTGCTCAGATCTTTGTCCTGAGAAAAAGACTCCGGTAATCTCACATGTGGCTCATCTTCAGTTTTAGAAGAGACCTCTATAAGGTCACACATTGTGCTCAGATTTGCCAAGATACTAACACTCATCTTTATCTGCAACTACACTCTCATCTCTCCTTTATCTCTGTATCTCAGTCTCCTTTTTGTCTAATGCTATTTGTCCTACGGAATCATCGTTTTCACCAAGTCTCCTGAGCCTTCAAAGAGCAACATTAAAACAATACAGTTCTCCTCTGGATGTATATGTGCATGTGTGTGTGTGTTTTAGCATTTGCTTCAAAACCTACTGTGTATCAGCGAGTGAGGCTCGAACGCTGACCCAAATCGACACGAAGACCGCAGGGACGCCTACAGTGGAGAAAAAACTTCATACAACTCTCAGAGCATGATGGACAGGTCCAAATCCTGAGTAACCACTGACTCACATTGAAGTGAAAATCTAAGGCCCAATCCCGTTTCACTCCTCACCCCTACCACTTAGACCCTTGGCCCTCCATTGACCCTACACCCTAGGGGTAGGGTGTCCTGATTTTTGTTGAGATAGAGGGGTAGAGCGAAGTGTTGGGGCTACATGACCCTCCAAACGGAGGTTTTTCAGAGACTCCAAACAGAGAGTTATGAGAAAAAAAGAAAAACTGGATAAAAGATGGCTGAATAAGAGACCAAAGAAACCCACAAATGTGAAAATTTTCTCTGTTTAAAAATGACGATAATCATTGTATTATCTTAGTTTAATGTTGTTTCAATTTATTATGGTCCTTTTCTTCATAACAAGCGTAAAAAATCTCGTTTCCCGTTCCACCTTAAATAGTCCAGCAGTTCTGACGCCTGAAGTGCCAGAATGTAACTGCTGCTCCATTTAAGGTGGAACGGGAAATTTCGAACAAGAATCTGGTGAATATCTGACTTCAGCTTCATATCACTGAAGAATTAGGGGTGGGTGATAATAAATAATTGCCCCCCTCTTTGAAGGCATATGATGTCCTAAATGTAACTAAAGCCCAGCAGTGAGGAGCTGAACTTTACCCTCCTCTGCTGTCACTGCAGACTGGCAGGGTCGCCTACAGAGCAGCGCTAGTAGCTGTTAATGAAGTGATGCTCTTTTTATTTGAGGGTCCCATTTCAGAAGGAAGAACCACTGCGCTTATAACTAAAGTTCCAAGGGACAAGGTTGCACTCAAAAACAAGCGGTAGGGGTAAAAATAAAACAAGGGATTGGGCCTAAATTTATAACATTTTTTAGACATGTTGAGTCTTAAAAAAGATGACTATTCAACGGTTCTTTAGTAAAGACAGTGGTTTTATATAGAACCATGAAAACTCATCATTTGCACGCTGAAATGGTTCTTTGCATGGTGAAATGGTTCTTCAGATTGGCGGAGAATGTGCTGCATATGCGTTCTTCTATTGTTACAAGATTGACGTTGTAAGAGCAGACCACCTTTTTGGTTCTATGTAGAACCATATACAGCACATTCTCTGTCAATCTGAAGAACCATTTCACAACGCAAAGAACCCTTTAATCATGCATCCTTTAAATGTTTAAGCCTCTATTTAAAACCCATGTCTTTACTAAGTGTAGGTTATGCAGCCTTCTGTCTCATAGATAAACAAAACAGGGATTAAATATGACTTTTTACTTAAGTGACGTTTTAGTGTCAGATTGCATCAAATCACTGTTACAGATGGAAAGTGGTTCCTCACCCCAGCCAATGATGGTCAGAGCCCACAGGTAATTCTTATCGGACAGGAAGGCCATGAAGATCAGACTGTGCAAGTACAGCCCCTCAACCAGAATCCAGTAGTGATTGGTGGCCAGGAAATACAGGAAGAAGGTCACAGCCAGTTTACAGCCCACCTGATCTCAATGCAAGGCAAATTTAAAAAGAGAAGACAGAGACAAACGTGAATGTGTGCAGAACAGAGTCTGACCAATCCAGCATATTCACTCTCTCATTTCATACAAATTCTTAGTGTCGCTGTCTTCATGTGATGCAGGAATTATCGTGAACAAATCGTAACTGCCAGTTTGTCACTGACCTTCACCATTTCATCGCAGCAGGACGGTAGCACTGGTGGATGGTATGTAATTCTTTAAAGGTAAAACTTCACTTGGATTGACTTCAGATGCTTTTTTAGATACTTACTTTTAACGTATATGCAGCTAATATTCCATCATGTTCCCTCTAGGCACACATTGTGAGATTTTAGTCTGTTTTTTTTTAACACACGGTCACAACAACTTCCCCAGTATGGTTGGAGACATTGAGGCTAGAGACAAAAAGAAAAAAATTCAGCTACACCTCAACAAAACAAGGCATAAAACTCAAAACGTGAGCTCTTCGGATGCACCAGCCTCGGATGTGATTCCTGCTGTCGCTGTGCTGCAGAGACTCTTGTTGAAAAAGACAAATGAGGATCAAAACTATGAAACATACTTTACCTACAGTTGTGCAGAAGTGCTTTTCTAAAGTGGAACAAAACCTCTTCTCCACTGCAGCACTACTCGATCCAAGGTGACTAATATAGCATAGCTAGCTAATGAACGTCATTTGAAATAAGCTAGAATTGAATCATTTAACTGTGCAGGCACGTTGCACTCATTTAAACTAACAACTCCATAATCTAAGTAGGTTACTCATGGTATCAGACTCAGTATTGGCAAGTATTAAAAACATACTCATACTCAGTCTGAAAAGAATAGTATCCTTCATTTTCCAAATGAAGCCTTCTTTTAGACACAGATTATAAACATTTTCTTTGTAAATCTAACCTTGCTTATCTGTAACTGCACTCTTACACTCTTAACTGCTTACGTATCTGTAAATGCAAAGAAGATACCAAAATAGTTCAGGCTACCCAAATACATAGCATTAGTGGCACATTTGAATGTAAAGACTGGGCAATTATAACTTTGCAATGGTAAATGGGCCCTGAAATTTTGTTCTGAACCTGAAAACCAGCCTGAGCACTTTCTTGCCCGAGCTTGACCCAACCCAATTCACATCACCAAGTTTTGGGTCCAAAGCCTGGCAACTTTAAGTCCAAACCTGATCCGACCTGATCCACATCATCAAGTTTTCCAAGTCCAAAAATTTGTAAGTCCAACAAAATTCTCATCAAAAATGACCACAAATGGCCCTTAATTGCCCAAAGTGGCAAATAAAACCTGGTATTTTCTAATTATAGCGCCTGTTAAATTATAGTTTAGTGACAATCATTAGATCACAGATAAAAACATACAATATACATAAAAAATACAATTATATGACAAGAAAATAATCAACTTTAAGCTTAAATTTAGCTGTAAAGAAGTTATTCCTTAAGCAAAGGAATAAACTCCCCAAATTCTTTAGGATAAACTTTCCATAATGCCTTGTTTCTTGTGCTGTGCAGTGCTGATATAGCAAACTACTGAATCGATTTGCTGTATTATTCCAGGCGCATCCATTTTCTCACAAGCGTAGGCCTTGGTGCTAAACTCTGTCACCAACATGAGTGGCTGACTCCAGCATGAGATTAATAGTACTTTTAAAATGAAGAATAACATAAAGAGTAAAACTAAAGCAGAAGGAAATGCTGGGAGACGCTGAATAGGAAACTCGAGCCTGACTCATGTTGCATTTGCCCCATCATTATACAATTGATTTTCATATTTAACGATGCACTAAATCCAAATCCCATGTCTGCTGCAGATCCGATCACTGATACAGCAGTGTGATATAGCAATGTTTGATAATGTATCTGCTTTGGTCTTCTTAGTAACAGTAGGCCTTAGAGGTGCAGTGTGTAAGATTTAGGTGGCTCTATTAGCAGAATGAAGTATGTATTTTTCATTAGTGTATAATCACGTGTTACTATGAATCCTGGTGTTTTCGTGAGCTTAGAATGATATATATCTACATAGGGAGCGGCTTCTTTTCCAACAGAGGTCGTCTTGGGGCAGCTTGAATTTGGTGGCGCTGTAGCACCGGTTGGAGGATGTTGAAAGAAGAAGAATCAGTGGTAGCTGAGAATGCAAATTTTGAGAAAAAGGGGGATCATACTTAATATTTAGCATTATTTAGGGTGAATTATCATCATCAAAGAAGTGAAAACATGAAGAACTTGATTTCACGAGTGTTTCCTGTTTTCTGCTGGACAGGTAATTTAGTATACCAATCTACTGGCCACGGTTCCACTACATGCTTGGAAAGGGAGTGGTGAGGGAGGGGTATTCAGTTGGTTGCAATCTGCAACAAAATCCACCTGGCCAGTTTGGGAAAAAACGTCCAAACCTGACATGAGCAGTTGGCTCCTGTTGGGTTTGGGCGAATATGTCAAATATTCCAAGCTCCAGTATGCATGTATAATGTGTGCTTACCATTGGAGGTCTGGGTGCCACCATGCCAAACTCCCCCTCTGTCCGCTCTGTGACGGCGTAGAGTACAGCGTCCTTCACAAAGATGCTGACCGCTCGACATATAAAGGAGGTGAACAGATGGGTGTGGATGTAGTTGCGAGTACAGTGTAGACGTCTAGAAGGAGAGAGAGAGACAGATTGAATGTTGAGTGAGTATAAACCACCAGTAAGTTCCAGCTTCAGGCTCACAAGATGACGGCTGGCCTCAGGTGAGGTGAGTGAAGTCCAGAAACCTTTTTGCCTGCCGAACTCTCCACTGCAACTGCTTTATCTACTTCTTCTACTGAATCTACAGGACTTTTTCCATCATTCTTGTCCAAACCTGCATCAAACTCTAATTACCAGATCAGAGACACATGCGGCTGCGCTGGATGTTTCATCCCAGGATTTACTGATACTGATCACTGATTGATAACTGATACGAAACTAGGCCTCAAAGTTCATATCCCATGGTTGTCACATGCTCTGTACAGATAGAGATACAGGTACTGAGGCCTCACTCATGCACATGAATAGCCAAAAGCAAGTTTCCTCAATTCTGAGGAGTTCGCTTCCAACTCTAATGCTACATCTTCGATAGCTGGATGTGAAAGATTAAACAAGGGTGGATTTCTAAGAAGCTGTTTGGAGACTACAAGCCCTGATGGAACAGCAGTCTGGAATCCTGCTCATGATCAGATCAGACTGAAAATCTTCCATAAGAGGCTGTTTTCTGTGATTAACTGCATTTGGATGATCATTGATCGATCATTCCTTTAAAAGAGCTCAGTAACATTGAGATTAATAACTGATCACATTGATTTATCAGTCTACTCAGGCTTTAGCAGAGCTCAGTAATGCTGAGATTAATAATTGATCATCACATTGATTTATCAGTCTACTCAGGCTTTAGCAGAGCTCGGTAACACTGAGATTAATAACTGATCATCACATTGATTTACTAATGGAAAAAGCTGAATCTAGAACGTACTTGAAGTAACAGAGGATGAACACAGCCACCAGTAAAGAGGTCAGGGAGATGGAGTAGCCGGTAGTGTACATCAGGTGAAGTCGCTTAAACACCTCCTGAGGACAACAGAAGAAGCATTTTGAAGAATATCATTCTAAAATAACAGTTTATTAATTACATTTTCCCCCAGTTTGTATTCCAAAACATCTAACTGTGATGTTTATTAATGTACCTTTTTAAATGATACACATTTTACAACATGGCAAACAAAAATAACGTTAGGTCGATCAGATATTGTTATATTTAACAAAATTCTGAAAAAATGTACCTTCGTACTATCCCTAAGTGTTAAAACCATTAGCTCTGGAAAGACTGACATACACCACATGACCAAAAGTATGTGGAGATCCCTCCTAATTATTGAGTTCAGGTGTTTCAGCCACACTCGTTGCTAACAGGTGGATAAAATCAAGCACATAGCCTTGCAGTCTCCACAGACGAACACTGTCAGTAGAATGAGTCGTACTGAAGAACTCAGAGACTTTAAGCATGGCACTGTCATAGGATGCCACCTCTGCCACAAGTCAGTTTGTGAAATTTCTGCCCTGCTAGATCTGCCCCAGACAACTGTAAGTGCCATTGTTGTGAAATGAAAGTGCCTAGGAGCAACAATAGCGCAACCGTGAAACAGTAGAGCAGTGTGTAGCACCTTTTCTCTGTTTCATCATTCACTACAGAGTTCAAACTGCCTCTGGAAGCAACAACTGTGCGTCAAGAGCTTCATTAAAGGGTTTCCATGGTTGAGCAGCTGCACACAAGCCTAAAATCAAATTACACAATGCCAAATATCAGCTGGAGCAAAACTGGAACTCTAGAGCAGTGGAAACGTGTCCTCTGGAGCGAGGAATCACGCTTCACTATCTGGCAGTCTGATGGATGAATCTGCGTTTGATGAATGCTAGGAGAACACTAGCTAAAATGGAATTCATAGTGATAATGGTAAAGTTTTCTGTAGATCTGGGAATCTGAATCAGTACATGTCCTGACATTTCATTTCCTGTATTTATGGATGCTTAATAAACACATTTTCCAGGGAAGAATCTAAACTTTTTCCTGGACTCTATCATTGTTTAAATACATAACTGCATTGGCCTGAACACAGATGCTTACCTCCTCCTGGCTGCCATGGTCAGAGTGCAGGAAGGTCGTACACTCTGTGTAATTAGCCCAGGTTCGGTTGATGCTGGGCACCTGCTCCCAGTTCCCTGAGGCATCGCAGTTACGGTACGCACGGCCTGAAGGACACAATGCAGAGAATTTACTACACTATACAGTAATAAATTACAACTTTTAGGACTCACATCAAGTGTGGTTTACTTGTGCGATTGAATCACGTCAATAAATTAATTTGAAAAGCTGAATAAGTGAGATCTTGCACACAAAACGTGATGTTCTGGATGGTGAAAATGAGGCATTGAGGCCTTTATACTGACTTTTCATTAAATGAATTTGCTCACATGCAAGGATACATTATGCTGTGCATCAGGGACAAACAGACACTCAAGTACAAATTCAGGGAAAGTTCATTGTTTAGCTGCTTCACCCACAGTCAGAGAGCTTCTGTCTTTGGTTTTCTTACTGAAGATGCAGCACTGCTCTGCCTCAGGGTGGCGCTGTAGCAGACTGGTTCACCCTGTTTGTTCTTCATAGCCTAGCAACTGTAACTATGCCCAACATACCACTGAAAAACTTTCAATATTCTGTAACATATTTGTAAATCTGAAAACTCGCCCAGTTTCTCAACTGATTGGTGGAAAGAGTGAATTGTCAGCTATTTCTCAAACGAAGACAAAAGAAGAGATGTGTATGATCTCAGTCAATGTGACCACATTCCCAAACTGGAAAAGAGCATTTCCAGAAGAAGAAATTCCAGAAGAAGAAAAAGGTATTTCGCACACCGATCCCGTGTACAGCTGATGAGATTTTGCGCATCAACCCCAATATTTTGGAAGGCAAAAATGGAAAATGGTTTTATCCACCACCTTCAATTTTTTGCAAACTTTCGCAGGCAATGTGAACTCACTGACCAACAACTGTTGTTTCTGCTGTTGGCATGGCAACAACCAAGATGTCAGCTGTGTCCCAGCAACTAATACTTGTGTTTGGATATAGTGCACTGTCAATCGTTTGTGTGTGCTATAGCCTTTATACTGTAAAAACTTTATAACTTGCAAACTCAAAAATACACTGAGACATTGTATATATAGTAATAGAAAACCAACTAAGTTAAATGGAATCCCTTCTGAATTCAAATTTTTAATTCAAATAATTCATTTTGTGTAGTTTATCATCAGAAACACATACCAAAAAAAATACGTCCACTGATACTCTTCTAATAGCATTTTTAGATGTTTTTGATAAATTAAAGTAACATAAATTATAAGACGCGGAGAAAGCAGCAGATGTAGCAGTGCAGACCTCGATGGTTGAAGTCATAAATGTACTCAGGGCAAAGCACGGCCACCAACTGACTGGGTTTCCCTCTGGGCCAGCAGATTATACCGTCCCACTCCGGCATACAGTCGTTTTCTGGAAAACATAATGAGGGAATACAGCAATTAACCATAAACTGATAGATTGTTGCTAAATTATTTATTTGCTTTATTTGCATGTTTTTCATGTAAAGCACTTTAAGCTGCGTGGCCGTGTATCAAAGGTGCTGAACAAGTGCAAACACAAAAATATATCATACATCATATGTCATATCAGCATATATCACAGTGATAACATCAATAATCATAATAATAATAATAATAATAATAATAGATATATGAAGACTGTCCAATATGATGAGGGAAAGGACATTATTATTGGACAATCCTTACATTTTTGCTTAAAGCAATGGCTAAAAATTACTCTTACACACTTTTCCCACTTGCCCAAAATGGTCTGCATACACTGGCCGGCAACTTTATTAAAACCACCGCCTTGTATCTACACTCATTGTCCATTTCATCAGCTCCACTTACTATATAGGTGCACTTTGTAGTTCTGCAGTTACAGACTGTAGTCCATCTGTTTCTCTGCATACTTTGTTAGCCCCCTTTTACCCTGTTCTTCAGTGGTCAGGACCTCCATGGACCCTCACAGAGCAGGTACTATTTGGGTGATGGATCATTCTCAGCACTGCAGTGACACTGACATAGTGGTGGTGTATTAGTGTGTGTTGTGCTGGTCTGAGTGGTTTTAATGAAGTGGCTGGTCAGTGTAAATCCAATCACATCAGTATGTTATCTTTACATTATTAATACTATAAAACATAAGTAATGTTTCTTATAGCCTACATAGGTGTTCAACCATCATAAAGCCAGCGCTACAGCAAAACAACTCTTTTGGACACCAATACAATAAAAAAGAACATCTGCAGAGACTTATTGCTCTCGTAGTTCCACCGGAAAATAAAGTTATTAATAATCAAAGCTATGCTGTTCCATAACAAAACAAGAGCAATCATATTAAACAAAAACATCAGGATCAATCGATCAATGAATGTACATGAACAGCTGAGGAGATCAATGCAGAAACAATCTGACTAGAGATAAGTGTCCTAATCTGGGAAACGTAATCAATACAGGCCCTGGCATTTCATTTTCTGTATTTATGGATGCTGTTGTGTCCAGGAAATTGGATCACTGGGGCTTTTAAACCAGCAGGAAGACACTGGTGCTAAATCAGCCCAGCTGTTTCCGTCTGGTTTAATGGATGTTACAGTGCGTAACTGGATTTCACTGATGAGTTAAACACCTTTCAGGGTGGTCAGGGTAACCGGGTGCATTCGTTCCGAATGTATAGTCAGAAGTTTGAACACACCTGGTACAACAGATGTTTCACATAATCTCGAGCTCTTAAAGTCTTTAAGACCCTTAAAGACTTTTACTGCATCACATGGATGTATTACTCAGTAATTACATGGAATACAGTGCAAACAAGCTGAGCTATTCTTAAGGTAAAGGAGTTGCTGACAATTCTTTTCCCCATAGGAATGAATGGGGGGCTAAAGTTTGTCCACCCAGCTTAAATCATGATGATGCAGGTCTATTAGAAACACTCGTGGCATCATGATGCAGGTTTATTAGAAACACCATGGGCAACCATCTAGCAAACACCTGGAACACCATAGCTACCCCGTAGCAACATCCTAGCAACCACCTGGAATTCCATAGCAACAACCTAGCAAGCCCCAGTCAACCACCTGGGATGTGATTGCAATGACCTAACAAGATCCTAACAACCACCTGGGATACCATAGCAACCACCTAGCAACATCCTAACAACCACTTGGGATACCATAGCAACTGCCTAGCAACACCCGAGCAACCACTTGGGATGCCATAGCAACACGCTAGCAACCATCTGAGATACCAAAGCAACCGTCTAGCAACACCTTAGAAATCATCTGGGATACCACTGCAACCACCTAGCAAGGCCCTAGCAACCATCATGGATTCCATAGCAACCACCACCCTAGCAGCCACCTGGGAATACCATAGGAACTGCCTGGCAACACCCGAGCAACCTTATGGGATACCATAGCAACCACCTAGCAATGCCCTAGCAACCATCGGGATACAACAGCAACCGAGTCACTGCAAAAAAGTCCTGCCTCCTTCAGTTATTATTGCTATGCCCGTCAAAGTTTCAGCTCAGGCCATTTGGCATCCAAAGTGCTATCAGACTAAAAGGTTCAGTAAAACAAAGGAAAATTTAGACATATTCTTATATAAACATTTAAACATATTCTTATTTTTTAAAAATGGCTTTACAAGACGCTCAGTAGGAACATACATGTTTGATAATAGATAAAATATGGTGTTTACAGCAAAGATGGATTTTGTATATTTGCATTAATAAAATCATATTAATCAGTCATTGTGACTGATTAACTACAGCGCTGTTCTCACTGCAGGTTTGCTCTTAGGAGCTTTGTCTGAGGCGTAGGGGTGGTCTTTGCACTAGGCAAAGGTTAGGATTAGGCTTTGGGTTGAGGTTGAGGTTAGGGTCAGGATTAGGGCCTGGGTGAGGGTTAGGATTAGGCTTTGGGTTGAGGTTGAGGTTAGGGTCAGGATTAGGGCCTGGGTGAGGGTTAGGATTAGGTTTTGGGTTGAGGTTAAGGACTAGTGTTAAAATCAGGCTCAGATGAGGATTAGGATTAGGTTTTGGTTTGAGGTTAAGGATTAAGGTGAGGATTAGGGCCTGGGTGAGGGTTAGGATTAGGTTTTGGTTTAAGGTTAAGGACTAAGGTGAGGATTAGGGCCTGGGTGAGGGTTAGGATACGCCAGTGGGCCCAAAGTTTTATTACCCACTTCTGTCACCTAAGAATAGCTCAGCCAGTTTGCATTGAAGTCCCTGTAGCTACTGAATAATAAGCCTTAGTATGTAATAAGACTGGGATTTTAAGGGTTTAAGGCATAATCTAGATTATGGGGAGAAGGTTCTCTTGGTGTGATGCTCTGGCCTGTGAGAGGGAAAATCAAATAAAGTTACTAAAGTGCAGCAGAGAAACACAAAAAGAGAGAGGAATGCTAAACATTTGTCGCTACACTCCCAAAGCTAACTGTGTATTTTCAGTCAGATTAGAGCACTGCAGCAGCTCAGCATGGTACTACTGTTAGTGTTAGTACAGATCACTCCAGTGTTGGAGTAATTACTCAGAAACAGTAATCCATTACAAATTACTAATACTGAGGGATTACGTTAGAGTTGGGCGATATGGCAAAATGTAATATCACAGCACTTCAGGAAGTTTTTTTACAGTGCACAAAGTGTACTGATTTATCTTTTCTGACATCTGATAAATCAGACAAAGTAGTACCACATTTTAAAAACACTACCAAAAACTGAATCCAATTATTCATATTCAACATTTTACACACCGTGCTGCACTTAATCCAGTTAAACAGGACTAATTGTGCTCTCATTGTATTCAGACATGCAGTTGGGAAGTGATTTTTAAGAACTGACTCAGAAAAGCATACTGTGAAATATTGTGATGTAATTTATCACAATAACGATAAATATTGTCCTATTTCCCAGTTCTAGATTACGTTACTTATTACTTTCTAGTAAAATCATGTCATTACTTTACTTCTATGTTACTGTGTACCAAATTATTTCCTTGCTGACATACAGTTGGGCGTACTGTAGCCCTTCAGTTTGTGTTAGCCATTCCCTAGTCCTTCATGATCAGTGTCTGACCACAAAGCTGCTTTTGGTTGGACGTTTTTGGGTGGCGGACCACTCTCAACCTAGCAGTGACGCTCGTACTGGTGCCACTCACACTACAATGCAGTGTCACTGCTGTGCTGAGAATGGTCCACCACTTGAATATCTGATCAACAGCTGTCCTGTGGTCAGAAACTGACCAATGAGGAATGGGGTAGAGTGTGGCTGATAAACTGCAGCAACAGATGGTTTGCGACTGTGCACCTATAAGGTGGACCCACAAAGAGCTCATAAAGTGGGCAGTGAGTGGAAGTACAAGTTAGGTGTTTCTAATAAAGTAGATATAAATTTAGGGTCATGTTTATAATTGTAATTTTAAGTTGTTTACAACTGTAGGACACTGTGACTGACCAATTGCAGTCATTCGGCATCTGCATCGTAGGTTTTAGTATGTCATACTGTAGCGTTCCGTTACTGACTCGCACTGCCGTGGAAGTGCAGGAGGCGTGGCTATGAAGAGAGGCCATGCACAGAGGCTCTTAGGAGGCACCGCGCTCGTTTTTGGAGAGATTTTATTGTAAATAAAAATTGTGAAAAATATTAGCGACAATGAGGTGAAATTTACAGAAGACCTGAGAGGCATGAGGTAGTTATAATGTTCTGGATTGTTGTCTCAAGATATCAACTTAATTATCTTGTGATCTGAAGATAGCAAAGTTGTTACCTTGAGATCAGGATTTAATTATCTTGTGATCTCGACATAACAAAAGTTGTTATGTTGAGACTTAATTATCTTGTGATCTCGACATAACAAAAGTTGTCATGTTGAGATCACAAGATAATTAAGTTGTGTTCTCAAGATAACAACTTAACTGTCTTGTGATCTGAAGATAGCAAAGTTGTTACCTTGAGATCAGGACTTAATTATCTTGTGATCTCCAGACAACAAAAGTTGTTATCCTGAGATCAGGATTTAATTATCTTATGATTTGAGATAACAAAAGTTGTTATCTTGAGATCAGGACTTAATTATCTTGTGATCTCGTGAAAGCGTATGGCTAGAAGTGACCGGCCTGCTTCCCGGCCATATCAGTTCTCTCTTGCTTCCTGTTCAATAAAAGAGCTTTGTCCTTCAAAGCGCAGTGTCTCCCGCAGCTTATTCTACACTGACGGAGCAATAAACTGTGCTCTGCTTTGTGCTGTAATTTAATGAGACACTGTGAGGCCAGTCTGTCCCAGGGTTTTGCCCACGTACCTCGTACCGAGCTCAGCTGGGCGCGAATGCTCCTCTCACACTTCGTCCGTGCACCAACCAGGAGGAAGATTTGCTCATCCCGAGTAATGACATCATCAGAGTCAACCTAAGGTAAAGTAAGTAAGATAACATGGTCAGGTTACTTTCAGTGGGCTTCTAAATGTCCATCACAATGCCTGGATGTTTATAATACACACATGTAATTGCAATATATATATTTTGCCACTATTTATATATATATATATATATATATATATATATATATATGTATATGTATATGTATATATATGTGTGTGTGTGTATATACTCTAAACATATAGTGTCCCCTCACTGTCCACTCCTGTCTTGTTGATCCACCTTGTAGATGTAAAGTCAGAGACGATAGCTCATCTGCTGCTGCACTGTTTGTGTTGGTCATCCTCTAGTCCTTCATCAGTGGTCACAGGACGCTGCCCACAGGACGCTGCCCACAGGACGCTGTTGGCTGGATATTTTTGGTTCTCAGTCCAGCAGCTACACTGAGGTGTTTAGAAACTCCAGCAGCACTGCTGTGTCTGATCCACTCTGACCAGCACAATACACACTAAGACACCACCACCACGTCAGTGTTACTGCAGTGCTGAGAATGATCCACCACCCAAATAATACCTGCTCTGTGAGGGTCCATGGGGGTCCTGACCACTGAAGAACAGGGTAAAAAGGGGGCTAACAAAGTATGCAGAGAAACAGATGGACTACAGTCTGTAACTGTAGAACTACAAAGTGAAACTATATGGTCAGTGGATGATAAAATGGACAATGAGTGTAGATACAAGTAGGTCATTTTAATGTTAAGCCTGACCAGTATATGTAATCATACATTTATCCACCCTGTAGTGAATAAACAATGCTGTTCTTTCATACAAGACAGCTTCACTACTTGATTTGGAAAATAGCTACACTACCATCATGCAATTGTAGTGACTCAACTGCCCAACACTGCCCAACTGTAGGCAGCAGGGAGCAAGACAGCCCAACAGCTATGCTCTGCGAGTCACTGTAAATAAAAGCACCTGAAAAGGCCTGGACCAAATCTGGACATTCGCACAGTGCTGTAATGGATGGTTCTCGCCTGCCACCATCTCATCACTGGTTTTCAAGGAGGACAATTTGTCTCCGGAGCCAAATCTGGCGCACCCTTGAGCGGCTGCCTCCAGCTGTTGTAAAATAGTTTCACCGCACTGCAATATGTGGCGAACCATCTTTGACCTTTCGCCCGGGACAAGCCTCGTCTCTCGCTCTGCTGCGGAGGGGATAAAGGCGGAGGGGGCAAACACAAGAGGCTTTGTGCCCTAAATACATTTCACAACCACCGGGCAAAAGTAGCGGAGAGGCAACTGCCTCACAGTCTCGCTGACCATTTGGCTGCTGGAAAGAGAAAGAGGAGGCGCAAGAGTGTCTGTGTGTGTTCAGAAGAGAGTGAGAGAGAAGAGTAGATCAAGGAACCAACATTAATACTGAAAGGGGGGAGGAAGCATTCAGTTATATTTACTGCCTAAGACAAACATGGAAGAGGGAGACGCAGCAAAAATACTGGAGACAATGAGGTGAAATTTATGGACGTCCGGAGAGGCCAAGAGGTAGTTATCATTTTCAGGGTTGTTATCTTGAGATCTTAACTGTCTTGTGATCTTTTTTTATTGTTATCTTGAGATCATGACTTAATTAGCTTGTGATCTCGAGATAACAAAAGTTGTTATCTTGAGATCATGACTTATTATCTTGTGCTCCCGAGAAAGCAAAAGTTGATATCTTGAGGTCAGAAGATAATTAAGTCATGATCTCAAGATAACAGCTTAACTGCCTTGTGATCTCAAGATAACAAATTTGTTATCTTAGGATCATGACTTAATTATCTTGTGATCTCAAGATAACAACCTAACTGCCTTGTGATCTCAATATAACAAATTTGTCATCTTAGGATCATGACTTAATTATCTTGTGATCTCGAGGTAATAAAAGTTGTTATCTTGAGATCACGACTTAATTATCTGGTGCTCCCAAGATAACAAAAGTTGAAAAATTTAGCCACGTCATGGCCTCTCCAGACGTCCATAGAAATGGGATATTTTTGATGCGTGACAGACTGTCAGCTAATGGTTTTCCTGCATCATAAACAATATGAGTTTTTGTTATTTGTTTTGTGTATCAAGTATTGGGACAAATGAATGACAGGTGATTGAAAGAAAAATAAATGAACAAACAAAAAAATAATCAAATGAGTGTATACATATTTAACATTCATACATAAGGCAATACAAAATTTATAATAATAACTGTGGGTCTGTGGGTCTGTGTGTGCATATGTGTGTGAGTGGGAGGGGGGGTGTTCGTGGAAAGGCCCGTGGTTTTGTGGTTTTGTGACATATATGTATGAGCGAACTACGAGAACGTGAGTCTAGCGGTTGGGTTATTACTATCAGTAGCCACCAGGTTTGGGGAGTTGCTGTTGTAGGACGTTAATAAATGTTGTCCAGGTCGAGCTGAATTCAGTGGATTTGTTTTTGATTGGACTGAAAGTTCCACTGATATATAATCAATGAGTGAGTTTCTGGTGTAGGTGGTCCTCCTTGATTTCCAGTTTGGACTACAGTCTGTAACTGTAGAACTACAAAGTGCTCCTATATGGTCAGTGAAGCTGATAAAATGGACAGTGGGTGTAGAAACAAGGAGGTGGTTTTAATGTTATAGCTGTTCACATATACCACCACTATGAACATACAAGAGGCTTTTTTATGGTCCCACGTGCCGGAACAGTTGTTATATGGGAAGAGTACCTTTATATATTTATATATCGCAGGCCTTGAATGATAATGAGAGAGTGTGAAGCATCATGCTAAAACCAAAGGTCTGCTGGGCCAATGTTTTCATACATTAATACTTATCAATACTTACAGCAAAATCAAAATAACTGAACATCAAAAAATCTTTGCATCTGTTTTTGGAGATAATATAATTTATAGCTTATAGATTAAATGGTAAATATGTTTGAATCAATCAGGAGGTGTCATGATGAGGATGTGTCTTAATTGATTTTAGTCTCTCAATCATTTTCGTGACTAAGTGATTATGTGCTCCACTGAAGAGATCGATAAGTGTGTAGACTGTCTTAGCAGCCTCTTACAGTTAGCATGTACGGTCATCCAGCACAAAAAGCCATTCGATCACTAAAGTGAAGTCGATATGATGACTAGCTGCTCTAATTAATGCTTGACCAACATGATGAATCTCAAAAGAAAGCTTGGGCACTCATACCTTCATGCTAACAGCAAAGTACTGCTTTTGTGAACAGCTCACTTAACACTTAACACTAAACATAACACACTTAAAAGCACATTTAACATAAAAGACTCAAAAGGAGAAACTTTCTAGGAATATGAGGAACAACCACTGAGAGGAACCACAACTCAAAAGGAGAAACACCTTAAGAAAATGAGGAAGAACCATGTAGAGGAACCAAGAGTCTAAAAAGGGAACCCATCCTTTACGAGTAAACTTACTGCCATTATCCTAAAGTGGTGTGTTTATGGGTAAGAATTAGTTTTCCTCACTTACTGAAGACCTGAAGACAATTCACATTTATTAAATAATGCAATATTTCACCAAAACATGCTTTCATTACACACTTATGGAAACAATCGTACCCCTGCGGTTTGTTGTAATCTACTATTGCCAAGTACATTAATTGTTATGTATTTTTTGTTTCTTTTTCTATTTTAAATATAATAAAATGAGAATTCAACTTTTCTTTCACAATTCAGGTTAAAGGTTCTGCCTCATTCAGTGCATGTTTGATTAAGTATTGCATGCTGCCCTGATTATTTAGGTCAGTATTTGTTTGCCTTTGCTTTGAGCTTTACACGCAGATCAGGGTCCACTCTCCAGCATTAAAGCAGCATTAAACTGTACTCTGCCTCCCAGGAATTGACCACTTGTAGCAACTTAACTAGTTTTAGTAGACATGTGGACCCCAAGGTTGGGGTTTAGCTCTAAAGTAATATATCTGGTAACGGCACAAACACAAACCTTCCAAGCTTAACTGGTACTTCAGTCAAAACACAATGCGTTTGATGATGTTCTCTGTTTCTGATGCTGGTTTAGCCGGTCACCTAGCATGGTCATGCTGGTTGACCAGCATACCAGCATCCAAAACACATCATATGCTGGTTTTGCTAATGACCAGCTATGCTGGTCTATGCTGTTTTTTCCCTACCATTCAAAAGTTTGAAATCAATGTTTTCAATGATATAAAATCAAGTTTGTCAAAAAATAACAGTACGACATGTTTGTATTATGATGCTAGTGCTTTATAACTTATTTGGTATAATCTGTAAAAATGAGGAAATTTCAGATAAACAGAGCTGATTCTAAACATCTGAAAAATCTATATAGATCTGGAATTAAAGATTAGAATTAATATCCAGATTAAAGTCATAATCAGAATGCCTTATCGAATCTCAACGCAAAAAAATCAATCCAAATAAATGATATATATAATTTGTAGTCATTGAATAAAAAAGATTACAGGAAAAAGTGGTTAACTTTTGACCAGCATGACAACAACCTAAAATCAAAATCACAGACAGCAATTTTCCAACTTAAAAACGACTCACCAGTGCCCTCGCGGTCATCAGTATACTGCAGAGTACGAAGACCAACGATGCCTCCGCCACCATGCTTCACACCACAGACCTTCAGCTCTCACCAACACTGTAGTTCTCCCTGGACGTCCACTAAGCCTCGGTCGAAGCTCTACACCTTCGTCCAGGACGCCGCTGTGGTTTCCTCAAGCCACTGAGAGGTGCTCAGCCGTTCTGAAGCCATCGCTGCCCAGGTGTGTATCTGCTGATACTTTTCCTAGTATCCACAATCAGACTGGAAACAGCTTCAACAACTGGTTTTGTCCAAGTCTTGTCTAAGTGGGACCGAATGCATTCATTGTTCCATCCTGGCGCTCTGAACGCAACATATATGATATTTATCCATAACTCATAATTAGTCCTGTTCTGTAGTGGAGGAAAGGTCTCAGTGCTGGGGTCCTCTTTTCCATGTGAGTGTCCCTGTTGGTGGACGAGTGTGTGTGGTGGGACTGTTCAGTCTAGAGAGGGGGATGAATCTCACACCCACAAGAGGGATGGACCCTCTGCTTCTAGTTAACCCCTCGTTGTCTGACAAAGGCAGTTCTCTCTGTCTGTATTAGTTTTTTTGCCCTGCTAGGAAAAACAGCATAGACCAGCACAAAGCCAGCATATGTTGTGTGCTGGTCAACCAGCATGACAATACTGGGTGACCAGCTAAACCAGCATCAGACCAGCATAAACCAGCTTAGACCATTCATGCTGGTCTGTGCTGGTCCAGCAGGGTGGGGTGGCCATTTTATCAGAAACACCAACCATATAGGTGTAGGTTTACAATTATAGACTGTAGTCTGTCAGTTTATTAGACTCCCTATACCCCACTCATTAATGGAAAAGGATTACCACAGGACCACCACAGATCAGATATCATACTGGGTGGTCCTCAATTTTCAGCACAGCAGTGACACTACAGCATTTAAAAATTCCAGCAACCACAGCAATTTCTGATACACTCGTACAAACACAACACACACACGACCATGACAGTGTCACCACTGTGCTGAGAGCAGACCTCCAACCAAATATCTGGTCACCATACGACAGTGTGAGATCTGGTCAGCGGTGGTTCTTTCCAATTATGGATAGTGAAGAGGGGGACAGAAGTGTTACTGACTCCGTGGTGGTCAGACACAAAATTGTTGGACACTTTAAACGGGCAGATTCCCACCAGGCATGCACTGTGATTTTGTCCCATTTTAAACACACACAATCACAACTACAGCCACTTCCCCAGTATGAGTGGACACAGGCTAGAAACCATATGAAAAAAAAGTATATATATATATATATATATATATATATATATATATATATATATGTATGCACATTTGAAATACATGTCAAAATACATCCCAAACACTAAAATGTGTTTCAGAATATATTGCCATATTAATATGAAAAATATATTTTTAAATACATTCATTTTAAATGTATGGGGGAATATTACACATAGAAATGTACTATACAAAAATAAATGTATGTACATTTGTTTATCAAATATATTGGAAAATGTATGAAAGTATCCAAAATACTGTCTAATGCACTTCACTGTCTGATACCTTTAGAAATGAATTTGTATTCCAGTATTTTAATTTTAAATGTTAGTAAATTAACCTTTAGCATGACAGAAGCAAGTTTTGTAGGTATTGTCACTATTGTTTGATTTGCTATTTTGTTTATTTGACATAAACTTTAACACATACATTTTTTGGCCGTTTTCATATATTGCAATAATATATTTAATCAATACATTTGGAATATTTTTTTCCATATGGGTAAACGAATGAGAAACAGTCTATGTTTGCTATTAAAAACTGTATATGTTGACTTTACTCTGTTTAACTGGATGGATGGATGGATGGATGGATGGATAGATAGATAGATAGATAGATAGATAGATAGATAGATAGATAGATAGACTTTATTAATCCAAGAGGAAAATTCTTCTATTGCAGCAGTACAGAGCACAGTAAATAGCAAAACAAGGGCAAAATGAACAGGAGCAAAGTATTGTCTTACAGTATTTACAGATGCATAAATAGAGACTAAAGATAAATAATAGATATTATAAAATACACTAAAAACACTAAATTAAATTAAATAAATAATACAAATTGAATTTTCACAAGGGGGTGGAAAGGTTGGACCCGGTGAACTTTACTGTGGTGACAGAAGACAATAAGATAGAATTAAAATAATGCTAAATTAACATAAAATTCCACTCAGTCACTGTAGCACATCTATTCTCATTTTCTTTCAAGTTAAAAGCATTTAAGTAAAGAAAGGTGAGATATTAACAAACCCATTACATAGTTTAATTTTGGTTTTATACACACACGTAAACACATCTTCTAAGCCGCTTATCCTTCTGGGCTGCGGGGGGAGCTGGAGCCTATCCCAGCAGTCATTGGGTGGAAGGCAGGATACACCCTGGACAGGTCACCAGTCCATCGCAGGGCAGACAGACATACACAGTCACACACTCACACCTAGGGGCGATTTAGCATGTCCAATCGGCGTGACTGCATGTCTTTGGACTGTGGGAGGAAACCCACGCAGACACGGGGAGAACATGCACACTCCACACAGAAAGGACCCTGGTCACCCGGCCAGGGAATCGAACCCAGGCCCTTCTTGCTGTGAGGCGACAGTGCTACCCACTGTTGTTGTTGTTGTTGTTGTAGTAGTAGTAGTAGTAGTAATAATAATAATAATAATAATAATAATAATAATAATAATAATAATAAGAAGAAGAAGAAGAAGAAGAAGAAGAAGAAGAAGATGAAGATTTAAATAAACATGAAGTGATTTTATTTTAAAGAAAGAATAAAAAATTAAACAGGGAATGGTTCTATTAAATCAGGGAACTTTTATTTTGACGTTGGTTCGTTGCAGCTGTACTGCGGGTGTCTCGCTGCGGAGGTCTCGGGCTGGGGGCGTGAAAAACAGCCCAGTTCAGATCTTCAGCTGTAAATGCGGAGAAAGATTCTGTAAGTAAAGCCGTACATTTTAATAACGCGGCAGAAAACGCGATATAGTGTCTGTAAGACTGCAGAAGGGCGAGACAGACAGCACCACTGTCGAACAGCACGAAGCTGTAGCCACTTCTTATTCGCATTTTCCCGTTCCACCTTAAATGTACAGCTGCAAGCGCCGTTTAAGGTGGAACGGGAAAATTCGAACGAGAAAGTTGCGAACAGGGAGTCAACTTCAGCCTCGTGTTAACACGGCACTTCAGCCAAACTCGTTTAGCATTTAATAGTCTTTTATTGTGAAATCATAATTTATTTGTAATCGTTTCTCTCACTATTTCCACTCAAGGGCATGTCAACGGGAGCGGCGTTACGCGCTTTCCTGTCCGGGTGCACGCGAAAGCTGACGCGGGAGGTTCCGTGGCCGGGCGCGCGCCGCCTCCCGCCGTTCCGCGCGCTCCACGCGTGCCCGCCGCTGTGCGCGGGTCACAACAAGTGGTCCAAAGTGAAAGACATCAAAATCCCGAAGGATGCGGCCCGCGCGCGACTCATCGCCAAGTACACGATGCTCATCAGGGTGGCCGTGAAAGGTGAACCCCGTCTGTCACGTGAAGGGGAACTCCATCCATTTTCCCAAATTTCTGCACAAAGGAGTGAGATGTCATGACTTGGACAGTGGCAATGACTTTGTTTACATTTCATTGAATTTTACAGAAATGATGGAAAACCAGTGGAATTCCTCTCTAAAGGACAGTTGCAAAATTGTTCTAAAAAAAAAAACAAGAATAAATAAATAAAATGAAGATTTAGACCCCCCCCCCATAGGACCCGGTGGGGAACAGAATTATATAACAAAGTTATATCAACTCTAATGTATCGCTGTATTCCATCAGATACAGTTATTTCCATTGTATAGTAAGATACCAGGCACAATTCTTATGACTAATATATTGACAATACACACCGATCAGACATAACAATATGACCTTGTTTCTGCGCTCATTGTCCATTTTATCAGCTCCACTTACTATATAGGTGCACTTTGTAGTTCTACAGTTACAGACTGTAGTCCATCTGTTTCTCTGCATACTTTGTTACCCTGTTCTTCAGAGGTCAGGACCCCCATGGACCCTAACAGAGCAGGTACTATTTGGGTGGTGGGTCATTCTCAGCACTGCAGTAACACTGACGTGGTGGTGGTGTGTTAGTGTGTGTTGTGCTGGTGCAAGTGGATCAGACACAGCAGTGCTGCTAGAGTTTTTAAACACCTCAGTGTCACTGCTGGACTGAGAATACTCCACCAACCAAAAATATCCAGCCAACAGCGTCCTGTGGGCAGCGTCCTGTGAATACTGATGAAAGACTAGAGGATGACCAACACAAACTGTGCAGCAGCAGATGAGCTATCGTCTCTGACTTTACATCTACAAGGTGGACTGACAAGGTAGGAGTGTCTATTAGAGTGGACAGTGAGTGGACACAGTGTTTAAAAACTCAAGCAGCACTGCTGTGTCTGATCCACTCAGACCAGCACAACACACACTAACACACCACCACCACGTCAGTGTTACTGCAGTGCTGAGAATGATCCACCACCCAAATAGTACCTGCTCTGTGAGGGTCCATGGGGGTCCTGACCTCTGAAGAACAGGGTAACAAAGTATGCAGAGAAACAGATGGACTACAGTCTGTAACTGTAGAACTACAAAGTGCACCTATATAGTAAGTGGAGCTGATAAAATGGACAGTGAGTGTAGAAACAAGGATGGTGGTCATAATGTTATGCCTGATCGGTGTGTATCATCAATATATTGCAATATTTCCCATATTTTCTGAACATATTGTGGATATCATCAGTGCTTGTAGAACACTGACCAACTACATGTTTCATTATAAAGAGAGCAAAATTAGTCACGTTTAACTGGATTTCGTGCCAAATATCGAATAAAAATCACTGTTCACAGTTTTCATAGTATTTTTAAAATACAGCACTGCTGCTTCTTTTTTCTCAGTTACAACAGATCAGATGTCTGAAAAAATAATTATTGTGACATATTGTCTATTGTGAAAATGCCTTCAAGTTTTGCGATATTATACTTTTGCCGTATCACCCGCCTCTACCTGAAAATAGGGCAAAGTTGTTTTGTGGTTTAAACTTTGACTGTCCCTTTAAGAATACTGAAATTGTGACTGTTGTAAATGTTTCTAGTTGTGAATAAGTCTGAAATGCTGTCTCTATGTCAGCACCAGTGCACTGTCTCTCTCCCTGTCTGTCTGATCACTCATACAGTTTGTATTGTTTGTTTAGAGGGAGGATCCAACCCAGAGTTCAACATCACACTGGCACAGCTTATAGAGCAGTGCAGAAACAAAAATCTGCCCAAATCCACCATAGAGGCTGCCATCAAAGGAGCGGTAAGGATTAACACATTTGTTTATACTGATGTTATCATCATCAATCAATCAGTCAATAAAAAAATAAACCTGTTACCAAAATGAGCCTTTGACACCGTCCAATACCTGCTGAACGGATCTTTAAAGGAGACCTAATTCAGAATTTGCATTTGGCAGCCGTGTCATAGTGCGCATATAAAAATGGCTCTTCAGGGGTTCTTTAGTAAAAGCAACGGTTCTATAAAGAAAACCAGTTGGTTATGATTCATAAAAGAACCCTATTTAAAATGGTTCTATATATATATATATATCACCAAAAAAGGGTTCTACTATTGTTATATATGAAAGAACCATTTTTGCTAAAGCTACGTTCACATTACAAGCCTCATTGCTCAAATCTGATTTATTGCTCAAATCCGATCTATCTGACATGATGGTTCACATCGTTTAGGTAAGTGATTCAAATCTGTCATTAATGTGACGAACCGGCATCCTAAAATGACCCTCATGAGCTCATCCTACTCAGTAACGTCACGTGAATGAATCACGTGCATCATCAGCACAAACTAACGAGCAGAACGAGCTTCGCTGAGAAGATCATTAACTCTGATCAGCTCTCAGCTTCATTATTAGAGCGAGACGAAGGACAAATAGGTGAGATGAGCTGCTTTTCCACTGTTTACAGGCTTTAACTTCTGTTCGGCGCTGTTGCCATGGTAACGCTGAATGATGGTCACGCGCAGTGGAAAAAAAACACATGAATTCTGATCTGAGTGTCACATTAAGGTCACATGGCCACAAATTGGATACGTATCCGATCTAGGACCACATATGAAAGTTGCTCAGGTCGTATTTGAAAAAATCAGATTTGCGTGTCCACACAGCCCTGAAAACATCAGATCTGAGTCACATTAGGGCAGAAAATCGGATTTCTGCCACTTCAACCTGGTAATGTGAACGTAGCCTTAGAGAGTAGTTGGCTTTGACGTCTTGATTATTTTTCATTGGGGATGCACTGATATGGATATTCTAATTTTAGTGCGCAATTTCTATTTATTTGCTGAGTTTAAAATATTGGAGAAAAAGAAGAATATATGTGTATATATATATGTGTGTGTGTGTGTGTAAAAACGTGCCATAACTTTTGCACAGGCCACATTTTATGTTTTATTTTTTCCTACTACTATTGTTGTGTATTTAACTGTGCAGATGTGTGTTTTCTGCAGATGTTCACTAATTTTCACTATAATATGTAATTTGTCCAGGGGTGCCCAAACGTTTACACGTGACTATATATATATATATATATATATATATATATATATATATATATATATATATATATTATTAAAATGTAATACACCTGGAGTAGCTTTACAAAGAAGGTTACAAATGCAGTAAAATTAATAGAGATATTCAGATATTTTAGCATAATAATCCAGCATGGCTTAACATTCAGCTCTTACAGATATTATAAACATGTCATCAAATATCGGTGTGAAATATCTGTCAAATCTAATCCGTCTGATGCCGATATGAGTCAGATTTCATTACATATCCCTAATTTTCAAGCTGGATTTGGTCCTAGAAGAGCCCAGCAGTGCAGATGAATTGTATGTTGCTCTCACAGGCATGAATTCAGTTCACTTTGCTGAAAAGCTTTTAATTTAAAGGTGTTTTGAATGGCTGTGAATGACGGTTCAGTTTGAAGTCCTCTGTGCTCACCTGTGGTCTCTGTCCTTTACAGGAGAAGTCAAAGGCTGCTGCGCAGTGTCTGTATGAGGCACGAGGACCTGGTGGATGTTGGCTGCTCATTGAGGTTCTGACGGATAACAACACGCGGTCACACAACGAGATCAAACACATCCTGACGAAAAACGGGTCAGTGTGTAGATAGAGACTGCATAAGGCTCTGATGATTAAGCCACGAATCCGCAGTTCAGAAAGTCAGATTTTGTTGTAACGAGGGTGTAAAAATGCATTGTTTTAATTGCATAGATTTTGAAATACTATATTATATTCAGTAAAGCAGCGGTGTCCAATTTTTTTTCAACGCGGGCCAGATCGTACGTGTGAAAATACCTCAGGGCCGAAGTGCTATTTACAAATGATTAAAAATACCGAGTTTGCAAAATATCAGCATGTAGATTCAGAACTTTCTGTGAGGCTATATTTGTATTGTAGACATCGTGACTCTGGTTCTATTCACCACCACATTTATGTGTTGGTGAATGGACTTTTATGCCTGAAGCTAATGTGCTGATCATCGTCCATTCTCATTGAACCATGAGGACAGTATGCATATTAATTCTCTATTTCTTTTACGTTTATGTTTGTCCATTGTTGTCTTGCTGATGTTTATATACCCAGTTATGAACTGCCCCTAAGGGACAAATAAAGATTCAGTTTCAGTGCAGTTTAGCTAGGAACACTGCAAGATATTAATTTGTAAGTGTGTTAAGCCAGCATCCTGTAATGTCTCTGTTTGTCCACAGTGGGGTGCTGTGTGATGGTGCACGCCATAATTTTGACAGGAAAGGTGTTGTGGTGGCGGACAGAGATGGCATCTCCACCGAGAGAGCGCTGGAGCTGGCCATAGAGTCGGGGGCTGAAGATGTACAGGAGACAGAGGATGAGGAAGCAAAGCCTATTCTACAGGTCTGCACACTCTGAAAGTGTTTAGTATAGGGGACTATTTTGCCTTACAGCACCCTGCATGTATCTTTGTGCCATGATTGGAGTTGAAAAAATAATTTTTATTTGAAAACTACTGTAAAAACAGTGAGTGTGTTTACATGCACTTAATAATCCGATAACTGCAGAAAATCTGATTTTGTCAGTAATCCGATCAAAAATTGGAAATGATTCCCCTTTAAAGCATTCTTAAATATTTACCCTTCTTTCCTCCTCAGTTCATCTGTGACATGAGCTCCATGAAGGTGGTGCGGACGGCGCTGGAGGCTCTTGGGGTGCACACACTCTCCACTGGGATGGAGTACATCTCCAACAGCCCCACTCCTCTACCGCAGCCCCAGCTAGAGGCAAATGCTGTCCTGCTGGAGGCTCTCAACGATTACCCAGATGTGGTCAGAGTTTGGGACAACATTCAGGCCCTGGAGTGAAACCTGAGGAACAAAATGTGAAGAATGCATTGATGATGTAGAAAAGACTAATACTGGAGGTTATGTGAGCCACAGCTGAAGCTCGGTGGGCAGGAAATGGACCACAGCGCACCAGAAGCTTTGCGCTGACTGACATCTCAGTGATTTCCTCAGGTTTTTATGACATACTGTGGTGTTACAGGTTAAAGCCTGTTTGTGTATTTGTGCAAATTCCATGTTCAAAATAAAGCAGTATTTATGATGAGATATGTTACTTTCTGACAGTGTGCATAATGCGGTTCACATGAACATTAACTGATTTTTCAGCAAAATTTCAGATTTAGTCTCCTCCCTTAATTGATGTGCCAAGACATGTTTGGTGCTTTTTCAGTGTTGCGCTGGAGCTACGAGGCTAATGTAGCTAACAAGTAATGGAAGCTTATAGCCCACCAAAAAGCCTCCCTAAATCATAATACTTGCATTAAACTCAGTTGTTAATAATATCTAATAAACTTGTGTGGTTTTTAACTCTGTTTGACACCATCATCCATAAAAATGGACAAAAATATGTTGCATAGCTAAAAACACTAATAAAGCCTGAATTTTATCTGTAAATTGTTCACATTTTGGAGCAAGTATGTGATGATTCGGACATACAGATTGCAGTATGCTAATTATTGGTTCCTTGTTTTAAAAGGTGGTGAAATATTCCTGTAAAATTGACCACTGCTAATTGACTTTAGTAAATTGAGCAGAATTACATTAACAGCCCCACTTTCAAAATTTGAAAATGCCTGTTGCCCTTTTCATTGTGTGTAGATTTCAGGATGAATGGAGCAAAGAAATGGCCCAAAATCACTTGAAAAAAAATTTGGTTCCACTGACTTATAATGAAAGTAATGAAGGTTTTCACCTACTTTCCTACCATTTTGGAGATACAAGTTTTTGTTCCAACAGCAGCGATATGCATGCAAGAGAGAAGATTTTGTGTTTTTTCCATGCATGGCTCGAAAGCTGGTTTCATACGTAACATGGGCAGAATGCATCCAATCTGTACCTGAAAATGGTGCAAAAACCTTAGTCTAGTTTGAAAAGGTCATAGATACGGTAGAGGGCACATGAAAGTGCAAATTCAGCAGTGCAAGAGCTTCATGACAATGTTCTCAGGCAAAGATAAAAAGAACTTCTTCCAGAATCTAATGTTACATGAGATCAAAGACCTGAAACAAAACAAACAAAACAAAGAATATTACAGTTTTAAACCCAACAATTAATGGTTTTCAGCACGATCACAGTGCAGTGTCTCTTGATGGGGTTCATTCACTGGGATTCCAAATGGTTGATATGTATCCACGAAGCCAGACTGTATTCTGAAGGTCGTCCCATGCTTAAACCAGGTCACTCTGAACAGACCCATTTCCGGCCTTCTCTGCTAATATAAATGTGATGTATTCATTCAGTCAATACCCTGCCACATTAACCGCGTTCAATGCAGTCCATCTGGTGTGAACACTGGCTGGTTAGGCGGCAATACAAGCACTTCTGTTCACTCATTCAGATAGGCACTTTAGATTTTTCTGTCATATGATAAGTTGATCTCTTTAACAAGAGGCAAAGCAGGTATCGCTTCAGCAGAGGGAGCGAAATGAAGTTGGTAACTGATTGAGTCTTCATGGCTGTTGTTGGCTTGGGTGGGTTCTGTGGCATTGATCTGTTTGTGAGTGTCCCCTGTTGTAGTATGCAATTGATCCGTTCACAGTGCAGGGATGCATCCGCGTGAGGGTTACAGCGCTGACACTCGGGGGTCGAGTCACAAGGGGATGACCCAAGCATACCACTCTGAAGCGCAAAAACAAGAAGAACATCTGGCTTCTGTACCATCTGAGGTTGGATCCATATCGGATGGTGCTGCTGGAAAACAAGACCGCCACGGAAAAAATGAACACTTCCACGGTAAGAGCAAAATTATTATATAACCTCGTCAGTTTAGATGAAACCAAATTACAACCTGTCCCCTGTGGCTTTTAAGTATGTGTAACTAGCGCAAGCAGGTAGGGGAACCTTCTGAGGAGCGTTTTTGAACCTTTTATCTTTCGAAAGGCATAAAGAGTAGAAAAGTTCATGCAAACATAGAAAAGAATAAAAATGTAATTTTAAGTTGGTTAAGATGTTCCTGGTCCCAAAAAGACCCCAACAGGATATCAACACGTTGCCTTTCCACAAAGATTTGGTGTGTAAATTTGAGGAATTTCAGGATCAGGACTGGAGTTTAACAATGAGCAACAAGCTGTTGGGAAAAGTTTTGACTGCAGAATCAAAGAATTGCCATTGGTGAAATGGTATAATGGGCTGATGGACCAAAAACTTGAGCAATCCAGTTCTACAAGCTTTAATCTGATTGGCAAGTTCTTCAATTTAGCAAAGGTCAGTGTAAAGAAGAACTGTTTTTTGCAAGCAAACTAAAGTTACAGAAAATTTGTTTTCAAGATTTGACTGTGAAATCTTAACACAAGATCTGATCTTTCAGTTTCACAGGGTAACTCCCTATTTGATTGGTTGGTTCAAAGAACCTCAGCATTCTGACTAGCTGTGCAATGGGGAAAGGCTTGGTTCCTCGGTGACATGAGGACAGACTGGAACCGAGGCGCACATACCAAGTAAGTCTTCCCCAAAATTGTTTCATTTGTTTTAGCTCTTAGATGTGGAGGCAACTTTCTTGCAAAGTTTAAAAGCTTGTCGAAAGCTTTCAGTTGTTCAGTGGCTTTTGAGGCTTTTCGTTCATCTTGTTTTCCCTTGCCTGCTCTCATCCCTCCCTGCCCCATGATCATGCAGGCTAGTGTGCTGAGCCCTACCTCCGACTTTGACCAGATGAAGAGCGGGGTTGCCCACCGTTTCCCACAGTTCTCCCTCAACTTCCGCCGCCCCAGACGGTCCATCTCCGGCTCGCCCCCCGACATCGAGCTTGTCGCCAACCCCAAGGTGAAGAAGCGTACACAGAACATCACAGAGAAGGTCACTGAGGTAGGGTGGCAGGAAACTTGCGGCAGGTTTGCAGAGCGGTACAGAAAGGATTGAGAGTATCAGGGTATCAGGGATTTCAGAGATTGTCCTATTAGCCCTTATTTACTTCTTATTAGGTCAGCCATGACATGGATGGTGTCCAGCATTTGCTCCTTTCATTTAGCACTGGAGCTATGAGGTCAGTGTTGCTGATAAATAATGAAAGGTTATACTCCACCAATTAGTACTGTGCAAACTGCATGCCTAAGTCATCACGAACTTACCCTATGCCATTCTTACCACTTTTTAGCAGCCTGTAAAAATATGTTCCGTTCAGCTAGTCTGTGGGCCGGCACGTGGACAGCAATGTGGTCAACACCCACCGGCGGAAAGATCGTTAGGACACAAAGATATGAGACCTGGGGCAGAGGGTAATGGCAGCACGCCATAAAAACAATCCATAAGCGCAACGACGCGTGTGTGCATAATGTCGGATCAGGACTCCACTCGTTTCCTTTCGAGTTCATGAAGGGGTACATGCAACGTGACCTCTGAACCTCCATCTATGGATTCTTTCTTTGTCTCCTAGGTGAATCAGGTCTCCTTCTTGCTTTCAGGCTCCATTCAAGTCACCCATGGTGTCTACCATTTCTCTTTTCATCATATACCATAATTCTGAGAAACATATCTCAAGCGTTGTCAATATTGTAACTAGGGCTGCACAATAAATCGTATTTTTATGATTGAAGGGTTCTTTGCTTCATGAAAGTGTTCTTCAGATTGATGGAAAATGTGCATGAATGTGCTATAGACCAAAAGCATTTCATATAGCATCCAAAAGGGTACTACTATTGTTACAAGCTTGACACTGTAACAGTAGAAGAACCTTTTCAAAATGTTCTATATAGAATCATCTGCAGCTCATTCTCCATCAATCTGAAGAACCATTTCACAATGCAAAGAACCTATTAATCATGCAAGAGGTTCTTTGAGTGTTTATGGTTCTATATAGCACCTATTAACTATAAATCATAATTTATAGTTTTTCATATTGTCATTGTGATATCCAACAGCTTTAACACAGCATTTTATGTTCATATCAGGCAGACCTAATTGTAACCGTATTGCCCTCTGTCCTCTTTTACATGTGTCTAAATTCTTTTGGTACACTTCAAGAGCTGAGTAGCTGCCCATTTGTGCTACAGCACTGGTCTAGAGGGACATGAGTGCTTGTACGTGTGAGTGGCTGGTAGTTCAAGCCCAGTGCACTCTTAGTGGTCAATGCAAACGCAGTTGGGAGCCACAGATGGACACAGAGAACTCCGGGAAGAAAGAACAATCCCCTGCTTCTATTTGTGGATTTACAGTGGCAGTGCATTTACACATTACAGAGATTGTAACATCTTCAGTCGCATAGAACAAGAAGGAAAAAGAACATGGAGGTGGAGGAAACAGCTGAACAGTTCTGTTAGTGGACTGATGGTCAGCGTGAGAATGTTTTTATGAGCAGGGAAAACATTAAACAAGCTGTGTGGTTTTGTTTCAATACAAAACCGTATGGATGTCACGAAACCGGTCAGTACAGATTATTTTCCTTCTATAAACAACAATGGAAAAACAGTAGCCTGTTTTTTATGACTCTTTATGAAGTTAAGCCTGAGCTGAATGGAAAACATTGTACCTTTTTTTGTCAAAATTCTTGAAGAACATACTGAATGCTTGTCTTTTGTTGACTGTACCTGTAAAAGGGGTAGTTATGCTTGAGTATTTGCTTTTTAACTTGGCATTGGTACAATGAGTGTGACATTTTAGACTGCACATAACTGTGTCTATATACAGTATGTGTATTGCTAATTACACTAAATACAGAAGGGTGTACAATATAATGGAAACTCCACATTAAATATTCATACTTACTGGCTATTTTATCAAGTTTGCCCACTACATAAGTGCACTTTGTGGGTTCATAGTTAAGTGTTTGAAGAACACTTTCACAATGCAAAGAACCCTTTAATCATGCAAAGGGTTCTTTGAGTGTTCATGGTTCTGTATAGAACCACTTTCTTTACTAAAGAACCCTTGAAGGACCATCTTTTTAAAAGAGTGCTCCTTTGGTGATTGTTGCCAAAGAGTTACATTTTTCTTCATTAGTCCACAGCACTTGTTTCCAAAATGCATCTGGTTTTGTTGGTACCCACTTCAAACATTACATTTTGTGATGAAGTCATGGCTAAGGCTTCCTTTTGATGACTCTTCCATGCAGATCATGTTTGTGCAAGCAAAGCTACACTCCTTTATCAGCTAAATCTTTCTGCAGGTCCTTTGCTGTCGTATGGGGGTTGTGCTTTGCCTTTCTGGCCACTGTGTAGGCAGTTCTAGCTGAGAGTTCTCTTAGCCTTTCAGATCTTGCCTTGACCTCCACAGTTCCCCTTAACTGCAATTTCTTAATGACATTTTGTACAGTGAAAATCATGAGCTGGAAGATTTCTGACAGCCTTCGCCTGCTTTGTAGGCATCAATTACTTCATTTTCAGATCCTCAAACAGCTACTTAGACAAGCCCATGGTAGTTGCGTGTCAGCATGAGATTTGAAGAGAATTTATTAAGTTCTGGAATTGTCAACAGCTGACAATTTCTAATGACAATTCTTGACCTGTCTAACTAGTTCTAAGGAGTTAATTAATGTTTAAGAAGTTCTGAGACTTTAAACCTGTAAGGGTGTTGAAACTGTTGCACATGCCAAAATGACATTTTTTTCTTTTTGTTTTTTAAGTTAATCAAATAAAAAGTAATAGTAACTGTATTAACATTTGCAGAAAAATGTTATTTGCTGCAGAGGTTGTTTTCTTCTTTGTAACAACAAAATATGTCATTTTGCCAAGAGTGCTCAAAGGTTTGCATACATTACATGTATGTACATGTGTTTGTTTTCATAATATCACATGATAATGGCATGGCGTACCCTTATGCTTGTCCCTCTCATCTCACAGGTGTTGTCTCTGGGCGCCGATGTGCTGCCTGAGTACAAGCTCCAGGCTCCCGATGTCCACAGGTGGATCATGCTGCACTACAGTCCCTTCAAGGCGGTTTGGGACTGGGTCATCCTGCTGCTGGTGCTCTATACGGCTGTCTTCACTCCTTACAGTGCTGCCTTCCTACTGAACATTTTGGAGCAAGAGCGCACGCGCCCCTGCGGCTACGCATGCAACCCACTCAACGTGGTGGACGCCATCGTGGACATCCTGTTCATTGTGGACATCGTGATCAACTTCCGCACTACGTACGTCAACCGCAACGACGAGGTGGTGACGCACCCGAAACGCATCGCTATCCACTACGTCAAAGGCTGGTTCCTCATCGACATGGTGGCTGCCGTTCCTTTTGACCTGCTCATCTTTAAATCTGGGTCAGATGAGGTGAGAACATTTGAAAAAACATCTAGAAGCATTTCAGCAAGAGATCAAACCACTCGGATTCTCCTAACCATATAAAAAAGTTAGATGCCAAAACTTACATTAGGAGTCAAACGTTTAGACACCTGATTGGATGTTTTTAAAGGTGCAGTGTGTAAGATTTAGTGGCATGTAGCAGTGAGGTTGCAGATTGCGACCAACTGAATCCCCTCCCTCACCCCTCCCTTTCCAAGCATGTAGTCAAACCTTCAGCCGTCATGTTCTCGCTTCTTTGGCAATGAGGATTCACCCTCTGTCGCTTTTTCTTGTGCTAAATTATAAGTATGATCCTCTATTTGTGAAAATCTGGATTCTCAAACTTCTCCCAACACAAAATGGTCAGCACTGACAGCGACCACTAATTCGTCTTCTTTCAGTGTCTTCCGACGGGTGTTACAGCACCACCAAATTCAAGCTTCCACTTTGAATTAGTTTAAGACTTTCTGTGTCACTGCATATTTCCTGATGTGTTATTTCAGTTTGAATGTGTCTGGTCAAATTGTGTGTTATTGATTTTGTAAGTGAAAAATAAGTATAGCATGTTGGAAAATAATAAGACACACAAATTCTAAACCATGTATCCTTCTGGGTCCCATCGGTCATCAGGTGGAAAGCTGGAAACACCCTGGACAGGTCACCAGTCCATCACAGGACAGACAAACAGACATATACAGTCACACACATTCACACCTAGGGGCAGTTTGGCGTGTCCAATCAGCCTGACCGCATGTCTTTGGTCGGAGGAAACTCACATAGACACAGGGAGAACATACAAACTCCACACAGAAAGGACCTTGGTCGCTTGGCCAGGGAATCAAACCCAGGCCCTTCTTGGTGTGAGGCAACAGTGCTACCCGCTGTAGAGGATGTTTTAACTTATTTTCACCTAGAAAGTCAACATACCATGTCATCTGACCAGGGGCGCCCAAACTTTGCACACTACTGTAGTCTGATGTTGTTACTATTATTCCAAAATATGTAAAAAAATGCTTTGACTGCTGTATGTCCTACAACAGAGCTGCTTTCCTTTTAACCTTGTCATCATCTCGTCTTACCCTCAGACAACCACCACTCTGATTGGCCTGCTGAAGACGGCACGACTACTGCGATTGGTCCGTGTGGCCAGGAAGTTGGACCGATACTCTGAGTACGGAGCTGCCGTTCTCTTCTTGCTGATGTGTACATTTGTGCTGATTGCCCATTGGCTGGCATGTATCTGGTATGCCATCGGCCATGTGGAAAGGCCCTACATGAAAACAGGCTGGCTGGATAACCTGGCCGACCAGCTGGGGAAGCACTACAATGACAGTGACGCCAGCTCTGGACCTTCGATAAAGGACAAGTACATCACTGCACTATACTTTACCTTCAGCAGCCTGACCAGTGTGGGCTTTGGGAACATCTCACCAAACACCAACTCTGAAAAGATCTTCTCCATCTGCGTCATGCTTATTGGCTGTAAGTCATTCCTAACATGCTGAGCTCAGTGAAGACTGAGGAAAGTTTGGTGAAGTTTGCTTCTTCAGTTTGCTTTGGAGCAATGAGGCTAATGTAGCTAACAAGTAATAGAAGATTATACCCCAACAACCAGCATCTCACATTAGCCTAACTGACGATGTTTTACATACTGTTATGTACAAAAATTAGCAAACGTAATTACTGGTTTGACATATAAAATTGTTCAGAGCTGCATGATTAGTTGTACTGTATCTTTATTCCCTCAATAAATACAATATCCAACAGTCCTGACAGCACGTTCTACGGTGTGGTGGTGGTGTGTTAGTGTGTGTTGCGCTGGTCTGAGTGGATCAGACACAGCAGTGCTGCTGGAGTTTTTAAACACTTCAGTGCCACTGCTGGACTGAGAACAAAAAACCAACAGCGTCCTGTAGGCAACGTCCTGTGACCACTGATGAAAGACTAGAGGATGACCAACACAAACTGTGCAGCAGCAGATGAGCTATCGTCTCTGACTTTACATCTACAAGGTGGACTGACAAGGTAGGAGTGTCTAATAGAGTGGACAGTGAGTGGACACAGTGTTTAAAAACTCCAGCAGCACTGCTGTGTCTGATCCACTCGTACCAGCGCAACACACACTAACACGCCACCACCACGTTAGGGTCACTGCAGGGCCGAGAATGATCCACCACCCAAATAATACCTGCTCTGTGAGGGTCCATGGGGTCCTGACCACTGAAGAACAGGGTAACAAAGTATGCAGAGAAACAGATGGACTACAGTCTGTAGTTGTAGAACTACAAAGCGCTCCTATATGGTCAGTGGAGCTGATAAAATGAATGTAGAAACAAGTCGGTGGTTTTCATGTTATGGCTGATCTGTGTATAGTGCATCTCGGATTTCGCCACTTTGTAGTGATGTAATTAAGCGGAGGTTCATTAAGACACTTGTCCAAGATCCCTGATTGGCTGGATCAGATGGGTTAGAGTTCAGTAAGGGCGCGGAGTAGTTTATTGGATACAGGTTGGAACTAAACTCTGCAGGAAGGTAGATCTCCAGGATCAGGGTTGGAGTCCACTGGGATAGAGCCATAAATCTGTCACAATATCAGGTTAAGATCAGCTCTTTTAATATATGCCAGATTAACATGAACATTGTCTTGTTCTAGCCAATCTGTAAAGCAAGGTTGCACTGTGTTCCGTTCGTTCCTTCATAATTTTAGCTGCACAACAAATGTTCTTCGCACACTGCGTGCAATTACACATTTCCACCAGAGATGTCGCCAAATTCCCAAAACATATATAGCATAGCTTTAAAAATAAAGCGAAAAAGAAGTGACTTTAATCATGACTTCACATTAATACAATATACAACAGTCTTATCGCACATTGCACGTTATGTCCATGTTGTGCAGCCCTAACCTTATTTTATCTCAAACTCCTACAACAAATCTTAATGTGAAGGTCCGATGCATTTTTGTTGGTATGATGTATGCCTGCTACATGAAGTAATGCTGTTTTTGTTGCTGATCCTCACCCTTGTAGCCCTCATGTACGCCAGCATATTTGGGAATGTCTCAGCGATCATGCAGCGCCTTTACTCTGGAACCACACGCTACCACACACAGCTGCTGCGAGTGAAAGAGTTCATCCGTTTCCACCAGATACCCGGAGGACTACGGCAGAGGCTGGAGGAATACTTCCAGCATGCCTGGTCCTACACCAACGGCATTGATATGAATGCAGTAAGAGATCAATAATTCTACACAAACACAAAAACAGAATTACTCTGTCATTCAAAGGCTTGTAAGGATTGTAACGTAAATATATCAGGGCTATTTTAACCCTTATTCAATGCTATAGTAGTACTAAAACTGTAATAGTGATGTATAGTTTGCAAATGTCTTTTTTTTTAAAATCATCTTTCTTTCCATATCTTCCCTTCAACCTGTATCCGTTTTTAAAGATTATGATTTTAATGGCCTAATATATTAATGTCCTAAGGTATTTAGATCAATTTATAGTGAATATTTGTAGGGGTCCAAGCACTCCAGTCATTGTTTTTAGTTGTTGTAGCCTCATCTTTCATGGTGTGTGTCTATTAAACACAAGATTATGGAGTCCACTGCCTTCACTTATAGACCTGGCCATTGCCATTTCTATGAGGTTGCCATCTACTTGTCCTGTTTTTAAGCTGCTGTCTTTGCAAAAACTCATGGTCATACCCATCTGAGCCAGACTGACAGAAATGCCGATGTATGGTCATATCATTAAACATTTAACCATCATCTCCGGTTATTGCTCAAATGGTGCCATAGTTATTTTTCCCACATCTTTCCCTGTGCAAATCCTCATATGTCTCCCCCTGCTGGTGACCTTTTCAGGTGTAGTTTAAAAAGTATACCTTTTTAGATATTTGTCCCTCATTTCCCATTTTAGCATTAAAAAAGAAAATAGAAAATAAGAAAAATATGAGAATTCATGATTCAAATATTTTACACGAAACAATTCGTCTTGGTTTTGAGGGACTAAAATGGAAAAAAAAACCAGAAAAATTGGTTTTCCTGTCCAATTTTTGATTTCATGCGGACGTGGGTTGAATAGAAGATACGGATTCCAACAGTGGTTCCTAAACTTGCACCCAGATGTTCCAAATTTTGGCTTAATCCCTGTGTGTTGTGAGTTGGGATCGAACAAAAAGGTGGACCGTCTGGGCTTCCCTGAGGACCCAGGGATTGGCTTACATCTCCTGAAGAGAACTGTATTGCTCACCACTATACTGTAATACACTTACACTATTCCCTTTGCGTTTCTGCAGGTTTTGAAAGGTTTTCCTGAATGCCTGCAGGCTGATATCTGTCTGCATCTGAACCGCACGCTGCTGCAGAACTGCAAGGCCTTCAGAGGAGCCAGCAAAGCCTGCCTCAGAGCCCTTGCCATGCGCTTCAAAACCATACATTCCCCACCAGGAGACACCCTCTACCACCACGGAGACATACTCAATACCCTGTACTTTGTCTCCCGCGGCTCCATTCAGGTGTCCTGCAACGACATGGTGCTCGTTGTACTGGGTGAGGCTGCTGGTAGACTCTAGTCATCTTCATTCAGTTAAACTGCAAAGGGAAGAGAGCTGTGTTGAAGCTAAAGTGTGTTTAAAAAACACAAGATGGTGAAAATGCTCTAGTCTGTTAGTCTATTAGGATTCTTGTTTTGTAAGGGTCAAATTTACAGAGTACTACACATAATCTATTACAATCAGCTTATGATATTTGGGATAAAGACATGGTCACAGTCTAAGGTGTACATGATACGCACGTGTATGCTGCATACCAGGAGTCACCAACAATGGAGTAAATAGGATCTTATGGGTCTCAGAAGAACAATAAAGACACCCCCCAACAATGTGAAAATTACAATCAATTAATAAAAAAATGAGAATGACAATTTGCTATCTCAAACAACTCCACCCACTAGCATCTAACACCTTAATGCTTATGTTAGACTTTTTAAGTTTTTAGAATTATAAATAATAATTATATCATGCATGTTGTGAAGGATCAGTTACCATCCTTGAAAACACTTCAGGGATGAGCTGCATTATGAATAAGAGGGAGATACTGTCATATGAAAACGTTTGAACCGCCCTGGTCAAATGACGTTTTATTGAATTTCCTGGGTGAAAATGTTAATATGCTCTGCAGAAACAAACTTAAAAATGTTTTTATTTTTCTGCAAATCAAACCTGTATGCTTCATGTGCAGGCAAGAATGATATATTTGGTGAGCCCATTAACCTGTACGCGGAGCCTGGCCATTGCAATGCTGACGTGAGGACACTCACCTATTGTGACCTTCACCGTATCCAGAGGGACGACGTCTTGGAGGTGCTGGACATGTACCCTGCCTTCGCTGAAAGCTTCTGGAGGAACCTGGAGATCACCTTCAACCTCAGAGAAGTGAGCACACTTGTGCACATACCCTTACTACTTGTACATAACATGAAGTATGAATAATTTCCTACTTGGCACCAACTAATCTACGGTCTTGTGTTCAACGTAATTATGAATGTGTTCTACACGACCAGGCAGATCCGGTTGTGCACACGATACACAATGAAGTTTCGGACTGCATTTACCATGCCAGTCACTCAAGATGTCAGACACACAGACGCAACAGACCAGGTGAGTGCACAACAACCCTCATAATAACAGTGATGCTTCACAAACAGCAAATAAGACCTAGTTTAACAACCCAGTACTAAAGCATTCCTCCTTCTTCTTGTACAACTGGATCAGATGGGATGGATCAGGATGATTCTTACCCACTTCAGGCTTGCACAAATTTGGGTCATCACTGCTCCTCTGGCCCTCATTCCCACTGGGAAGAAATGTGCAGCTGTGCCTCCTCCACATCCCAGTCCAGCGAGGACCTCAACAAACCACCTCTGGCCCACAACCAGGTGTACACTGGAGGAAACCACCAGGATTACCATCCACCTGTGGTACGGCTGGTGCCACCCAACAGCACCTCAGGGGTGGGCATAGAGCCTGGCATGGACAGAGGGCACTCAGGTAGGCACCACAATCAATATAATTTCCACTATCACTGGAGTATTCCTTTCCCCTGCTCTAGCAGACTCGGGGCTTGTTAATTAGCTAATTTGTTGGATGAAGTGTGTTAAAGCGGTGACAGGCCAGGGCTACTGTCTACTGTAGTAGCTGACTGTAATCTGAAGTTGAATTTGTAAAGCGATGCTGAGCTTAGTTTGCTGAATTCCTGCAAGTAAAACCAGAATTCAGAAGCATTGCACTAAGAAATGAACACAGCAGTTGATGGCACTTAATGGAGACTCAGGAGCTTCAAATCATCTCTGGACGTAAAGGTGTTTACGGGTGTCATCCCAGGTTTCCTCGGAAATCAAGGGTATTAATAGGGATTTTGTCCCCTACTCTACTCTTCAGGAAAGGCTTTACGCTAGATTTGAGAACATTGTGGTTAAAATTTTATTGCATTTAGACTCAAGAGCATTAGCAAGGTTTGGTACCTATAGGTGATTTGTTCAGGATCACAACAGGACTCCACCTCGTCTGAAAGGTATAGTACCCAATCACTTCAGAGAATGCAGTTCCATCCCTCCACTGTCCAGTGGTGTGGGGCTTTAAACTCCTCTAGGTCACTGTTTATTCTGTCCCTCCTGCTATAGGAACTCATCTCTCTGGACTGTACCGTTACTGGCCAGATTGCCGGTGTAATCAGTACGCAGAACAATGTTGTCGATCCTCTTCTATCCAAGCTTCATACCATCTGCCACCATTTGCAGACGATTGTCCCCACTGAGCTCGAGTCCAGACTGGAGTTACTGCAGAGCCAGCTTAACAGGTAGGAGGGATTTACGAAATCTATAGCCCAAAAAATTCTGCCCGAAACCTACTTGACGATATTTGTCTGAACCCAGCTATAGCCCAACTTCTATCCCAAGCTGGAGCTCCCACAGCCATTCCACACTTGAAGGACTGTCAGGGACAAGCCAACACAATTCCTCTAATCCAGGATGTTCCCTAATTAAATCCTCAGGGACCTCCACAGACAGTCCACAATTTTGCTCAATTCTTCCCCACACATCAAGTATCCTAGGTATTCAGTTCACGATTGCTTGGTTCAGGTGTGTTGGGAGCTGGTATGGAGGAAAAACATGGACTGTCTTGGGGTCCCTGAGAGTTGGGAAACATTGCTCTATCCAATAAGCAAATCCCTCATGGAAGAAATGTAAGGGACAAATATTGGCCAAAAATATACATTTCCCATTGAACCCTTGTTGCTCAATATGTTCTAGGCTGGAGACAAGAATGACTGCAGACATCAACGTGATCCTTCAGCTTCTGCAGAGACAGATTACCCCTGTGCCCCCTGCATACAGCTCTGTATCTCCTGCGAGCAACGCCCCAGACCCCTCCATCTTGTATGGGACAAGTGCACCAGTGCTTCACAGCCTGTATCCAATTCCCCATCTTCCGTTGGAGAGCAGATCGACCACAATCCAGGTAAGTCTTCTTGGAAAAGAGTTTAGGACATGGATATACTTCATTTTCATTTGCAAATGCACAATGCAATGCTGATATGATCCAGATCCAGATGTGATCTAAAACAGTGGTTCTCAATCCTGGTCCAGGAGTACCTGTGACTTGCATGATTGATTCAGATCTAAATGTGGTTCTCAGTCCTGGTCCTGGAGTACCTGTGATCTGCACATTTCATTGTTGCTCTTCTCATTATTTGCTAAAACACCCGCATCAACTTATGAAGAGCCTCTTAATTGGCTGATGAGGTGGATGAGATGTTTGAGCAAGGAAGACACTAAAATCTGCAGGGCAAGAGTGTTCCAGAAGCAGGGCTGGGAACCACTGCTCTAAAATCTTGGACAAAGCTCATGTTCTTGTTCACTGTATCCTAGCAGAGCGCAGCCCAGCCGGATTCAAAGCTCAAACCAAAGTCACAGGATTCCCTGCTGAGTGGCATCCTGGAGACGGTGGTGTCAGATGAGGATGAGAGCCTTCATGTTAGCTCAGAGACTAAGCTGGCTGTGACCCCCATTCACCAGGCCTCTCCCATTTTGATGGATGCAACACGCCTCCATGCTTCTCTTCGTTTCCCCTCGCTGCCTGGGAATTTGGATACCTCTTCATGCCTCGGAGAAATCCACAAACATCTATCTGATCCAGTCTTGTCTATCAACTAATGGCTGCCTGGAAAACACCTTCCAAGTTTGACCAAAATTGCATCTGATTGATGTCAGGGAACGTATCTAACATAATCACACATCAAGGCTCAATCACCAGGATTCTAGGTTTCCCCAAGAACCTGGCAAGTTCAGTATCTCTTTAGTGGAGCAAATCGCTTTCACCACATTGCTGGAAGAAATCATACAATAAACTGTAAGGACAGTTCACCAAAGCAAGACTGTGGCATCTGGCTTCATGAGACAGTTTCCCCCAGGGGGGGTAAAACAAAGATGTATATGGCTTGGTTCCACAATCCCAAAAAGGTAAAACGGGTACAACAAAAGGACATCTAAAGGACATTATTGTATTGTTTTCAAAATGTTTGTACATAAAGATTTGATTTTAAATATTATATACATTAAATGCCATATAAAAGTAACAATTCATAGATCCTAATGTTGACCTGATAACTTACCTATCCAGATTTTTTATGCAAGCTATTGTCAATGGCTGTTCAAGGCTATGGCAGCTTTAAAACATTTTTTCAAGACCTAAAGAGTTACCTGTGACTTGTAAGCCTTTTGTTTTTTGTTGCTTTAGTAATAAAAACGTTTTTTATGATACAATAAAGTTGCATGTTACATAAGAAGTTACAACCTAGAAGAAAAACACTCTGCGGAGAAACAATAAACCATGACAGCGCTGCAGTCTTTTGTTCTGAGCAACACTGCAAAAGACATCATGCTCTGAGAAAGTGTGCTGTTGTTTGAATACCACAAGGAAAAACAGAAATAAATGGCTTGTTGCTTAAAGGCCTTCACTTGTCCACTTAACTCAAAAGGTCCATAATTTGGTCTTCTGGTCCATGAAGGATGTATAGTGGACAAAATACCTTGGTCCCGACGTTGGTATAGTATGACACTCCAAACAAAAAAGGTTCTGTGACATGTAACAACAACAAAACCCTTTTTGGTTCTGTAAACAACCATTTTAAAAATGATTCTTTAAAGGTTTTCCATCACAGAGAACAACATGAACAAAGCGTAGAAATAACCCCAAGCTGTATAAATCCTGTGTTAATTGCCTTGTTGGTAAATACAAGCATTTACTTGTGTTCTCTGTGGCCCAAATCAAGCCGATATGTATTGTCTCCAAGTGTACGACATCAAACATTAAAATATTTTATATCACATAATTTGATCTGGCAATATTGACTGTTGGATGGAAATTCCAAAGCTAATCACTCACTACATTAACTAGGTAGACGGTTAAGGCAGTAGTATTGAAGGCATCAAATCTTTTTTAAACACATCAATTGCAAACAATTAGTTGCACAAAATAGGTTGTAAACAAGTTGCAAACAGAAGTTTAAGGGTGACTAACAAATTAGCCATCAACACATGACTTTCTCTGTGTTGATACTGATACTGAGAGATAGAAAGTAAAAATGAATCAAGCAAAAACACTTACGTGACGACTGGTAAATAAAATCACGAGTAAAACGTCACTTATATTGTGCTGGGCATCCACTGGAACTAAGCTGGATGTTTCAGAGTGCTGTGTTTATTTTTAACAACTGTTTGCAAGTGGATGCACCCCCACTTACTTCTGTACATATCAAAGCTACATTACATAAGAAATACATGAAGTACATGAACAGGAAAACATTGCAGCACAGCATGACTACTTCTCATTGGAAACTGATTTTGATCAATAATAATACTTTTTATATGCTTGTAGAAGCCACAGATACTGTGCGAAACTAAAATCACACGTAATAACAATCAATAACAAAAAAAGAATTGGTATTACGTTAAAATAAACTTCCCAAAAATGTGGAGAACAAGACTTCAGCTGCTTGAGTTTAAATAATGTCTTTGAAAATGGCCCTATTCAACTGAAAACCTGCAAGTGACTTATCAGGCACATCACAACGGTCATTCATTGGCAGTATTTGAAAATGGAGATTCTGAACCACTGCCAGTATTTGCTGTATAAAAAGCTTGTATGTACAGCTTAAATTCACATTAAATATAATAGTTTATACAATTATACAAAATACAAAAGCCATGTTTTTAGCCCCAGGGCCAATCTGCCCACCTCAAAGAATCTGAGCATTATTCTCATCTGTGCCAATCACAGTAATTGTAAAGAGTAGCTGCTACAATAAAAGTAAGCTCACGTGTACCTTGAGCACAATCCTTACTGAAATGCCAACACAGTTCAACTTAAATTTATATCACTGATCACGTGCAGCCATTTTGAAGAAGGTAATTATCCCAAAATGAAATACAACAATAACAACTATTGATTTACTCCAAGTAGAATGTAATAAAAAAAACAAATACAAAAGAGAGAACGAGATTGAAAGTGAACCTTCCAGTTGTACATCTACCTGGGTACATCCACTTCATCCAGGGTTTAACTCCCCCTGCCTGCCTGACCCAGGTGGGGTGCAACAGGTGTCAAAAAAGGTGCTGTTAAAAGGGACAGCAATACTGTTGCTAAGATTTATTAGGACCTACTGGACGTCCGGCCTTCACACTCGCAGGATCTCCAGGCAGTTGTTGTAGCAGATGGAGATCCAGTCGGGCTGGGTGGAAGCCCACTGCACGTTGTTGATCTCCCCTTCGGCCGTGTAGGCCAGGATGGGGTCCTCGATGGCCCGCGGCATCTGCTGGATGTCCCAGATCAGAGCCTGGTGGTCGTCCGCTAACGAAGAGAGTGATGCCATTAGATGTGTGAAAACTGCATAAGAATTTTGATCAATTTTACTAAGCAGGTACATTTTTACTTGACCAATGTCCAGCATCTCCTAATCCCTTACAATTAAACAGGCTGTTTTTGTTGTGTTGGCTGTTCCTTCTAAAACTGGTATGTAAAAAAAATGTTTGCAACAAACTGTTTAGTTTTAAACTAAAATCCTCAGAGATGTGGCTAATCTGCTATGACTAGTCTAAACGGGCAGTCAGGTGAATGTAAATGTGTCCTTGGTTTTGATATCACAACCATGATGTATTCCAAACAGGGTGTTTTCGCAGCTTAGTTTACTTGTACTGAGTAGGGAAAAAATTGTACATTTTGAAATTATAATGGTGTTTACAAAGTACAGTTAAGTGCAAAAGTTTGTGCACCCCAATCAAATGACATGTATTTGTTTATTTTCTAAGTGAAAATAAGTCCTCTACAGAGAACACACTTCTGCACATTTTAATACACAATTACTGTCTATTTGCAGAATTTAACATACCGGGGGAAAATACGTATTAGCAGAAAAACGCCATATTTAAACCAACAAAATTCAACCAGGGTTAATTCAAACTTTTGTATGCCACTGTACATCAAACCTCTCATAAAAATAAGAAAAAATAAGTGGGGAAAATCTGTTTTTCATGATAAGGCAGCTTTACTTAACTGCTGCAAGAAAAGTGTGGGTGTTTGTGTGTGTGAGTTATGTGAAGCAGTTACCAGCCGTGCATATGTGGCAGGAGGAGTGGGGAGCCCAGGCGATGCCATTTACACATGCACGATGGTTATTAAGCCTGGCCACTGGAGTACAAGGTACACGCACGTCCAGAATAACAACCTGAGAAAAAAAAAGAAAAAAGAGTTACATTACCAGTCAAAAGTTTTAAAACACCCCAATTTTATAAATTTTTATTGACATTTAATCAGCTCAAATCCAGTGAATAACCTAAAATAGTACAGAGATTAAAAAAATAACATTTTAGAGAAAAAATAGGTCAATAGGACAACACCTCAACACTGGTCCAAGGAAGAAAGTCTCAGTTTTAACTACGAAGTCTTCATTGCTTTATTTGACAGGTCGAATGGCAATAAGAAAGCCATTGCTAAGGGGGGAAAAATGTGTTCTACAACTTTTGACCAGTAGTTTACCTCTAAAGAATATGAAGCAAAAAGATAAACAGATTTGTCTTTCACACCTCCATGCCGTCCATGGCCATGGTGGCCAGGTAGTTGGCGTCCTGCCTGTTCCAGTAGAGGCGCAGCAATGGGTGGTGCTGAGGGTCCTCGTAGATGATGGTGCTGTGCTCCAGGTGCCGCAGATCAAACATACGAACCGAACCATCCGCTCCAACTGACGCAAACATGTCCCGCCCTCCGCCAGCCCGGCTGAACGCAATATCATACACCTGCAAGGGTCAGAGAACAACATTACAAGTCGGGTCAACATCTTCATTAAATACTGTGGCACAAATCCTAATATTAATTATTATAATTTAAAACAATTAGATTAATGATGCAAGTAAACCTACTGCTACAGTCTCCCTACAAAACCCATGCCACATATATACAGTTATAATCTGAATAATAAACTGTAGTAATGCCAGATCATTTTTATTTATTTAAAGTGCCCATACTGTACATTTTTCTTGCATTTTTTTTCTTTGAAATCCTCTTTGAATGTTGGTTTTATGTACAAAAAACAGTCATAATTCATTTTCACACGCCCATTTTCCAATCTCTCTTTCATCTCAGAATTACTAAGGCTTTGCTTACTGTGCTTTTAAGACTGATATATGTTAATGACTTGGCTGCCCTGTGTTTTGGTCTCATTTAAAAAGCAGTCCAGACTTAAACACTCTTTATAACTTCAGCATGCAGGCTACATGGATTTTTGTAAATGTGTTGGTTTTGTGACATCACAGAAACAGTCTTTTCAGCTTTGTTTCCGTATGTGGACTGTATGGACTGGGAATGAGCAGCATGTTTTGAAACTTTAACAATAATTACAAAAAACATCAAACTCTTTTATTTAAAAAAAAAAACAGTTTTCCACGACCCTTGCAGTCGGTTTGTAGAGATTTAGTAAAAAGTCTAGCGACATCCAGTAAAATTTAACAATACCACAATAATACCAGAAAGCAGATCATTTTCAATGCGGACGCCTCGAAACGCGTATTCATGCGCTATATTTAATTACACTATGGACAAAAGTATTGGGACACACCTCTTAATCATTGAATTCAGGTGTTTCATTCAGTCCCATTGCTACAGGGGTATAAAATCAAGCTCTTAGCCATGCAGCCTGACTTTACACACATTTGTGAAAGAATGGGTCGATTTAAAGAGCTCAGTGCATTCGTGGTGCTGTAAAACCACAATGTAAGACATTTTGAACAATTGTAAGCTTCCAACTTTGTTGGAACAGTTGTTCCAACATGACTGAGCCCCAGTGCACAAAGCAGCTCCATAAAGGCATGGCTGGGTGAGTTTGGTGTGGAATAATTTGACTGACCCTCACAGAGTCCCTGACCTCAACCCCCCAAAAAAAACTAGAATGAAGGTTGTGAGCCAGACCCTCTCTTCCAACATCAGTGTCTGACCTCACATATGCTCTTTTGGATGAATGGGCAAAAAATCCCACAGACTCTCTCCAACATCTTGTAGAAGCTTCCCAGAAGAGTGGAAGCTGTTAGAGCTGCAAAGGGGAACCGACTCCATATTAATGCCTATGGATTTAGAATGGGATTCATAAAAGCTCCTGTAGTGTGATGTGTAGGTGTCCCAATACTTTAGTCCATATAGTGTATTTCTCATACCTCATTAAAAAAGTGGAGAAATTGTGTGGAAAGTGCAGATTCTATACTTTCTCACACCATCCAATTTTATTATGACTTACATATATCCACCTACAGCAGTTTAGCCCCACCCATTCACGTTAAAGTTATAAGGAGTATTTCAGCCCAGACTGCTTTCTGAATGAGGCACAATTCAGGGCAGCCAATCAGAAAATGCTTCATTTATACATATCAGTCTTATAGGTACAGTAACAAAAGCAGCCTGTTTAATCCTAAAAGATACAGAGAGGCTGGAAAATGGTGGTGAAAGAAAGAATTACGACTGTTTTTGGTACATAAAAGGACATAAATGTGGACAGGTCTAAAAAGACCCTCACGCTATGGAGAAACAAGGCTCTAATTCCTTACCTCTTTATCATGGGCAATGAGCTGTGTTTTGACATGGCCAGAGACCAGATTGACTCTCCCCAACACTTGCCCTGTCTCTAGTCCCCAGATGGTGCAGGTGGTGTCGATACTTGACGTACCTGTAGATTCAGGAAAATGCAGTGTGAAGAGTGACTTTATGATGGAAATAAAGTGTAAAAACTGTCAAAAACTCATTGCTACGGCCACAAAGAGGAACAGGACATTCCCTAACCAAGCAGGTTGGGGTCAATCTCGTTCCAATCGAAGGAAGTGAGGGGTGCGCAGAAATCAGAGTTTTTGTTATTGTTGAGGAGGCACTCTAGTCTTGTGTCTGTGTCACCCACCTATTCAACAGAAAAGAATGGCAAATCACACTTGTTAGTACAAAAACATAACTCATTTTAAACAAGGCCTTATAAGCCATAACAACAAAATTAGTCTAAATGCAATAAAATGTATTCTATACATTTTGTCCCATTGCTTTTCAATGAACAGCCCCGGGATCAACTTTTTGATATATTAACATTCATGAAAAGAAAAATTTCCTTTATCAAGGATAATGAACTCAATCTTGTTTTACTTGTTTTATTTTATTTTTCTCAATTTTATTTTAAACCCATTTTATTACCTGTGAACAGCTAATGAAAATGGCACAGAACTAGCAAAGATATATATTCTGGAAAGAATAACTGCCTGTAATTTTGACAATATTAGATAGTTTTTATTTAGTCTATTTTATTAATCATTAATTTAATCAAGTTATCCGTCAGTTTTAGCCCTATTTGGGGCTGAATTCGTTTTACCTTGGGAGGTGATGAAATTTGAACAATCACCCATGAGATACAGGATTTTTATCAAGCATGAATCTGTAATGTTTGTCATTTTAACAAGTCTGCTAAATAATAGTTTTCCAAATGAATTACCTTTTACCATTGTCAAATGCAGAGCTCTCTCAGTAATAGTAGTTATGTTCAAATCACCTCATGGTAATGTAATAACAAATTCTTGTAATAGACAGCGGCTCCTCTGTTGGTGACCGGGGGACATTTTTAGTGATGCCCTAATTAGAAGAAGAATGAAAATTAAATATCTGAAAGTACCTCTTGGCAGGACAGTATGATTTCTGTCCTGTTGGGAGGCATATGTTAAGTCAAATGAGCCCACGTTTGTCGACGTGAACGTCCAGACTATGAAGTTTTTTTTGTTTGGGTAATTTGGGGGAACTACAGAAATACTTTATCCCAGTGGTCACCAACCCTAGTCCCAACCCCAATCTGCCACATCCAGCCAATTAACTTTGTCAAAAGTCTTTAGATCAGATACATTACTGGCAGGTGAGGTGGTGCAGCATGTTAGATACAGGTTGGAACTAAATTCTGTAGCAAAGTAGGTCTCCAGGAGAAGGATTGGTTACCACTGCTTTATCCTGGAGGAACTGACCAAGTAGAATCCCAAATATTACATTACCGGACCTCCTCTGGTAAAACTCATCCAGTTAGAATAAGGCGTTTGACCCCAAAATCATATGCCAGTGACTATATCGCTTAAGTAACACCTCTTCTATTTTAGTCTAGCTCTCATACCCTCCATATGCGCAGGTAGTCTCCACTGGTGGCCAGTAAGTCTGGGTAAATTCCTTTAGAGTCTGGGATCCACATGATCTTCGTTGTGGGATACGGATGATCGAAGGTGTTTCTACACACAAACTCAGAGCTTTCCTCCTCCAGACCGACCAGCTGCACCTGCACACGATGAGAAATGCGCGTCAGGGTGGAAGTTCGCTTATATTTCTGAACCTTTTCGCTGTAAAGCTTCTTTTTGTGCATCTGCATTAAACAGCAAAGGGTAGCATTCTATCCTTAAAAGAGCCAGCACTGCCGTACTCCTCTACCAAGCCAGCCATGGTAAAGACAGCTTGTGGTTGGCGATTCAGAAATTAGTTGTAAATAAAGTATAAGATGTAAACAAGGTCATTCAGTATGGACGTCCGGAGAGGCCATGAAGTAGTTATAATTTTCTGGACTGTAATCTTGAGATAACGAGTTAACCATCTTATAATCTTGAAATAACAAGTTAATTATCTTGTAATCTCAACATAAAGTTGTTACATTGAGATAACGTGTTAACTATCTTGTGATCTTGAGAAAACAAATTATCTTATGATCTCAAGATACCAAGTTGTTATCTTGAGATAACGAGTTAACTATCTGATGATCTCAAGTTAATTGTTATCTTTACATAACAAGTTAACTGTCTAGTGATCTCCAGATAACGAAGCTGTTATGTTGAGATAACATGTTAACTATATTGTGATACTGAGATAACGAGTTAATTGTCTTGTGATCTTAAGATAGTTACGTTGAGATAAGTTAACTATCTTGTGATTTTGAGATAATGAATGAACTATCTTGTGATCTCAAGTTAGCGATCTTGAGATAAGAACTATCTTGCGATCTGAAGTTAACTAAGTTCTTATCTTGAGATACGAAGATAGCTATCTTGTGATCTCACATTAAGTTATCTTAAGATAACTATCTCGTTCTTATCTTGAGATACGAAGATAGCTATCTTGTGATCTCACATTAACAGTTATCTTAAGATAACTATCTCGTTCTTATCTTGAGATACGAAGATAGCTATCTTGTGATCTCACATTAACAGTTATCTTAAGATAAGTTAACTATCTTGTGATCTCAAGACACCAATCCAGAAGATTATAGCAACAGTTCATGGCCTCTCCGGACTTCAGAGTGGTTTGATGTAAAATGCTTCAGTCCAGAGAAACCTACGGACTGTTCACAGTGGTGGTGATAGGAACCAGACATCTGAAGAGTTTAATGCCTCTGAAAGCTACATCACACCTGATGATCATGCCCGAGCCTTTGTTTACGACAGTTTTGAGGAGGGGTCGGCCTAAAGCGTATAAATATTTTAAACCCATTCATGGTTGAGAGTTACGTGCAGAGTGTTCCAAAGCAAAACAGACCCAAAGAAACCTTTTTTCAGATTTGCCACAATTTTACCATCACCAACATTACATACATTTACACTACATTACACAGAAAAATGTGCTGTTTCTTTGATGGATTTGGACAGCAAATAAAATGGCTTTATTTGTGTTGTAGTCATGGTGACCCCTGGTTCCATTCACCACCGCAGTGAAAAAATCACAGTCCCTATAATCAACCATTTCACATCAAACCGCTCTGAATGACTCTGTTTACGTCTTAATAACTGTGTACTTCCACCTTTTTAAATGTATTTGTATTGGAAGCAGCTATCAAAATTTAAAAATACCAATGTTTCACATTCCTGACTCACCACAAGCTCCACTATACGCCCAAAAGTATCCAGACACCCATTCTAATTCATGAATTCAGCTATTTTATGGCATGCATTGTTGACAACTGCGCACACAGTTTGTATAATCTCCAGAGAAAAGCACTGACCGATAGAATGGGGCGCTCTAGAGCAGCCACACATGAGTCATGTGCAACGCCAAGTGTTGGCTGGAGGGGTATAAAGCCCCCCAGCACTGGGCTGAGGAGCGGTGGGGCTGCATTCTCTGGAGTGATGGAACTCCATCCAATACCTTTGGGATGAATGTAAAGCCTTCCCAAAAGAGTAGAAGCTGTTACTGCGGCCAAGGAGAACTCCACCAGTTTTTCAAAATTTCAAAATTCAGCCCGAGATGTAAACAGAGTCATTCAGAGTGGTTTGGTGTGAAATGGTTGATTGTAGAAACTCAGATCTCTTTACAGTGATGGTGAATGGAACCAGGGGTCGCCATGACTACAACACAAATATAGACATTTTATTTACTATCCAAAACCACCAGTGAACCTATTCGTGTAACAACAACGGTGGTAAAATAGTCATAAATCAGAAAAACTATGTTTTCTTTGGGGACTATGTTGCCTTAATGGATTATATTACATTTTAAGCCAAATTTGATCACAAAGGTATCATAAAAACAATGTCAGGCGAAGTATATCAAACCATTTCATGTAATAACCTTCTGTGAGTCGGTGGACGTCTGGTTCACCACCACTGTGAACAATTCTGACTCAGTAAGTTTCTCTAGAACTGAGCATTTCACACCAAACCACTCTGAATGACTTTGTTTACATCTCAATCATTTAATCATGCAGAAACTTTGAAAAATCGGTGGAGCTCCCCTTTTCTGTCTGGTTTCAGAAGAAATAACGCTAATAAGATGATAAGGTGTCTACAAACTTTTGGACACATAGGGTCAGTTTTCTGGTCAAGGAGAGGATCTCCATTCAGATAACACACAGTCCAGGACTAGGCTTAATCCCAGTCCGGGAAACCGTCCCTATAGACGAAGCTGAAGTTAGCGTCTCATTCGAATTCCCCGTTCCACCTTAAATGGTGCAGCAGGTACAATGAGACTGCTGCACCATTTAAGGTGGAACGGGGAATTCGAATAGGAAGCCAACTTCAGCCTCGTCTCCTAGAGACTCTCTTTCCACGGCACCAGGTTGGTCAGCAGGGCTTTGTTTTATGGGTGACTAACTTTGTTGTTGTACTCCTCCACGAAGCTGCCCAGCGCCAGCCGAAAGCGCCGGTCCGGCCGGACGCTCCAACTCATGGCGAACACCGTCCACGGAGCCTCGTACTTGTAGATCTCCTTGCGTTTACCGTGGGACATTTTTCACCGCTACTGGAGCTCCAATCAACCCGGAGAATCAGACTTAGAGACCGAGAAGAGCGACTGCAGCCGTTCAGTTTCAGACGCCGTTTTGTTTTTCAGCGAGGCGTCTTCATCAAAGCAGCCCGTCGGTCTGGGGTTAGCCGCTCGCGCTAACAGAAAGCTAACAACAAACAGGATAGCTTGGTCTAAAACAACACATATAGGACAGCTAGAGGGAAGTTAAACGTATTATTGAGTCCCAAACCAAAAACGTGTTGTAATACTGCAAGAACATGACGGCCCACTGACTATACAATTAAAAAATATACAGCAACGGCACAATTAGCTAACCGCTTCTGGCTAGATGGTCGGGCACGGTGGTGTGTTTACGACAGTCGAGAACGGTTTTCGACAGGAGACCGTCGATCAAAGATATTTTAGTGAGAGCGAGACAACCTTTTTTTTTGCCCACACGTACAGTGAACGTTTTAGACGACGGCGTTTTACGGCCGCTGTTAATGAAATTAAAATAGTAGATTTTGAGAATAAAGTGGTAATATTTCGAGGATAAAGTCCTAATATTTCTAGAATAAAGTGGTAATATTTCGAGAATAAAGTCCTAATATTTCTAGAATAAAGTCCTAATATTTCTAGAATAAAGTCGTAATGTTTCGAGGATAAAGTCCTAATATTTCGAGGATTATGTGGGCTAACTGTAGGGGGGCTGCTGTGCTTTGAATGGGGAGAGATGTAGCCCCCGATAGCCGTGTAGACGACCCTGCCTGAGATTCTCCTTCAACAACAGAGACAGACAGTTTCCTCCGAGTCCGTCTGGCTCTTTATTCTAGATAAACACGGTTTCCTGCTCAGCCGTTTCAGCCGGTTCTTATACTATTAACAGGCTGGTGCTGATGAGCAGGAGAGACAGGGAGACTGAGTGTTTCTTTATGGGTGAATCGATATGAAAGTAGAACTCCACCAACTCACCGCCCCTCATTTAACACGAGGAGGTGCTGCTTCCCTTTGCAAAGCCTTTGACCACAATACTGCATACCTTTCCTGACATTAATGACACTTAATGTCGTAATTCTACGACTTTTTCTCGAAATATTACAACTTTTTTTCTCGAAATATTACGACCACGAAGACTACTATTTTAATTTTTATTAACAGTTGCTCTAAAACACCGTTGTAGCTTTAATTCAGTTGTTTTTTTTAAATATTTTTATTATATGGAAACCCTTTCCCACCAGGTAGAATTAAAAATGACTTGTTTTTTCTCCTCCTGTTTCCGGCAGCAGGATCTCAAAATAATGACCTATTTTCTTGAAATAATGACTTAGTATCTCAAAATGATGATGTTTTCTTGAAATATGGACTTATTTTCTCTAGATTTTGGGATACTAGGTCGAAATAATGAGTTATTACATTTCAAGAATGTATTATAATAGTATTATAATAGTATAATTACTTCAGGATAGTAAGTAATTGCGAGATATTTATTTATTATTCTGATATTATGAGTCATTATTTTGAAATGAGTCATAATTAAGGCATAGTAAGTCAATATTTTGAGAAAATAAATCATTATTTTGAGATGCTGCTGCCAGAAACAGGGGAAAGGCATTTTTCTCTTCTATCTGTCAGGAAAGGGCTTTTATTTTACTACTTTCTTCCCCAAAAAATAATTTTTCACATTTCTTCACAAAATAAAATAAAATGTGAAAAAAAAAACACACACACACCAGAGACTGAAAGGGTACCACTGTATTACCTCAAGACACACTATACATGGCCTGTTACAAACACTCTGTACAGAAATTCACATACAGGATCCTGTTTACTCGTCTTTAAAACCTTATACAAATCGTCAACATTTGTTTTATACAAGCCAAAGTGAAAAAATGTGGCTTTCTTTTCTGTATAAAGTTCCCAGCTCCGATAATCTGCGTCAAACACAGAGTGGCCTGTACTAAGTGTCCTACCACAGCAAAGTCCATATAAAAAACACCTCAAAATATATAAAAGATATACTTTTTTTTGTTAAAATCAAAGACAAAGAGACATTCAACTCCTTCAACGTGCCTCGTGTTGATTTTCTGGGTTGTAACGGTGGGCTCGGACAGCTCTCATAACTCCTGAATTTATAGTTTACTGATAAATTTCCAGAGTCGCTAATAACTGCGCAAATGTTTTGGCCACGACAGTTTCGCTGACAGGAACCGTCCGAATGCACCATTACGCTGCTCACTGAGAGTTGTACATCCCAGACAGTTAACTAGTTGGCAGATACGCCCACCACACGGAAAAAGTACGGAAGTCCGGCAAGTGCATATCGTAGGGCTGGGCAATATGACGATATTTATCATTATCGTGATAAATTACATCACACTCAAAGAAGAGTATTGTATCATGGACAACATCAGTACTTAAAAACACTGACCGGCTGCACATTTCAATAGAAACAGAGCGTAATTAGTGCGGTTTGAGTGGAATTGTTGCAAAAATGTGAGCACAAATCACTGAATTCAGTTTTTGATGGTATTTTTGGTTCTTTTTATCTGTTCCAACTCAACAGATGTCAGAAAACAGAAATATCGTAGCATTTCGTGTATCGTGAAAAGTTCTTGAAATATCGTGATATTGTATTTTTGCCATATCGCCCAGCTCTAGCATATCGTTCTTTTCCTTTGCTATACTAAAAAACTCAGATCACACACACGCTTGAAAAAGAGGGTTCTTCAAGGGTTCTTTAGTAAAGAAAATGGTTCTATATAGAAGCATAAACACTTGAAGAACCCTTTGCATGATAAAAGGGTTCTCTGCATCATGAAAGGGTTCTTCAGATTGATGGAGAATGTTCTGTAGATGGTTCTATACAGCACCAAAAAGAGTTCTATTGTTACAAGCTTGACATCATAACCACAGAACCTTTTTTGGTGCTATATAGAACCAAAAAAGGGTTCTGCTATGGTTACAATGTCAAGCTTGTAACAATAGAAGAACACTTTATGGTGTTATATAGAACCTAAAAGGGTTCTTCTATGGTTAAAAGCTTGACACCTTAACCATAGCAGAACCCTTTTCAAAAAGGATACTATATAGAACCATATACAACACATTATCCATCAATCTGAAGACCCCTTTAATCATGCAAGGGGTTCTTTGAGTGTTCATGGTTCTGTATAGAACCATTTTCTTTACTAAAGAACCCTTGAAGAACCGTCTTTTTAAGCGTGCAGAAGTGCACCAGGTATATTTTTTCACATTCACTGCCAGGTTTAGCGGTTCTCACTCGTGGAAGAGGTGAAAGTGAACTCGTGTATCATCAAGAATCCAGAGTTACTCCCTCATGTAACTATAAATATAACTTCCTCGGCTGTTTGAGTGCAATTTCCAAGTCGGAAAACTGGCATTTCCCAGTTTTCCGCGTCATGCGACCACAGCATCAGTGAATAATAGTCTGTTTCGTCTTTACAGACTTTCTGTACTAGTTTTCAGACTGTCTTGGGTTCTGATTGAGAGTTTAAGATTATCCATGCTGGAAAACATGATACCAACATTATCATCCATTTCTGGCCAATAAAGTATCGGATTGTCCAAGTTCACACAGCAGGTAAAAGGGGCCCAAATCTGATTTTCTCACCAATTCTGATTGTTTTGTTTGGCTGTTGACATTATCTTTTAAATGTGATCTGTATGCGACATCAGTCTGAACAGATCAGCTCCTAAACTGATCCGCAAAAGAACAGTGGTTCACGCAGCTCATCCAGAGGTGAACAACCACGACTATGAACGAACGCCAGTCGCTCCCGGAGGATCAGCTTCATCTCCACCAGCATCACAGGAGCCATCATGAAGCTTCACTGACTGACAGCTGGGCTCATCACCCAGAATGTGTACGTTATTCGGCCACGGTCACTTCTTTGGTTGGCGTCGGATTCTTCAAACCTTTTTTCTTGACGCTGCAGCTTCGTTCTCTTACAGTTGTGTTCGGCTGTTTCTTTCGAAATCTCTTCGAACACGGAGGATTTTGGATGAGTCTCTCCAATTTATGGTACAGAAACAGCCTAAATGTTTATAAACAAAGCATAAATGAGTCTCAGCAGCAGGAAATGATGACGAATGTGGAGTTGGACTGACGTAAAAGTCATACGAATTCCGATCTGGCTGTTCAGACGGAGTCGCATTGCCGCAGATCAGATACGGATCGGATTTCATCAGAACTGAAAATGTCAGATTCAGATACACATCTGTGTCCCATATGAAGAAAAAGATCGGATTTGGGCCACTTTTACCTGCTGAGTGAACAAAGCCTAAGATTACTCATTTCTGTGAACTTGTCATAGAAAACCAGAACAAAAGAATGCAAGTTTAGCACCCTTGGCTGGAGATTCAGCGAGCGCCCGCCATCCTCCCACCCCCTCACTCTGGGACACAAACCTCCCATTGTGTCGTCTCATATCAGGAAAATTAACATGCGCTGGAGCTCCGCTGGCTTTCTCTCAATTCATGGACTTGGTCTACCAAGCCGAGGCTCTACGGCCGAAACAAGGCGTGCATTTAAACATGTGGAGCAACAGTCGACAGGCCGACGATGCATATTCAACAAATTCCTCCTCCGCCCACCGACGGCTGCTCAAAAGCTTGGAATCACTGTTTACTAACCCTACACCAATTAGCTTGTAGTATAAACGGATACAAAAGACTGAAATGGGCTGCATTCTTCAAAATGCAGTTACCAAAAAGGTTCTTTGAGGGAAGAACCACTTTCAGTTCCCCAAAAACCTTTTAATGGACGGTTCTTTGGTCTTTGGAGAACCGTTTTTGTAGATGAGATGTGAGTGTGAAGAGCGCTGAAGGATCTCCACATGATGTTAAGGTTCGAGGAAGAAATTGGCACAGAACCTAAGCATTACTTGATGGTTCTTCAAACCTTTGAAAGGTTCCTCACGCTCATTCAAGCTCTTCCAACCTGGTCCTCGGGGAACCAAAAGTGGTTCTTCTGCAGCATCGCTCTAAGCTCTTTGTGGCAAAGAGTGTAGCTCCTGTGCAACCAAACCGGCTTCAAATCATTTGTAAAAATACTCAATTTTAAAAGAATGAGGAACAGATGCTGCAGATGATGCTAAAATGATGAAAAGGCTGTAGAACATCCAGGAAAAGGTTATAATAAAATATCCAAAATGCCTCGTATTTCAAAAGTGGCGTCAAATCAAATGTCAAAGCAGAGAAGTTCAAGAAAAGTTGCTTTGTTTCTTTGTCCAAACATCCTGAAGCATCCAAAAAGTACCTTTTGGTGTTTAGTTTACAGTTTTAAAATCTATCCTGTACTTCATATTAAGCACTTTTATTTTGTATACAATAATAACTATTATTATATTCAAAATAAAAGTCATTCCAAACTTTCAAACTTCAGTGTAGAAGATTAAGATCTTTCCAAATTGTGTTCTGTGTCTGCACGTTCTTCTGTGTACGAGAAGGTTCTTGAACAAGAAAGTGAGTGATGAACGACATGGAGCGCTGGGTGGGGGTGGAGGGGTGGAGGGGTGACACATTAGCCCGATGAAATGAAAAGCACGTTTTAACAGAAGTCGCACGTTGTAATTTGGAACAATGGAGCCATTCAAGGGGCGTGTCCTCACCCGGGGGTCACCGCCATTCGGATACGGACATTACGTCACGCTCGCCAACTCTCGCCCTGAACTCGTCTGTCAGGGGTTAAACTGGAAAGCCCATATCTGAGTGAGTGGAGAGGAGGAGTTAACAGGATGGACTGGAGAGGAATCAAATGACCCCAAGTGGTCAATCAGCCAAGACACGTCTGGAGTCTGAAGTTTGCTTCTTTAGTTTTGTGCTATGAGGCCGATGTTACAAAAGTCCAGAGAGGCCAAGAGGTAGTCATAATTTTCTGGATTGTTATCTTCAGATAACAAGTTAATTATCTTGTTATCTTAGTTATCTCGAGATCACAAGATAGTTAATGTTGCTTCCCTCCAAGTTCGTCTGTGTGAAATTCAACCCCACAAATTTGCAAACCTTGGAAAAGCCAGTAACACGCAAGAGGATGGTAGTGATCTCTTCTTTTGCCTGAAGCTAATTTTCTTGTGATCTCAAGATAAAGTTATCCTGAGATCACAAGATAATTAACTCGTTATCTCATGATTGTCGGACACTACAGGGCGCTCCTGAGTGAGTCCAAAAAGAATGGGTTGTGCAGAATGGAGGTTTGTAAATGCGTAATCTATAAACTGAAAAACTGCTTTTAAACATTTTTGATTTTTAAATCGTTTGTATAATGTCATGTATGTCCATTCAATAATGAAGGGGTTCGAGGCGGTGCTGGTGGGATATGATTTTAGCAGTTCAGTATGAGCAAAAAGTAACGTTTTGTGCAACATAAAGCACTTCCTCTATTTTTTTGTTTATGACAGAAAGAAGAGATCACTGCCATCTTGTGTTACTGGCTTTTCTAAGGTTTGCATATTTGTGGGGGTGAATTTCGTACAGATGAGCTGCTGAAAACAAGCTCCTTTTTGTGTTTCCATGCGTTCTCATTGTATTGCGTTTGCTTTTTTGCCTGGCAAAGTTTATTCGTGCTCGCCTGGTGTGCGGTTTTGGTGTTCGGTTTGAGACAATACTACTCTACAAAAGTCCAGGCACTAGATTAGGGGTCAGCAACATGTGGCTCTTTTACTGCCCTGTCGTGGCTCCACAGCAGAATCAGATTAGTAGGTAAAAATAAAATAATCCTCCTTTACAGTAAAATAAAGCTCTGCTGATCGTTCAACACAGTTTAACAATAAATGGTCTTAAACTCTGGAGTTAATGTAGAACTGCTGATTCACCCTTTAACCCTGAAGATCAGCGCAGACTGCTGGTCACCACAGCAACACAGACAACAGTCTCGCCTAGCTAGTAGCTAACGAAACGGCAAAGAGAGAGATTTAAGACGAACATCGATAATTCAGAGACGAATGGACTTATTTGCGTTTATAATCACTCCAGCTGGTTTCCTGATACGTTTAATCTGCAATGAGAAACTGACAAACACTAAAAAGTCTGTAGTCAGTTTCTCATTCACCAGCTTCTTGTTTGAATTTTCCCGTTCCACCTTAAAAGGTGTAGTAGTCACATTCTTGCCGCTCAGGCACTATTTAAGGTGGAACGGGAAAATTCGAATAAGAAGCTGGCGAATGAGAAGCGACTTCAGCCTCGTAAAAAGTCAAACATAGAGAGACATTTTACAAGAAACTGTTCTACTTTTGAGGAAAAGTTTCCTGCCAGAGATGCGAGAAAAGCAGCTGTAGCTGAGCTAAAGCTTAAAGCAGAGCAAAGTAAGTCTGTGTTTTCGTTTATATTTGTTAGCCTACACTAGTACATCAGCACATACTGAAACATACTTACAGCCAAGATGGTGAAATGGATATAAAATGTTGTGGACTGACTGGCTCTTAACATTTGGGTTGCCGACCCCTGGACTAGATTGTGAGGTACCCAGCATATAGTGCAAGAATACAGTGCATAGAACCCAAATTCAGACATGCGGTATCTGAGATTAGTTTAAGGTGAGTGTGTGATGATTGTTTGCGATGCTAACTGGTGGGGTGTACCCTTGTTAGCTACATTAGCCTCGTAGCTCCAGTGTAAAAATAAAGAAGCAAGCTTTGGGCACCAAATTCACAACAGTGGAACATTCTACAAATCACAAACTAGATTTATCAGATTTAAGGTTTTAAAAAACACTTTAAAATATTTCCAAGACATCTCTTTTTTACCCAAAAGGTGCTCATAGATTCGTCATATAAAATTTGGAAACAATCCCAATCACATGATAACCATCCTCAAATACCATACTGATCACGCTGAAGCGCATCAGTATAAAAAAAATTACACACTACTTCATACTAACAAATTAAAAATGCACCAGACTTTAAACTTGGTCTTGTGCTTTAGGTATAGTACATATAAAACCTACGCAGTGGACAGAAACCTCTGTTCAAACATAATAGAGTGGAAAAACGGCTATAAAAGCGACTAAAAGAAATGACCCAGCATTTCAATGTAATCTCTATCTGCTGCAATGACTGCCTAGTGGCTTCTATTATGTTTGCTGAAGCGAGTGCCCATTGACTTCCATTATGAGTGAGATTCCAGTCACCTTAGTCTTCTGTTTTTCTCCAAATACAGGAAAATATCAAAAATATTATCCTTGGTATTTGATTGTGTGTTATACAAGCAGCAGTTAGAGATCAGGTTGAAAAACTCTGGGCTTTTCCTTTAACATGCCAGCTGTAGATTACAAGCTGATGAATCCTCCTCTTCATTTCCTGTTTCTTTTTGGACGCAGCACCCTCCTCCATCATGCTCGAAGTCTCTGCCTCGGGGCGACAAATAAGTCTCTCTTTCACGCGTTCCAATAATGGCCCAGCTGCTCTGGCTCGGCCTTTGATTGTGCCATTAGGTCACAGTGGATTATTCCATCTTGCCTGGAAATTCTAGTGTTGACGTCTCTAGGCTAGCTTCCCTGTCCGGAAGACTTGAACGACATAAGGTGATTGGACGTGAGAGGTAACAGGAGAAAAAAAACAGAAAGAAAATTAAATCTTTATAAAAAAGAAAAACAGGAATTATTCCCAGATACATCGTCCTGTCCAGTGTCGTTTGTTTGTTTTTTTTGTTTGTTTTTTTTTACATTCTTGTTCGTTTCGTTAAGGCTGAAACGTCTTTAAACATTCCTGTTCGCTCGTACCATGTTCGGCTTGCCTCCCGACGGTTTCCGTCCATTTTTTTGGAGAGTTCAAGCAGTTTCTCCAAGGTTTAGTGTTAAAAATCAAAATCTGAGTTCAAATGAAAGGCTGCCTCATTGTTTAAGTCCACGATAAAAGGATGCTACATTGGATTGTGGGCATGATTTGGAAGGAAATCGAGGAAATTGTGAGAGGTTTCCCTGTTAGGGTGGAACTTCCATCACCAAGAGTGTGCCCTTGAACAGTAAAGCACCAAATACTTGTCACTCAAATCATTCATACATTCATTTAAAAGCACTCATTCATACAGTAATGTACACACTCGAGCTGTCCTTCTCCTCAGGTGTATTCTCTCTGGCCGCTCCAGGTCTCCGCCAGCCCCAGATATTCGGGGTTTTCCGCCGTTGGGGTGACGTAGCCATTCAGCTGCCTATGATGTGGTGCACCGCCGCTTGCTGAAGCTCCGCCCACCGCCATGGCTTTAGCCACCATGTCCAGGTAATATGGATTGTCGAAGGCCGGTGATGCAGGTGAGGTGTTTACCATGGGCACCAGGTACTCCGGGTTCTCCACGCTGCGTCCGGCGCCGAGGCCGTTAGGAAGGCGCCTCTCGCCTGCCTTACGGGGCAGCGTGCTGGGCCGCTCAGGCTGGACCTCCTGATTCACATACTCTGAAAAGAGAAGAGAGAACATCTTTGGAAAACCTAGTGATAAACGTTACATACTGTTGGTTTATCGGCACAAATATCTTTGACATGACTTGAGGACGCCCCATAAAAGGACCCCAGTTAGGCTGGGGTCTTAGGCACATATATGGACAATTTTACCGAATTAGCCCAAACTGTGGTCCCACAGTTTTATTTTTTTTTAAGTTTTTTTTTAATCTTTTTTTTCTTTCATTTTTTCCTTCTGTTACGTGTCCCGCCTGGATAAGGGGTGTCTGGCCGGTGTTTCTCTCTCTCTCTCTCGCTTGCTCGCTCGTTCTCTCTCTTTCCCTCTGTCTGTACCGTATGTCTCTTTCCTCATTTGCTCCTCGTCTCTGCTATAGGTTGGTTGCGGCATCGGTCGTCATTAGAGGCTTGACGCTTACCATCTGACGACCAATCATCGCCCCTGGAGAAGGGACCTGAACTTTAAAAGCAGCCTGGCAACGTTTGTTGAGAGGCCTGCGTTCTCCCTGTGCTCCAAGCTGTTTTGTGTGCTTCTGGCTGTTGTTACTGTCATAGACACATAAGCTTTGTGTTCTTTTTGCTCATGCAGTTTTGTGTGTATCTGCGCTAGCTTTGTCTTCTCAGATGGAGTTTTGTCTAGTCCATGTCAGCTTGTGTTTTCATGCCTCACATTGTTAACGCTAGCTTTATTGCCTTGCTGTTTTACGGCTGTTTATGCTCTCTTCCTCTCTCTCTCTCTCTCATACGCTGCTGTGCTTTCTTGGGGTTCTGGACAGGTTAGATGGGTGCGCTCATACATTTTTACACCACGTAGCAGCCCAATGTATAGACACCTTAGGTAAGGGGGGGCGCCAACCTTTGTATTTATGTTCTGGAATAGGAAAGACCAGTGTAGATAGCTATTTTGTTTTGCTGGTAGGTGAGAACTTAAAATAAAGAGCTAGGGTAGTGTTTTTTTTTTCTTTCCGTTTGTTTTGATTATTTCTTTCCTTTAACGCCGTCCAGGTCCAGAATCAACAAGCATATTTGCCATTTTGTAAATATTGTAAATAGTCATGTTTTGGAGGTCTCAGTTTGGTCCTAGAGTGAGCGTACTTTACCCCTAGCGTGCAATAAATGAAAAAAAAAGCAGAATCCGATTCGTGTCCTGTTCCTTCCCGGTTTGTGCTCCAAACATCATATTTTAAACCATATGTTACTGACCCCATTATCCAGTAGGCTTTCCTGTGGGGTCATAACACATTTTTATAAATAAATAAAATGCACTCACCTGGCTGAGTATGTGTTTTCCGCGGTAGTGTGTGAGACAGGTATCCGACTGGCCCGTCCGTCTCCATGTCTCCGTCGATGCCGGTGGGGAAGGTGGGGTCTTTGCTGTAGCGGTCCGGGCTGGAGGGAGGGCCGCTCTCCTCTGCGCCACCGTCCAGAAACACTGAGTCTGAGTGGCCGCCAGCTGAGTGACGAGAGATGCTACGGACCAGAGAGGGGTACCCGGACCCTCCCCACATTCCGTTAGCAGTGGCCCCTACAGGAAGCGTGGGGTACTGGCTCCGCCCCAAAGTGCTGACTGACGAGTGCATGCTCCGCCCACTCGGCAGGCCGTCCACCTCCAGGCCCAGGTCTGTGCTCTGCTTGGGGGGTGGGAGGGGAGGGATAAGCAGATGTTTGCGAAAATAGCTTTGACTGTGGAAGGCTAGGGGTAACATTTTAATTGGAGTGGTGCTTTGTAGATGATTAATAAACTCTTAACAGGTCATCAGTAACACATCAACAACATAGTATCAGTAGTGAAGCATCTGAATACACTGACGTAAATATCTTGTAGATGTCCTGTTGATACATTACTTACGTTAAGTAGATGTGTTGTTGATATGTTACTCCCATTACGCAAAACCTAACCTTACCAACTTTACCCAACACCTAACCCTCACCCTGGCCCTAATCCTAACCTTAACCTCAATTAAAAACCTAATCCTAACCCTCACCCTGGCCCTAATCCTAACCTTAACCTCAATTAAAAACCTAATCCTAACCCTCACCCTGGCCCTAATCCTAACCCTAACCTTAACCTCAATTCAAAACCTAATCCTAACCCTCACCCTGGCCCCTAATCCCAACCCTAACTTTAACCTCAACCCACAACCTAATCCTAACCCTAACCCTGGCTCTAATCCTAATCCTAACCTTAACCTCAGCCCAAAATCTAGCCCTCATCCTGGAAAGTCTCCTGAAAAGAATGGAAGCTGGAATAAAGGTAAAGAGTGACTCACTAAATACTGAAAACATTGATAGTATATTTTATTTTTATAATTGTCAACAACAAGTTATTACTCATATTGTATATCGCTGTTGTCGGAAGAAAACCTCGTATCTCCAAAATGGTAACTTTACAGGAGAGGGAAAAAAACATACTTTACTTTTAATGTAAGTCAAAGGAATCAGACTCCCCTCCCCAAGTCATTTTGGGTCGTTTCTGTTAGTCCATTCATCATGAAATTAACATACACTGTAAAGATAAGTCATTTTCAGATTATGTCAAAAACTGAAAAACGACAAAAAATTGAGATACAAGGTTTTGTTCTGACAACAGCAATATGTTACTTATATCGCTTATTTATATTACTACTATCATTATATTATTTTACTACTTATATTGCTCATATTATACTTATGTAGTATAACTACTTAGAGGCCGTTTTGACTGAACACAAAATAACCGAAGGGTCGCCTCTGAGCTCTGCAGAGTACTGTAATAGTGCTTGCTATAGAAAAGAAGTGTGCTTTCCCTTTAACAGTCCTCCTTCAGCTCTTGTTAAATAGCTAATGTATTGACTTAAGCATGCTGTCGCAGTGTGGCGGAGTGTGGAGAGAGTAAAGAAAGAGAGAATGAGACAGAAGGACAGTAGAAAGGGACTGACCCTGTGGGAGTGGTGTCTGCTGGGCCCGTTGGCTGAACTCTCAGCCTGCGGGCTGAAAAAGCCTGGCTGGGGGACCAGATACTCCTCAGCGTCCAAAAGCTCTTTCACGTTTCCCCCCTCCTCTGCCAGCAGGGTGCGGAAAAACTGGCTGTCCACTGGACTCGAAAGACTCATCTTATCATCGTTCTGAAAGGTGCAGACAAAAAAAAAGAACAGGGTATTTGTACGAAGAGTACCAGTCAAAAGTTTGGACACACATACTCCTAGAAGTGGTTTTCCATATTTTTTATTATTTTCAATATAAAAACTATGGAGTAACACACAGAATTATGCAGTGACCCATAAAAGTGTGAACAAATCCAAGCTATGTTCTATTCTACGTTCTTTAAAGTAAGCCTGCTTTGTCTTGAAGCTGCTTTCCCCACTCTAGGCTTTGTCCTAAGCAGCTTCTTGAGGAGCTATCTGGAATGCTTTTCCAACAGGCTTAAAAAAGATTCAGGCGATACAGCCCTTGACCGCTCAAAATCACTTGTTTAGAGAATTTATTTTTGCTTTCCAAATACATCCATACATACACTATATGTTGATAAAGGTATTGGGACACCCCCGACATAAAGCACTCCGCCTCTGGACTCTGGAGCAGTGGAAACGTATTCTGTGGAGTGACGAATCACACTTCTCTATCTGTCAGTCTGATGGAGAGTCTGGGTTTGGCGAATGCCTTTAGTTACCTGCCTGACTGCACTGTGCCAGCTGTAGAGTTTGGTGGAGGAGGGATAATGATATGGTTTGTTATTCAGGGGTTGGTCTAGAACCCTCAGTTCCAGTGAAGGGAAATCTTAATGCGTCAGCACCAAGACATTCTGGACAATTCTTTGCTTCCAACTTTGTGGGAACAGTTTGGGGAAGAACCTTTTCTGTTCCAGCCTGACTGAGCCCCAGTGCACAAAGCAGCTCCATAAAGGCCTGGCTGGGTGAGTTTGGAGTGGAAGAACTTGACTGGCCCTCACAGAGCCCTGACCTCAACCCCATCAAACACCTTTGGGATGAACTAGAACGGAGATTGTGAGCCAGACCCTCTCGTCCAACATCAGCGTCTGACCTCACAAATGCTCTTCTGGATGAATGGGCAAAAATTCCCACAGACACTCTCCAACATCTTGTAGAAAGCTTCCCAGAAGAGTGGGAAGAATGGGATTCATAAAAGCTCCTGTAGGTGTGATGTGAAGGTGTCCCAATACCTTTGTCCATATAGTGTATGTACCACTATCTGTAACTCAGTCTGATGTGTTACAGGTGCTGTGCAACTTCCTGGACCTCAATTCTGTGCGGTCACTCTACAGTATACCGATCATGACCGTTTTCCAGCATGTGACTGAAGTTTTGGCATGAACGTGTACCTGGATGACCACGTAGCGTGTTGGATCTCGCGCCATGCCGCTGAAGTTAGTTACCAGCTCCTTAAACTTGGGTCGACTCTCAGGATCAATCATCCAACCTGTCAGTCAATCAATCAGATCAATTTTCCATCTTTTCAGTCAACCAGAACAATCAATTCTCCAACCTGTCAATCATTCAGATCAAGCAATCATCCAACCACTCAATCAGATCATGACCCATCCTGCTAATCAGCTTCATCTATCATCCAACTTCTCAAGCGATCAGATCAATTAATCATCCAAACTTTTGATCAGATATCATCGAACATTTCAATCATTCAATCTGACAAGCACCTCAATCATCAAGCATGTCAATCAGATCAATCATCCAACCACTCAATCAGATCAATGAATCATTCAACCTTTAGTCAGATCAATCTATCATATAAATCATTTAACCTTTTAATCAATGCAATCAATCAATCAATCATCCAACCTCAAGCTCAATTATCATGACCTCATTACTCAAATAGACATTACAGTGTTTTCAGTAGATGACGTGCTTTAAAATTACATATTCATATTAGACCATAATAATGCCGACGTCTGTGATACTTTCTACTGTAACCATTCAAAAACACTGAAGACTTACATTTGACCATGATCATGTAGACATCTATGGTGCAGATGATGGGCTGAGGGAGCCTCTCTCCGCCCTCTAGCAGCTCCGGGATATCCCGCGCCGGGATGAGGTCATACGGCTTCATGCCAAAGGTCATCAGCTCCCACACGGTCACTCCTGCGCAGTACACACGCGAGTCACACAGCTTATTTTAAACGCAAAGGCTTAAGACTGACCACAGTGTAATCTTAAACGCATACAGAAATACTGAGGCACGTACAGTCACAGAGAAAAGTTTGGACACGCCTTTAATAAGCAGTTTTTTTTTACTATTTTTAATCTATGAACGAACACAGATGAAGTCAGAAATACTGACCACTAACTACCTTTTAACGAGGCAGTAAATATGATATAATGACTGGTGTTCTTTTGTTTGTAAACAGAATGTAAATTTTATTAAAGTTCAAAATAAAAAAAAACTCTTGTAGGAGGAGAATTTCAAAATATTTTTTTTTTATTTTGTGATAAGGAAGTCCACAAACGTCGGTTTTGGAAATAATTTCATATACAGGTATTTCTATGTGTCTTGGCAACAAATTTCAAGCATTTAAGCATATTTCTTTAGACCAAAAGATTATGAAAAACATACATTCAGTAAAGAATGTCCAACCTTTAGACTGGTACTGACCGAACCTTCACATATACACATACAGTACTGAGCACAAGTCAGAGACCACCCTGCTTTTCCTTGATTTCCAGTAAAAACAGGTATTAAGTACAAGTTATTCATTTTAAAAATCAGGGAAAAAAAATTAGAAAAAATATTTAACAGAATTACACAGAAGCATCAACAACTACAGTATTTACTGTATATATTATATACAAATGCACTTACATAGATGTACAAATGTGTGTATATATATATATATATATATATATATATATATATATATATATATATATATACATATATATATATATAGTACTAAATGATTGTATCAGTACTTCAATTAGCACAAAAATTAGTATTAATAGCAAAGCAGTTAGCATTAATGATTCTATTCAGTGCCTTCACTTTAGATGCTTGTATCATATATATACACTTTCTTATGACAAAAAACATATTTGTATATTTGTATAAATCATATACATTATGAACAAAAATACTATGAATTAAATTACTTTAGAACTTAAACAAAAAAGGACATTACAAACTAAACACAAAACTGAAATAAATATTATTTATAAACTAAATCATCAAAATTTCTGACTTTCCCTTAAAATTAAGATGCCAAATTCTCCCTAAAAACTATTTACATCACAAGTGGGAAAGTATACTCTTTAACAGAAAGCAGAGGAAATAAAAAAGGCAATCATAAAAAAACTACATAAGGTCTGGTCATCGGTGTCTTATATAAACTAGCTATTTTGACCAAATCTGACAGAATTTGTCAGTCTGAATTCCCATCCCTCTATTGTATGCTCATTTTTCCCACTTTACAATGACATGATATGTATTGACTGATCATGAAAGGGTTAATACTTAAGGGAGGAGTTTGAACAAACCAATAAAAAGTCTGTACTTGGTCACATTATAATCTTTTTGGACACTTTGAGATAGCTGAAGCTTTTTTTTTTGGGATGGTGCAGCTTTTGGACGACACGCGTTACTGCACCAGACAATTTCCCTAGTAGAAATAGTAGAAATATGTTTGTTGCCTAAAAGCAACATTGCGCAGTGGATCTAGCTAGTCGTAAACAAAGCGTCACAGTTGCAAACAAAACAGTGCAGTCATTATATATTTTTTCTATTTAGAATTCCACCGCGACCCAGAAGGATAAGCGGTTTAGATGATGTATGTATTTAGAATTCTGTTTTATTTAGAATAATTTTGGGGGTTGTACTTATTTAGGAAACTGAAAAGGAAATTTGTATCATTTTTAGTATTTAAAGAAGTGTAGCTTTTCATTCTCATTCTAAATATTTACACAAAAAAAAAATTCTTGACACACTTTTTTTTCCATTGTTGCACAATGTTGCTTCAAGGCAACATATCCCAAAAAGATCCATTCACACATTATTATTATTATTTTTGTTGTTATTTTAATAATCAGGTCCATTTTATGCAAAAAAGGGAATAAAACATTTTTTAAACATTGCTCTCATAATACATGCAATAGAGGGTTAAGGAATAAGTTAGCTTTTCTATAGTCTACATTTCATGAACAACGTCATACCAATTGTTGAGTTTAAGGGGCTCAACAGACGGTCATTTTCTAGTGATTGATTTCTTACTTGCAGCTAGAAAGGCCTTCAACAATCTCTTATCGTTTTGACCTAAGTCTAAAGAATGATTTCCCAGATAAAGAGAACCAAAGTCAAAAAGGGTATATTCATCTGAAATATAGTACAGAGAGCCAGATGGACAGCCTTCCAATACCCAGACAGAACAGTACATTCCCAAAAGATTTGGAAATGATTTGCATTGGCTGAGTTACACATTCTCCAGCAGCTGGATCCTGAACCTTGGTGTCATTTCTGCTCAGGTGTAATAAAGAATCGAAGGGTTATCTTACATCTCCCCAGGAAATACCTCCGGAAAACATGAATAACTTGTATTTAATGGCTGTTCTGACTGGTAAATGAATAAATGAATGGTGGTCTCTGACTGTGCATGGTAACGTACATGCTAAGTAAACATGCTTCTACTGACCGTAACTCCATACATCACTCTGGTGAGTGAACCTCCTGTGTAGGATGGACTCCAACGCCATCCATTTAATGGGAACCTGTGATTTATAATCATTCATGGTTTGAGCTTTCATGAAAATGCATGCTTGACTAAAAAACTATGCTAAATATTATAATGAAAAAGGTAATGGTCCCAAAATAGTGTGGCACTATGAGTGTTGGTGAGTCTTAATGTTCCTCAATAAAGCCAGATACACAAACACAGACCTTCCCCCCGTCTGCGTGGTACTCTGTCTCGTCTATGTCCAGCAATCGAGCCAGGCCAAAATCTGTGATCTTCACGTGGTTCGGGCTTTTCACCAGAACGTTCCGGGCTGCAAGATCTCTGTGGACCAGTCTAACATCTTCAAGGTAACTCATACCCTGAGGATATTAAATCAAACACAGATAATGGTGAAGTACACTACATGTCCAAAAGTTTGTAGACACCAGCTCATCAGTGTTTCTTTTGAAATGAAGGGAATTAATAGGGAGTTTGTCCCTCTTTGCTGCAGTAACAGCCTCTACTCTTCTGGAAGGGTCTCATCTAGACTATGTTTTACAGTTTGGGGAGACTAATTATTTTTTCCATCCATTTTTTCAGGTTTGAGGTTTGAATGCTGAATGTAGTACGCCACAATGCCAGTTCACGAGTATATAGGCTGTATCTAACACTCCATCTCTTTCAATATATAAAACCAATTAACTATTCAGCCCTATGAAATTTCATTAACTTCTAGATCCTGATGAAATTCCACTTTGCGAGTAGTTCAGGTTTCTGGGTCCTTACTTGAGCTCGCTCAGATTTTGGTTCAATCATATATAACATCAGATGTACAGTCATATGCAAAACTTTGAACATCCCTAGTCAGATGAGATGCTCTGTTGATTTTCTAAGTGAAAATAAGTGAACACAGCCTGTACAGAGAACTTAAATCTGGAATTTTTCTACAGATTTTAGCGCATAATTTCTATTTATTTGAGTTTAACACATTGGAAAATAATAAAATACAGTGCCATAACTTTTGCACAGGCAACATTTTATGTTTTATTTTTTCCCCAATATGCTAAACTCAGCTATTAAACAGTAACTGTGCTTTAAAATGTGCAGCAGGTGTGAAGACGTGTTAACTTAGAACTTTTTCACAACAGAAATATGGCATTTGACCGGGGAGCCAAAACTTTTTCACACGGCCGCATGTGTGTTAAAATGCTGATGTTTAAAAATGATGGATGCATATAGAATTTCATGCTACTAAAAGTAGTTAAGGTCTCATTACCGAATTCTCGAGCGGTTTTTCAAATGCTATGTAGCCTCCAATGAAATTTACAAAACAATTTCCATTATTTACTTTTCTGCTATTTTCTAAAGCTGTTTATGTACAAAGAGCATTACTTAGTCAATAAGTGTGGCATAAGTGTGATGATTTAAACATGCAGCTTGCTGACCGGAGGGGTTCCATCTGTTGTGGCCTGTAAATATACTCACTTACAGCACCTCACGGTCATTTGTGGTTTAAGCCACACCCACTTTCAGCTTGTAATTTAAAAAAAAGGTATTGAAAAAAGTGTCAGTTGGACATCAAGGTCATATTATCTGTATTGGTATCGGTAAGTCCTGAACGATAGTCGGCTCTAGGTATAAGCTTCCATTACCCAGCTATATTAGCCTCATAGCTCCAGCGCAAAAATAAGAAGCAATTTTAGACGTCAAACATGGCTTGTCTGACTGACCACATTTGAGGTCAGAGGGAAAATAAATCGATTCACATGGTATGATGCAGTGCTGGTGCTATTAACTTACCTTAGCGATCTGCACACACCAGTTAAGCAGGTACTGGGAGCCGATGTGGTCCTTGTTCTCGCGGACGTAGTCCAGCAGGCAGCCATACGGCATCAGCTGAGTGACCAGCTGCACCGTGGAGGTCAGGCAGATACCCAGCAAGCGGCACACGTACGGACTAGCAACTCCTGCCATCACATAGGCCTCCTACACATACACAGAGATGTTAACATGTAAGCAAATGGACAGGACGTGATGGATTAGACCAGACCTTTTTCTCAATTTGATGATCTGAGACTCGACTCGAGAAAATCGAGAAAGACTTGCAACTCAACTCTGAGTTCAGCCTTATGACTCAGAAAGGCTCAAAATCCAAAGTGGAAGAAACACGGAGAGTCTGACTGCAGACTTCAGATTAACAGAGAATGTGCTGTAGATGGTTCTATTTAGCACCCAAAAGGGTTCTTCTATTGTTACAAGCTCTTTTTAAAAAGGTTCTATATAGAACCATCTACAGCACATTCTCCATCAATTAGCAGAACAATTTCATGATGCAAAGAACCCTTTAATCATGCAACTGGTTCTTTAAGTGTTCGTGGTTTGTTGTAGAAGAAACATCCTTTTTAAGAGTGTGGTTATCTGTGTCTCATGGATTTTGTATTTTAGTTGGAAGGGTAAAAACAATGTGTGTGTATATATATATATATATATATATATATATATATATATATATATATATATATATATATATATATATATATACACACATACACACAGCCACACACTACCAACATTAAAAGCTGTATTACTGTTTCCATTATTCAGTGTTATGGCCTTAAATTAGCTGAAGAATGCAGACTGACTTGTTTAGGACTCTTAGATATTGCCTTGGGACTCGACTTGGGACTCGTACTGACTCAGGACTTGAATTGAGACTCGACTCTCTTGACTTGGGACTTGACTCGGGACTTGAGTGTCAAGGCCTGAGACTTACTTGTTACTTGCTATGTTCACATTACCAGGCTGAAGTGGCACAAATCTGATTTTTTGCCCTAATGTGACTCAGATCTGATCTTTTCAGGGCTGTGTGGACACGCAAATCTGATCTTTTCAAATCCGACCTGAGCCACTTTCTAATGTGGTCCTAGATCCGACTGATGGCCATGCAATCTTAATGTGACGCTCAGATCAGAATTCATGTGCTTTTTTTCCACTGCGCCATCATTCAGCGTTACCATGGCAGCAGCGCCGAACAGAAGTTAAAGCCTGTAAACGGTGGAAAAGCAGCTCATCTCACCTTTTTCTCCTTCGTCTCGCTCTAATAATGAAGCTGAGAGCTGATCAGAGTTAATGATCTTCTCAGCGAAGCTCGTTCTGCTCGTTGGTTTGTGCTGATGATGAACGTGATTTATTCACGTGACGTTACTGAGTAGGATGAGCTCATGAGGGTCATTTTAGGACGCCGGTTCATCACATTAATGACAGATTTGAGTCACTTACCTAAACGAGTGTGAACCATCCTATCAGAGAGATCGGATCTGAGCAAAAAATTTAATTTGGGCAATGAGGCTTGTAATGTGAACGTAGCTTTAGTGACTTGTTCCCACCACTGGATTATACAGATAAAGATGCAACAGGTAGAAAGTATATATCAGCTAAATTACAGCCCCTGGCTCTGCTTAGGCTTTTAAAACAAAGATAAAGCCAGCATGGAGGACAGCAGGTAGGGTATAAATTCACTGCTCATGATTCTCAAAGACAAGCCCAATGTCCCCATTTGCTGGTTCCTGTAAATGATCACTTGCTACACAGAATCAGTTCTGTTCTTAGAACTTGCTTGAACAGCTGATACCAAATCTGACTCACATCCAGAATCTCTTTGTTGGCTTTGGGGGACGTGTTCTCACGCAAGACCTTGATGGCTACTGGAATCTTCACGTTTTCTCCATCAGGAGCCCAGATGCCCTATAGATGCAGAGACCAAAACACAGAGTGAGGGAACAGCACTGTTAGCCCTTGATTACGTTCTGTAGCGACACTTAACTTTTCCATATTTAAACCTTTCATTGCTCATTGCTAACAGTAATATCTAATATTGCAGTTTTCATCATGTTGCAATTTTGTAATAAACATTTCTTACTCATACTCATCAAAACAAACGGAATTTCAGTAGAAAGTGTCAATTCTAAACTTTTCTAAACTGTCAATCTTTATTACATCTCTGACTGTAAGTCAAAGAGAAGGTATTTAATGATGTTAATGTGATAACGGCATTGTTGTTGTTTATAATCTTGCTTTGTGTCCTTAATTATGTAACGCATTTCAAAGCAACAATAACTCTAGCTTTCTAAACAAAAACAATATTCTATTATCCACTAGCTAAACTCTTAGTAATTTCACCAGCAGTGCTTTTTCAGAAATTTCTGCATGGTTCAATCTTTATAATGTAATTAAAGTCATTCTGAGTGGTCTGATGTGGAATAGTGCACTGCAGAGAAACTTACCAGCATGCATTTCTTTAAAGTGTTGGTAATGGGAACCAGAAGTCGCAATGTGTAATACAACCATGACGCAAATATAGTCATTTTACTTGTTATCCAAAAACCTACACTTATCTTCTTAGTTTTAATATGTTAATGCTGATAATAGTGAAACTGTAATTAAAAGAAAATTTGCTTTGGGTTCTATTTTGCCTTAGTTCCTGTAATGTAGCATTTAGAGCGACTAAGGTGCTTCTGACGTCTGGTTCCTATCACCACCACTGTGAATTTCAACCCACTCTGGACGACTTTGTTTACATCTTAATGATTTAATCACGGAGAAAATGAGAAAAATCGGTGGAGTTCCCCTTAAACACTTATGCTGACCTTATAGACAGTGCCGAACGCTCCAGAGCCGAGCACTCTGAGCTTCTTGAGCTCCGTCTCCTTCAGGATGCGCATCTGAGCCTGGTTTGGCATAGCTCCACTCGGAGTCAGCGGCTCCACCAACTGCAGTACAAATAAATATGAAAACAACAGAAAAAATGAAAGCGAAAGTAGAACTTGTTATTCCTTAAGAGCATATCCAGTTCAACCAGTTTGTAAATTATGTTCAGAGAATGATGTTTACCCTCCTAGCAAAGTATAACTATATCCATGTATGAATGCATAATCAGCCATAGTATATAGAATCAGTGCTAAATATTGTGTTGACAGTGTACAGAGTTGTCAGCGTCGCTCAGATAAATCATCATAGTCATTTTTACTTGATACATTTTGATTACAAACAGCATATTATATGCAGTTTCCATGCACAATGTAGTCTACTGCTCCCAAATGTCTGCTTGGGGATTAATCAATCAAATTTTTAGAGGTATTATTAATATTATCATGATATTATTATAATATATTTAATATTGTTATTAGGTATTTGAGATACATCACAGCAGACAGTCCAGCTCAGGTGGATGAGCTGAGATTAACTTAAAATGGCTTATGATTTTGAAGCTAACTACTCAGAATCCAATGGCACAGTCACAACCACAGCCCCCATGATGCTTTGCATGTCTGACCTCGTGCTCCTGCAGGATCCTTCTCATGGTTTCCTTCTTCTTCAGGTGTTTCTGCCGACGCAGGTAGAAGACCAGTAGAGCGAGCAGGATGAGGAAGAGGACAACGCCACCCATCACGGCTGCTATGGTTGTGCCAGGTCTGCAGGATTAGCATGATGACAAGAACAACGACCTTTTCAGTCATGATAAACTGGGTAGAATATGCATTATGAGCAATGTCCAGGGGCGTCGGCGGGGCATGTAAAGATCTGGGGCTCAGCCCAGTTCACTGTACAACTGTTTCAGGATACGTTTTTCCCAGATTTTTTTTGATTAACCTGTAAAATGAGCAGTTGCTATTTTTTTATTCAATGTTGTCAACAAATCAAAACAATGTGCCTCCAATACTGATAGGTGTGTCTTATAAACGAAATCATAGAACAGCAAAAGCAAAAAAAAAAGTCAACATAACAGGAAATAAAAATGTGTCAAAAACACGTTTCCTCTATAATGCATTTCTTTAACGTTTGCTCCTCTTCTCCTCCTTTTTCATTTGTCCTGAATATTTTATCTGTAGCTTTACGTTTTAAAAGTTAAATAGTTATTCATGCAACACTTCTTGTTGAAAACCAAACAAGAGACAATATTTTCAATATATAACAAAGTATTCAGTCTGGGTAAATTTATGTCCCGATAATCACTGTTAGAGCTCTGAGTTCTGCTACCTGACCCAGTGACCCACTGAGCCCTACAAAATATCAGGTGCATAAATGTTTTCGTATAAACAGCATCGGGTGCGGCTCGGCTTCAAATGAGTGACTTATATGGACAATGTAAAACCTTTTTTTGGATTTTTTCCCAATTTTCTCCCCAATTTAGATGTTTTCAATTCCACCCACTAGTTAGGACCCCCCCCCGCCCCCATCACATGCCTTTAAATTCTAATGTTGTACTTCAAATAATGAGTTAACAGGATGTCATCGACATGGGGATTAATTAACTGTCATGTTAACTGATTATTTGATGTTCAGTGAGCTTGAATTTTTAAAACTGCCAGTTTAAACATTTATTTATACATTAATTTACATACAAGTTAAAATGATCATTGTTTCCCACTGGAGTAGATTTGCCTTTTTTATGGAAATTTCACTCTCATTTTTCCTCTTGTACTCTCATCGCGCGTTCTCTCTCTCTCTCTCTCTCTCTCCCTCTTCCTTTCTCTCCCTCTCCCTCTCCCTCTCTCTCCCTCTCCCTTCCACTCTCTCTCTCTCTCTCTCTCTCTCTCTCTCTCTCTAGGACTGGGTGAACGTGCCCCTGTGAAACATTTTAAGGTTTGGGGCTGGTTAAAGAAGCCCAGGCCAGGCAGCGTCCCTGGCAACGTCCAAGGTGCTGATTAAAAAAATGACCTAAAGTGACCTCATTCACACCCATGTCATGCTCATATTAAGAGTGTTTGAGCAATCTTACCCAGCTTTCTGGTGAATTGGACACCCTCTCTCATCCAGTGGACACCTGTGAAAAAAACAAACTTAATCAACACTAATGATAAGATCTGGAGTGTGAAATAAACACCTCTTCAACTCCTCACCTGCTTTAAAGTTCCCGCATGTTCATATTTAACATCCTGATGTTCCCTTCTTTTCTAACATCTTCTAGCATTTCATACGTCAACACCGAGTCTGAATGTCTGCAGTATTTTAAGGTGAAAACTTCTATTATCTGCAGTACCAGCAGTTAAGCTACTGGGCAACAGTTCAGACACAGTTAAACAATACAAAAGACTTCTGTTAAAGTCTGTATCGCTATGCATATGTCTGCAAATTGAGCGAATTTACTGCCAAATAGGCGGTAAAGTGATCAGATCGATCAAAATCTGTTTTTAACACTTTAAAACAATCATTTAAAGCTACACTATGAATGATTTTTTTATTTGAAAGAATGATCATTACTGAGTCGGGAAAAAGAACATGCTAAAATATGGTGTCCTGTAAAGTCTGAAATAATCATGTAAAAGTCAGCGGTGTAGGGTTGGGAGTATTCCGGACCACATCATACATCTTTATGTATTAGCATCACACTCACAAACTCAAAAAGAAGGTGCGGCTCGATGTTTAGGTCTCAAACGCAAAACCAACATTATACTGATGAAGATTATCACTGCAGTAGATAATTCACTCACAAAGTCTTGACTGGAGTTCCTTAAATACTCTTTCACTCAAAAACTGTATTTTCACATATTGAGTGCAATTACACATTTCTACCAGAGAGGTCTCCAAATCCCCAAAACTTACTCAGTGCAGCTTTAAAATAAGTATCTAGCCAATTAATCTTGTGGCCAGAATTAAGAATGTGTCACCAGAATTATAGAAACCTTTGCCGTATATAACAAACATGCTTCAGTTCCAGAAAGCAGTCGCGTGTGGCTTTGTTTTAAAATATTTGAAACTGTACATTAATAAGAACATTGCTGTGAAACTGTGAATTCCGGCAAAATCTGATTTGACGCGTTTAGTGTAGTTCATGACCAAAGTGTCTGGATCTCGTGGGGGAGGGTGAAAGGTTGTGGTTTTGAATGTGTAAAAATCGGACTGGTCTGGTTTGTTAAAAGGGAAAAAAATGTAAAAAAACTTCCAAGGCAAGTGACCACTTGGGCCACAGGCTCTGCATTTTTAGCGGCCAAGATGTGAAGTGCTGTGGTCAGAGGCACGCTGCCAAAACTTCAGCTTTAAGGACACCATATGTACATGTGTTACAGATACATTTTGGACCGTATTATTTGTTTTTATTTAAAATCTGAACAAAGTATTTGCTCCATTCAGGCTGTTGTATTTTAGAGCTGAAACTCAGTTACTGATGCTTACGACACAGAGCAGTTGTTGGGACATGGTATGCAGTGTCCACTCTCATTGCTGTATTTCCACACAGTGTGCTGGTCCTCCTTCACGCCGCTGGGACAACGCTCCACGCACACGTCTCCGTCCTGGAAGTGCAGGCACTCCATACACTGATCTGGACCCTGCCAGAAATAAAGGTCAATTCAGATCTTCGCTCGTGTATGACAGGATCCTCCACTGTGGGGTATATGATATATGACATATACATACAAATATATGATCTGTTTTTGTTATTGACCACAACTACGCAGCCAAACTGAACGAGTGAATAAAAAATAGTGAAAAGTGTGACGAATTAACAAGAAGCATGTGTGAAGATTCTTACTGGGCCAGAGCAGGACTCGGAGCCATTGACTGGTCGGCACTCAGGGTGACAGGGAACGCAGGAGAGGTCATCACTGAACTCCCTGATCAAACTACGAACACAGAAAGCTGAGTTTGACTCTCGGACCTTTTTAGCTCCATCAGTCATCTACCATCTACCTGATCTACCATCTGCAAAAGCACTGCAGCTTGAAATGTTTATCCCAGTCAAGCTTGGACAGGAGTTCGTCAGGCTACAGTTGAATTCAGACAGAATTGTATTGGGTTGCAGCTGGGTTCAAACAGAACTTTTTCAGGCTTTATTAGTTCTTGGTTAAGATTCAGGGCCGATTATTAAAGCACATCCTGCAGTCAAAACCAAAACGGTTCTAGCTGAACCCTCTGAGTTGCTCCACATTCACACAAGCTGAGAAGAAACCTGTATAAGCACATAAACAGCTTATGTAGAACATTAAACAGGACACTGTGCTGTCTACACAAGCTCACCCGTTCCTGATGTTGCACTCCTTCACACACTCTTTGCCACGCCGATAGGAAACGCACGACACGCACTGGCTCGGCCCGGGACCCCAGCAGGATCCATTCTTGCAAAGAGGGTCACAGACGTGCCCATCCGCCTCTGAAAAACACAGAGAGACGCTTCAGACACTATAAAGTTTAAGAGACATACACAGCACACATTTTCCCCCTTAATCCAAAGGTTGATCAGCCAAAACATGTTTAGATTTGCAGTAGAGCTTCAAGGCTAATGTGGCTAACAACTCATGGAAGCTTATAGCTCAACAGTTAGCACTGTGCTAATTGTGTACCTCAAACTGAGTCCATCAGATTCTCACTTTTAACCCCATGCATGAATGCGCAGCTCTTACCGCAGGCTTGTGGGTCTCGGTTGTTGTTGCTGATGAGGTTGGGCTCTTGGCTGAGGTACAGCAGGGAGGACCAGGGCAGTGAGGAGGTGTAACACAGCCGCGAGTTATTGTGGACCAGCACCAACCCGCCACTCACACTGCGCAGAGAACGCAGGCCCAGAGACTCAATCTGCAGAGACTGGATGCCCAGAGAGTATACACCTCTATGGAGAGAGAGAGAGAGAGAGAGAGTCATAAGGATTACAGACCACTTCCCTGAACCCTTTGGGTGTTACCATCCAGACTAGCAACCTTGTACTTCCACTCACTGCCCACTGTATAAGCCCCACTTTCCTTATAGGTCAGGGGTCGCAACCCAAATGTTAAGAAGAGCCATTTTGTCCTTTCAACAAAAATCAAACCACCATGAAAGCCACAACAGTTCATGTCCATTTTACCATATTGGCTGTAAATATGTCTCAGTATGTGCTGATGTGCTAGAATAGGCTAGAAAATATAATATAAATGATGCTCTGCTTTAAGCTTTAGCTCAGCTATAGCTGCTTTTCTCGCATCTCCAACAGGAAACTTTTCCACAAAAATTGGAATAATTGAAGAGATGGAAGAGATGGATGGATACAGTCAGAGGAGTAATAATGAAGCAGGCATGCAGAAGCCAGGATATTCTGGAGAAACCCTACAGGAGTCAGAATCAACTTGACAAGCGGTGTTGCTAGGTTTTTACACACATCAGCATCACTGCTACATTGAGAGTGGTCCACCACCCAAAAGTACATAGCCAAGAGCGGCTCTGAGCTCAGAAACTGACCACTGATGAAGGATTAGACACAAATAATGCATTAATAGACAGGCTACAGTCTCTAACTGTACACCAGCAGGGTGAGATTGTTAATAAAGTGGACAGTGAGTGGACCTCATCTGTGTGAGGTAAACATAACAGCTCATAGCGTTGTGTCATTCTGGCTAAACGCTGTTGGGTTAAACAGAAGGCAACCGTACAGGTGCAGAAGGATAATCATTAACTTTAATGACCGGTGGGTTTGATAAGCCTGACTGAGTCAGACAAACAGACAGACACAAATATCACAGGCTGAGGGAGACGGATGAAGGAAGAGATAAAGAAAAATACGCACGCTAAAGGAAGAAGGAAGAGGGCGGCAGGCTGAGAAATGTGTCTGGGGAAGAATAAAGTAATGAAGGGAAATAAAGAGACAGAGAGAGACGACAGGACTGGCTTACTTGTACAGCATCCGCCCTCGGATCACCTTCAGGTTTTCAAACACACCCAGGTCTGGGCTGTTTTCTGGCCATGCCTCAATGTACAGGTAACCTGGGGGCACACGCACAATTAATCAGACTATTGCGGTGAACTGGCTGACCTACGGAGCTGGCTGGACGGCCATGTTACCTGTGATTTCCTCCAACGTCCTGAACACCTCAAGGTCAGCGGCCTGCAGACTTGTCAAATTGGTCAGCGGGTCGCTGCAGGAGGAACACAGCAGTTGTTTGTAGTGAGAAAAGATAAAAAATTAAAAATGCACTACTTTGTAGTCAGTTAGACAAGAACGTTTGGTGTCTGGAGTTTCTGTTTAGCCCTGTATGCTAATGTAGCCACCAAGTCCACCCCAACAATTAGCATCATACAAACTGCAAGTCTAAGTCATCACACGCTCCTCAAACCGTGTGGAGCTGTTAAGTCATCACCCAATTATGTGGTTTGACACTGTATGACTATAAGCTTCCATTGTTAGCTCCATTAGCTATTCAGTCTAGGTTTTGGCCCAATCCCATTTCACCCCTCGCCCCCACCACTTAGCTCTTAGCCCTCTGTTTCACACGTTCACGTCTAGGGGTAGGGTGTACTGATTCTTGTTCAGATAGAGGGGGAGGGCAAAGTGTTAGGACTACATGACCCTCCAAACAGGGTTTTTTCAGAGACTCCAAATAGAGTGTTATGAGAAAACCAGCAAGGTGGCTGAGCAAGCGACCAAAGAAACACACAAATGTGAGAATTTTTTCAGGTAAAAAAAAATTACGATAACCATTGGATTATCTTACCTTATGGTCCTTTTCTGCATAATAAGCATAAAAAAATCACTAGTAGTATGCTAAGGTCTCAGTAGCTCGCTAAATTTCCCGTTCCACCTTAAATGGTGCAGCAGTTACATACCATTTAAGGTGGAACGGGAAAAATTCTAACAAGAAGCTGGCGAATATCTGACTTCAGCTTCATATCACTGAAGAATTAGGGGTGGGTGATTATAAATAATTGCCCCCCTCTTTGAAGTCATATGATTCCCTAAATGTAACTAAAGCCCAGCAGTGAGGAGCTGAACTTTACCCTCCTCTGCTGTCACTGCAGACTGGCAGCGTCGCCTACAGAGCAGCGCTGGTAGCTGTTAATGAAGTAATGCTCTTTTTATTTGAGGGTCCCATTTCAGAGGGAAGATTTCAACTACTACAACTTGCAACTCAGTTTCAAGGGGCAAGGAGACACTCGAAAACAAGGGGTAGGGGTAAAAACAAGAAATGGGATTGGGCCTTCGTCTGTATTCTTTTCCTTCATTTTTATAGATGTAAAAATGTCAAAAAAACACAAACAAGTCTATTCAACATGACCCTGTTTTAAAACTCCATTACTTGTTAGCCACATTAGCCTTGCAGTTCCAGTGCAAAACTAAAGAAGCAAACCTCAGTCACCAAACATGTCTTGGCTGATTGACCACATCTGGGGTAATTTGGGAGAGAAATTGTGTACATTTATTTTTTTTGCATAACTCTTCTTTTAGATCTCAGTGAATGCAGTGAGACTCAGTCTTACTCTTTAAAGGACTGGGGGAGGAAGGCCAGACTGCCGTAGATCTTCTTGCAACCTTCGAAGAAGCCGATGTTGGAGGAGTTCACCGCAGACACGCCCTGTAGATTCCCCATGCCTAAACCGTAACACACTGACAGAAAAACGAAGAGGAAATCCATAAACACACGTGCAAGTAGGATCACCGCTATCATGAAATTTTAGTTGATGATTAACTGCTACACTCAGAAATAAAGGTAATAAACTGTCACTGGGGCAGTTCCCCTCTTGTCACTGGGGTGGAACCCTCAAGGGTTCATCTCAGTACCTTTAGTCAGGGAACATAACTGAACCATAATCCACTGAAATGATATGTTCTAAGCTGTACTGACTCCACACACCCCGTCTCGTCTCCAGGCTTTTATCTTACTGTTCTGTTTAAAACATTTGGTTATGAAAAGGTACAAATACGAACTTTTCACCTGGAAAAACTTATTTAAGGTTCACAGTCAGACCTTAAAACCACTGTTGTACCTTTGAGGGAATATTTACATTGTTTGTACCTTGATGAACGAAAAATGTACCTGTACAGAACCTTTATTACTAACAGTGTATTTAAATAATAGACCTTGTTAATTGTATGCAACTATAAAAGTACAAGCCCAAAGCCTAAACATTACTGAACAGTGAAAACCTCTGTAGTATAAAATTTCATAAGACTGATGAAATCTCCATAAATGCGTTTTCTGCTTTCTTTTATTTCCATTATTTGTCTCAGTTCAATGGATTATAACGCACCTGATTCACACTGTTGTGATGTAAACACATCAATTTGAAGGAGAACAAATGTGTGAAATAACTGTGATCAGACAGTTATCCAGTAACTGTGACGGGCAATGTAGAACAGTTTTGGTCAAGTGTGCATCATACGTCTCACAAGTCCTCGCCCACCTCTCACTGTCACGTTTCACAGAGGTGTTCCACCGACCAAACGTACAAAACCAATACTACCTTTGTAAAAGGGTCATTCTACAGAAACGACATGTTTGTGTCCCCAGCGTTTACAGATATATTAATCTTGAAAAACACGCCAGGGATATAATTTATTTATATTTTAAAATAAAACAATAAGTTACTTTAACAATTACACCTTCTTGATCCATCAATTTAGCAATATTGGTTTTTAAATCAATTATAAAGAAATCCAGTTTCCAAAGAACGTGTAAAGGCTGAGGCCATATTTTGAAGTAAAAAACACGTTTTTCTGCTATTTTAACTGCTATAATCTAAACATGACTATGGAATATATAAATTAAAATGACAAAGAAAACAAACGGCAAATGAAATATTATAAAATTTATAATGAAAGTTCCCCAGTACTTCCTTTTCCCTGTTTTCTGAGGATCTATGAAGAAAAGCACATGGTGAGTCCACTGTGTCTTTCAGTTATCAGAGATTTTCTCATTCAGCTCATGGTTTCATATGAAGCTTTTAGCTGAAGTCACTAGTGTGACCGACTTTATTCTGAGGTAACTGTGAAAAAATAGAATAGAAATGGATTAAATTACATATTTTAGTGGACATTCCATTATTGATGATATGTGGTTTGATGCTCTGCAGAAGCCGTTGTGTAAAATGCATTTTTCATTATAAACGTCTCTGGTGTTCCCTTTATTATGTGTAACACCAATGAGGATCAGTAACACCAGGGACTCCCATGGAGAGATAGAAAAGTGGACGTTTCTGTAGAATGACCCAAAAACAAGCATGAGGTTGAGGTTAAATAATGAAGACTTGTGCGTCCCCAGCTACTCTTGAGAAAATCAACAACCTCCCTTTAGCTGCAGCAGATCGTGCTAAAGAGGCAAGTCTGCTCTTGAACCTCCTGTCGATAAACTCTCCACACTCAGAACAACACCCACCTTTAGGACACTCTCCTTCACACTTTTCACATTTCTGCGTCTCCTGTCCATCCGGTTGGACGGTGATGACTTCCTGGTTTGCTTTGGGGCAGACCATCGTGCATGCCACATCCATGGCCAGATAGTTATCTACAGATGGAGGGAGGGAGGGAGGAAGGGAGAGGGGGAGAGGGAGAGAGGGAGAGAGAGAGAGACAGGGAGAGAGAGAGAGTGAATATAAGGAAGAAAAAGAAATGTGTGGTTGTCTAGGAGAATTTTCTAGAATATTACAAAACATGTTTGCTTATTTGAGACATAAAAGGGCATGGCTGGACAAACGAGCTTGGCAGGCTTGATAAGGTCTGTGCAACTAACAGGCTATAACTTATTATAACTTATTTATAACTTATTTATAACTTATTATTTTTCAATTAATCAATAATTAAACAACGCTCCATAAATAATGCTGTCAGTGACTAATTGAGTACGTCACATAATCCCTGCGATCCTATTTGTGCCAGAAAATCCTCTGTAATTTGTATTTTTTCCTCAATTCTTCTTCTGCTCACTCGTCTCTTCAGGTTACTGCTGCCAGTTTCCAACTGCTGATCACCTTATTCGTCACGAGTACTGCAGCACTGCTAAATCAATGTCAAAGCTTGTTTTCAATTGTTTTTAAATTTGTTTTATTCTCTTAAAATGACACCAACAGGAACCTTTCAGTAGAGACCACTGTAGAGAGAAAGTCTAACTTTTCATTTCAGAACCATCTGAAGTGCCCAAACAACACAACCTGCAGTTAAAGTCAAACCAAAACTGACCTTTTTAACCTTGTTCATTCATGTTGAGTCGTATTCAGCACTATCCATCATGCCATTTTCATTCTCCTGTAATTGTTGAGCAACTTCTGAAAACACTTAGCTAATGTTTTATTTAGAAATAGGTCACCTTACAGAAGGAAAAAGAGTCACATTTTCCGATCCACACTGACTGTAAACTTTTATCTCCTCGTTAAACACTGCAAAGGCTAAAAATGATTCTTTTTAGCTATTTATTTCTATTTTTAACCCCATTCCAAGAAGTTGGAGCAGCAGATAAAAGCAAATGCGAACAGAACACTTATAAACTTTCATTATCGTGATATAATAATACTATACAATATGCTTTTCTAAAAATATCTTAAATATTGCATGTATTCATATAACACTGTCTGTGTTTACATGCAAAGATTTTTGCCAATCCGATTGAATACATTCCAATTAAGACTGAGGTGTTTATTCTCAATCTACTCAACAATCTGATGGAAATCTCTGTCTACATGCTCACTACAAGTAATCAGATCCAAAATTACACGCATGTGTAGAGAACCACTTAGTGTAGACGTTACCATGACAACCAGCATCACGTGAGTCCAGTGAGAGTGAGATGAGCAGCAGTGAGCAGTGCTTGTGTTTTAATAGCTTTAAAATGATGTCAGACTCAGGAAAACGTCCTTCACATGTCCTTATTAAAGAAGGCCGAGAGGAAGACGTCGTGTTCTGAGACACATAAGCTGGACGTCCGTCCCACCGCCGTCTTTTAAAGATCAGAGCATAAACTTCGTCTCCTCTGCAGACCAGTTTCTGCTCCGCCATGTTGAACGGTGTAAACTTTCACTATGACGTGACGAACATGATCAGAACGGACTTAAACTTTCCGATAGGGAATGTAATCAGATACAGGCGTTTACACGGATACTATTCTTCTATTTAACAGATTATTTACAGGATTACCCACCTCGTTCAATCAGATAGAAACTGTTTTCCGAATGGCCTCAGTCGGACTAGTCTATTCCGATTGAGCTATTAGTCAGATTATTAACAGATTATTAGGCTGCATGTAAACGTGGCTACTGACCAACTGCACGTTTAATTACAAAGAGAGTAAAGTTAGTCCTGTTTAACTGGATTTAGTGCAACATAGTGTGGCAAATATTCTATAAAAGTCATTTTCACAGTTTTTCATAGTATTTTTTTAAATGTGGCACTACTGATTCTTTCTTCTCTGTTCCAACTGATTAGATGTCTGCAGAAATAAATATTATGACATAATGTGTATGATAAAGTACTGTAGTACTGTGTTGTGTTTTGCCATCTATTTTTGCTGTATTTACAATTTAATCCATGTCTAACACGATTTTCTAATCACTCCTTTCTGTTTTCATAGGCATTTCAAACACTGTCCCAACTTTTTCGGAATCGTGTTTGTACATAAATCCAGGCACTAGATAAATATATTCGTCCAAAAATCATACCAGGTGTTCAACTGATACTAAAGTGGACGTACGTGGACACTGTTTTACACAGGTGGCTCCAAAGCTGAACTTCTTGTTGGGGTTGGGTTTGGACTGAAAGACCATGGAATCGTAGATGCTGGGTGGGGGGCAGTTTTCTTTACACGTCCCACTGTCGTTAAAGTGACGGCAAGCCTGTGTAGAACAAAGACACGTAAATACACTTTCAGAAATCAACACTTTCTGACCAAAGACGTATATACACCAATCAGGCATAACATTCTGACCACCTCCTTGTTTCTACGCTCATTGTCCATTTTATCAGCTCCACTTACTATATAGGTGCACTTTGTAGTTCTACAGTTACAGACTGTAGTCCATCTGTTTCTCTGCATACTTTGTTAGCCCCCTTTTACCCTGTTCTTCAGTGGTCAGGACCCCCATGGACCCTCACAGAGCAGGTACTATTTGGGTGGTGGATCATTCTCAGCACTGCAGTAACACTGACGTGGTGGTGGTGTGTTAGTGTGTGTTGTGCTGGTCTGAGTAGATCAGACACAGCAGTGCTGCTGGAGTTTTTAAACACCTCAGTGTCACTGTCCACTCACTGTCCACTCTATTAGACACTCCCACCTAACAAAGTATGCAGAGAAACAGATGGACTACAGTCTGTAACTGTAGAACTACAAAGTGCACCTATATAGTAAGTGGAGCTGATAAAATGGACAATGAGCGTAGAAACAAGGAGGTGGTCAGAATGTTATGACAGATCGGTGTATTTCACAACGCTGACATATAGTGAGCAAAACAGATAAGACTTTCTATTTATAACACAAACATAACTCACTCATAAATCATATGGACTGTTATGAATGCTTATGTCAACAAATGCAGGCTTCATCCTGCCTGCGTTTATCTCTATTGCCTGTGTTTGCCTTCAGTGAGCAACAACAAATGTCTACATGACTTATTATATTGTACGTATGAGTTATGTAAGTGTTACCTAAAATACATAGAAAACATAATTACATTCTACCAACTCATAATACGTGAGAACTGGAACAAACCTTAATCTGAATGGAAATATCAGATGATATTTTGTTTATTAATTGCAGTATAATTTGGAAATGAAAATTAATCTGAAAATCCATCCATTTATATTTATATATGGTTTTTGAATATAATTTCTCAGCTTTTGTATGGTTCTATAGTTACAGTCACAAAACCTACATAACGTCAACCCATGTCCATATCTAAAACTTTTTCATTTCTTCGTACCAAATGTTCTCCGAGTTAGCCTGAGCACAAATCTGAGGCTGTAAAGTGTGATTTTTTTTATCAATTCATAAATGTATCAAATACATATTTGGGTCATTCTACAGAAACGTCCACTTTTGTTTATCTCTCCATCCCTGGTGTTACCGATCTTCATTGGTGTTACACATAATAAAGGAACACCAGAGACATTTTTAATGAAAAATGCATTTTACTAAACGGCTGCTACAGAGCATCAAACCACATGTCAATCATGGAATATCCACTAAAATATGGAATTTAATCCATTTCTATTCTATTTTTTCACAATTACCTCAGAATAAAGTCGGTCACACCAGTGACTTCAGCTAAAAGCTTCATATGAAATCATGAGCTGAATGAGAAAATCTCTGATAACTGAAAGACACAGTGGACTCACCATGTGCTTTTCGTCATAGATCCTCAGAAAACAGGTAAAAGGAAGTCAAGTGATGTCATCAGTGTGACTTTTATTTCAAAATAAGAGATTTTTTTGTTACGCGGTAACACCAGTGACACGACTCCTGGAGAACTTTAATTATATATTTTATAATATTTATTTGCCATTTGTTTTCTTTATGTCATGTAAATCATATATTTCATAGTCATGTATAGATTATAGCAGATAAAATGGCAGAAAAACAAGTTTTTTTACCTCAAAATATGGCCTCAGCCTTTACACATGACTGAGGACGAGCTCCACTGTGGTGCTTGGAATTCTATACAATTTATTTAAAAACCAATATTGCTAAATTGATGGATCAAGAAGGTGAAATATGAATAAAAGTATGTAAACTACAATTAATACAAAAATGGATCCTGTTATATGTTCATTCATTACTTTGTCAATCAGAACAGGTCCGGTGGCATTTGTCATTGTTCTACTAAAGGACTAGCTGGACATGAACGGGTCCGAACACATCAGCAACAACAGACTGAAAGAAATCACACACCAGACAGTCCGAGTCTTTGGGTCCGGAACATCCTGCGGCGCACTGGACATGACAGCAGTCACTGGCCTGAGAACCCTTACAGCGCGAACAGCCAGACGTACACTGGACGTGGGTCACTGCACACACACACACAATCACAGTCATGACTAAATCTGACTGACTGTCTGAACTGTAACTTGTTCTGTCTGTTTTGTAAAAATGACAGTAGCTGAAAACACAAGCGCTGCTCACGTGTTTGGCAGTCGTCCTCAGTTTGTCCCCAGCATCCTCTGGAGCGACAGGCTGCTGGACAAGGTCGACCTGAAGCAGCGACAAAAACATCACACTGCAGAACGAGCTATACACACATTAAGCCTCAGAGGCTGCAGTTACTGCTTCCTGTAACAAATTTATTATTTTATATGACTCATTTCTCACTCGTAGCTCATTAAAACAAGCTGAGTAAATCAGCTGAAACTGCAGGAATCCATACCACATTTATGTTTGTAAGCAGAAAAGGAGATATTTCATTATGATTTAAATTTATAGTGAAGTTATTGTTCTGTACAGTCCTGTTTTGAGAAAAGGAAAAAAAAATCCATTTTTGACATCAAAACAATGCAAAAAGTCGTAAGTGCAGACTCAAAACTTTCTATACTGAATATGAACTGAACATCTATCATTTATACATGTTTTACATGATATTAATATGGACTACTATGTCATTTTACCAAGATACATTTTTTTCAAATTAAAAGTCCTCATTTTTATTTAGAAAAAGTATATTATTTTCAGTAAAACGCCTCATTACTGGACAGCCTAAATAAAAGTGACCTTGACATAGACAGTAAATTACTCATAAATATGCTTAGGAACAATCATTCGACTGAACCTTAGTGTGATGGTGTGCATAAGTGTCAAAGCACTTAATGACCAAAGGGGTAAAGCGAGGTCATTTTTATTTCGGCTGTCCAGAAATGAGGCGTTTCACTGAAAATAATATAGATTTCCAAAATAAAAAATGAGAACTTTTATTTTGAAAACTGTCTCACAGTAAAATGGCATAGTAGTCCATATTAATATCATGTAAAACGTGTATGCTTTATGAATGTTGATTTAAACATTCATGAACATGTTATGAAGTGTTTATATAAGACGTTATGAACATGTTATGTAGACACCCTTTAAGTAAAGTGTTACCGAGGTTTTTGAGTAAAATAACGTTGGACCGAACCCCTGTTTCAATATCAGGTTTAGTAAGCCGTCGTCCACCTCACCTCACCATTTCCCCTCTCGGGATCCCAACACCTTCATAACGGCCGTCCCATTAGTGTACTACCTCAAATGATGAAACATGGTAATCAAAGCTGTTTATAAGCCAATTATCTACCAATTAAACATTTTAAAATACTGAATATTTCCAATCTATAACATTCAACTTGCTGTGCTTGCGGCTGCAAACGACTCCATCTGTCCTACACGACTGTTGACCCTTCATCACATTACTCAGCAGACTGAAGGCTACACAGGTAGTAACAACAAAGATAAAGGCACTACACTATGACTGTAAAACAAAGCTCACAGCCAATTATTCACAAAATGTATGTATATTATGTTCAAACTTCTCAAACAAACGTTGGCACCCGAGGCTAACTTAGCTGAGCGGCGAATGCATTCAGCTCGTATGATTTGCTCCTCGCTGTACCCCCCCCTGTCTTGTCCTGTGAATGACCACTTAAGTGGTGAACTGAAGTTAGAGAGCATGTTAAAACAGGACTGAACCGTGGCCCCTAGTCCACTGCTTTGACCCAGCTCGTCACGGTTGTACTTACAGTAAGGTGCTGCCGACTGCAGGCGTGTTAACTTGCCGTCTGTTTGTTGTTCACCCAGAACGTCCTTCCAGTTGATCTTCTGCGGGTCGGGGTAACAGAGCTGGGGGTTCCCCGAAATATATACGCCACCCAGCAAAATCTCTGAGACAGAGCGACATAGCAGCAGTTAGCGACGTACGCTTTAGTAATTCTTCAGTATAACCTGTATACATCGGAATGAAATACCATTCTTCAGGCCCCAAACACACAACAGCAGCACATCACGCAGGAGTACGTAGAGTGCAGATATACAACAGTGTGAAACAGTGCAAACACACACACACACACACACATATATATATGTGTGTGTGTGTGTGTGTGTGTGTGTGTGTGTGTGTATGTATATATATCACTGTTGTTGAAAGAAAGATACCTCGTATCTCCAAAATGGTAACTTTACAGGAGAAGGGAAAAATCTACTCTACTTTTAATGTAAGTCAATGGAACCAGACTTCTTTCCAAGTCATTTTGGGTTGTTTCTTTTGGTCCATTCATCATGAAATTAACAAACAATGTAAAGGACAACAGGCATTTTCAAATTATGTCAAAAACTAAAAAATTGCAAAAGTGGAGATATGAGGTATAGATTTGAAAGAGAAAATCATTAAATTAAAAAAATCAAAGTAGAAATTAAATTAGGATATTTAAAAATATAATTTAAATTTCAATTAGCACAATAAACTGCGCGCACACACACACACACACACACACACACACACACACACACACACATACACATTATATATATATATATAAGCTTTTTAAAGTGCATGAGGTAGGTGGGTGTGTATGGTAAATGGATCAGTCTATAGCGGACATTAGAAAGCCACACACATATTCAATACTGATTTAAAGACAGATGTTAAAGTTGAGTCTGGGTGTCAAGCTCATGTTGACGGCAGCACCACATTCCGGTTTCAAGGCATTTGAAATGACGGACCGTTTTCATATGCATAGGTCTTCACCTGTGAGGCTCCTGAGCTGGAGCTCCTTGACGCCGGTGTTTTCCAGAACAGCCAGCGCGTAGCTGGAGTTGTACAGCTGGCTGCCTCTGATGATGCGCAGGTTCTTCAGGGGTATCACAGACACGGAGACGCGGGCAATCAGCACATAGCCCTGAACCTCCACTATACCCTGCAGAGCCAGAGAGATTCTCCATATTTTGCATTTGTCTTGCATTTTTAATTCCATTCACAAAAACAGTTCATTCAAAACGGGCTGCAGCTTAGTTTCCACAAACGGCACGTTCTGAAACAATGTTTACAAAGGCCGCTTTTCCACTATGGAGGCAAATGGTTCTCAGGGCCGTTCTGGGCCAGTCTCTCTCTCGGCATAACCTCAGATTCTTTTTCCTCTAAATGGGTGTTATTTGATCATCTGTTACTGAAACAGCCTGTACTGTGGTGGGTTCACCTGCAGCCAGATAACAAGCTGCATTAGCATTAGCGTTGCCTGTAGGGGTACAACTCAAAACACCACAGAACAAGTCTATTTCTAAATTTCTGTCACTTCAACATTGGTCATTCGAATTTGTGCTCTCAGATACGAGTCTTTATCCTCTAAACAGGTGTTTTTAATCATCAGTTCTCTAGAACCGAGCCCGTTCTGCAGTGGTAGGACCCTGCACTCGCGTTAGCTTAGCCTAGCAGGCTACAGCTTAAAGCTCTAACAGTACAGGTCTGATTTCAGCTCTCTGTCACTCCAACACCGATCAGTCGACTTTGCTCTCGCTGTTATACGTTTTTTATCACCTATACTTGTGACAGCAGAGCAGGTATTTGAATCGAACCTGCACTGAGGTGTTTGGATCTCTTTAGCTAAGTTAGCTAGGAGAGAGGAGCCGGCTAGCATTAGCTTAGCTAGGAGACACCACAGAAGAGGTTAATTTCAGCTTTCTGTCCCTCTAATATCAGCTGCTTGACTTCAGTTCGTCAAATATGAGTCGTTATCATCTAAATTTGTGTCAGTAAAGCTTTTGTTAGTCAGAACTGAACCTGTTCTGTGGCGAGCGGAGCTGGCAGCATGCTAGCTAAGCTAACGCTAAACAATCACGCTCTCCTGGTTATCAGCGCTGTTTAATATTTAGAAATTAGTGTTAGAACTTATTTGATTGTCTCTGGGTTTGAAATAGCGCAGCAGGATGCGGCGGCACAATAACGACATGAACACAGAACCAAGCAGTGAACAGCTACATCATCATTTCATCCCACAAACGGTTCTGTGGCCCCGAGTACAGGTAGCTAACCGTGCCGAAAAAGCCAGGCTGAGCCCGGTTTTTTAAGAGTTCCGTGTCGAACCGTGTCCGTGTGGAAACGCCACTGGAACGGTTACCCTCCGTGCTCAGAACCGTTCAGCCCTGCAGTGGAAAAGAGGCCAATATCTACTACACCAAACTGTTGTATTGCAAAAAAACATGGGAAATTTGGCTTTTCACAGCTCTTCCAGGTCCATTTGTTGTCAGAGGCAGTAACGGTGGAGGACGTTGAGACGACAACACAGTGAAATCCTCTTAAAATACCTACAATCACAGCCACACTGACCTGCAGGAAGGAAAGGTCCGGCGTCCCTTGTAAGTGTGTGATTTCCAGGTTGCCGTGGACGACCTGGCAGCCGGTGTAAAGGAGTCGGAGCATTTCATAGTGGTTCTCCAGACTGGAGGGCAAGGCCAGCTTCATATCCGTCCCCAGACACACTGCAGAACACACAAACAATAATCATCAGAACGAGTGAGCAACTATATGTCGCTGCTGACGGAACAAAACCTCCTATCTCCAAAATGGTGACTTTACAGGAGAAGGAAAAAACATACTTTACTTTTAATGGAAGTCAATGGAACCAGACGTCTTTTCACGTCATTTTGGGCCGTTTCTTTTGGTCCATTCATCATGAAATTTACACACAGTGTAAAGAGCAACAGGCATTTTCAGATTATGTCAAAAAGTGAAAAACGACAAAAATGGAGATACGAGGTTTTGTTCCGACAGCAGCGATATATTTGTGTAATAAACTTTTTTTATATCTTTGGAACTTTTTGGACATTGTTAGTACAAACACATGCATTCGTTACAACGAAACAACGAAATCATTATACTTTTATAATTTAAAAGCATAAATAAAACAGCAAAATACATATAAAATAACTCTCTTTCGGTTTCTGGTTTGTCCTGAATTTCGCTTTAGGTTTTGGCTGAGGATTTTCATTTTGGTGCATCACTAATAGTAACACAGCTACTGCTTCACACCCTCCGGCATGACATCCAGAGACTGTTTGAACTGCACTGAATCAGCATTGAAATTGTACTGACAAATTCTTCATTTCGGCCACAAGACTCTCCGGCCTGCTGGACTGAGTGGCTGGAGTAAATGTTAGATCTGTCTAACAGCTTTAAGCAACATAATCACCCCACACACTGTGGGGAAACTGCTCCAGTGCAGGGAGGCAGGAGTCGGGACTTATCAAGCAGACGTTTCAGACCCTCTTACAGCCCTGAGACCACAATGCACAAGAAGATACGACGCCACTCTTATCATGAGAGTGTGTGGGTGGGTTTTTGTGCACGTATGCATGCTTGTCCTTCCTAAGAGCCGTGAACTGATTATCGTCAGAAGGAGGCTGAGAGCCAGACCTGCCTCTGTCTGTGCTCCTTTAGTACCACCCCATATTCACCATGGACATGAATGACCTGTTTTAGGGCCATTTTGCTGGAGGAGACTGAAACAGCTTAGCAGTTTAAGCCTAATATTGCCCAGTATCGAAACATCAATAGTGGCTCTAAAGTGGCTCTGAAGTTCTAGATCTTCTGTACATTTGCACAGCATTTGAAATTTCTATTATATATCATAAATAACAATAATAATAATAATTAATACACACTATTAAATATTAAGTCTGACATTTTACCCAGGAAAGTGTCATGACAATCTAACGCCACCTGTCATAGAACGTCAACTTGACATTAAATGCAGCCTTTATGACAGATGATGTCTACTGGAATAAGTGTTTATAAATGTTCATGCAGGTTTATGTCAGTTGTCATAAAGTTGTCACGTAGGTGCCAAGTAGCCTTATGAACGCTGCCACACAGTAAAACAAATCCAGCTCGAGCAGGGTTTTAGAACTGTGAACCTTAGGGCTGGGCAATATGACAACATTTTATCGTTATCGTGATAAATAATGTCACAATACGCTTTTCTGAAAGTATCGTGGACATCATCATTACACTGACTAACTACACGTTTCACTGCAAAGTGAGCATAATTAGGCCTGTTTAACTGGATTTAGTGCAGTGAAGTTTGTAGGAGACTGAATAAAAATCTATGTATTTGTAGGTTTATTATTATTATTATTATTATTACTGTATATGTGGCAGGTTCAATTTTGTCTGTTCTAACTTGTCAAATTTCAGAAAAACTAAATATCGTGACACATATTGTGTATCGTGAAAACGTATTCTGATATATATTTTTTGGCCATATCGCCCACCCCTAGCGAACATACCAAAGGCAGGGCTGGGTGATATGACACTATGTATCATTATTGAGATACATTTTGTCAAAAAACAGTACAAAATGCTTTTCTGAGCGTCTTGTGGACCTCGTCAGTACTTGTAGACACTGACCAACTGCATGTTTTATTATAAAGAGAGCAAAATTAGAATTTAGTGCAGCACAGTATACCAAATATTAAATAAAAATCACTGTGTTCAGTTTTTTATTTTATTTTTTTTTAATGTAGCTCCACTGGGTTTATGTTCTCTATGTTCCAACTAATCAGATATCTGAAAAAATAAATATTGTGACATACTGTTTCTTGTGAAAATTACTTGGAAGTATTGCAAGATTATATTTTTGCCACCTTTAATCGCCCACCTTTAATCAAAAGTAATGTCCTTCTGAGGGATTTAGACCTGCCCTACCAAACTCATTAAAGAAGACACACGATCTATTAATTAACTTCTAACGAGGCACACAGAGTAATCAAGATGTTATAATGACTACCATTCAACATTTTCCAGCTCTAAAGTTGAAAACTACTTCTTGGGTGTTTTTTTAATGAAATTGTTTTGGAAATAAATGCATTGATAAGCATTAATTCCACTTTATTTGCATTAGGAACAAATTGCCAGCATTTAAGTTCTTATATCTAATTATTATTAGTTATTAGATCAGATCCACGTTTATGAAGGACACCCACTCAGGACAAGCGTCTGGTTTTCGTGCATCAGCTTCACTAAAATGAAAGTGCAGCATTTGAATTTTTACCAAGTTCTTAGAGAAGTTTAACATTGTCTTGTGAGCGTTGGACCAGCTGTCTGAGAGAAAAGAAAAAGTGTCTGTGCTCCCTCCTGTCCACACTTCCTGTCCAATATCCACCCCCCACCCCTCCTTTCTGTCCTGCATGAATTCCCTCACAGGCCTATCTGTGAGTGTGTGTGAAGGGGCCGGCTGGTGGCCTTGAATAGAATCCAGCTTACTTCCTCTCTCGCTCTTTGTCTCTCTCTTTTTCTGTCCACCCCTCCATCTCATTTCACTCTCTCTTTCCATCCGTCTCTCTCTGAGACAAAGAAGCATTGGTATCGATATTACATAGGTTATACATGTGCAATCTGTATTATAAGTCAGTACCTACATATAACTGTAGTAATAACAATAATATTAATAACAATATTGTCCTATATGTCCTGTATATTATATACAGTGCTGTACATAAGTCAGAGACCACCCTTCACTTATTTCTAGTCGAAACAACCACTCAGTAAAAGTTTATTTGCTCCTGAAATTAATTTTATTTCTGAGAAGATTAGATATAAGATAATCCACTTCCATAATGAGGGAAAGTCAAAAGAATATAAGTGAAAAAACAGGAGTGTTGTGCTGGTACGAGTGGATCAGACACAGTGCTGCTGGAGCTCGATAGCTCATCTGCTGCTGCAGAGTTTGTGTTGGTCATCCTCCAGTCCTTCATCAGTGGTCACAGGACGCTGTTGGCTGGATATTTTTGGTTGGTGGACTATTCTCAGTCCAGCAGTGACACTGAGGTGTTTAAAAACTCCAGCAGCACTGCTGTGTCTGATCCACTCAGACCAGCGCAACACACACTAACACACCACCACCACGTCAGTGTTACTGCAGTGCTGAGAATGACCCACCACCCAAATAATACCGGGCTCTGTGGGGGTCCTGTGGGGGTCCTGACCACTGAAGAACAGGGTAACAAAGTATGCAGAGAAACAGATGGACTACAGTCTGTAACTGTAGAACTACAGAGTGCCCCTATATGGTCAGTGGAGCTGATGAAATGGACAGAGTAGAAACAAGTAGGCGTACCTAATAAAGTGCTCAGTATTTTTTCCCTGAAATTGTGTGAAAACACACACACATGCACACACACACACACAACCATACACACACACTCACACACACACACACACACACACACACACACACACACACACAACCATGCACACACACACACTCAGTTCGACTCTGGTACATTCCACATCTGATATGGAAAATAATTAGTACATTCACAGTCACTGCAGTTCTGTTCTCAAACACACGCGCACACACACACACACACACACACACACATACACACACACATACACACACACGTTTGTCTTGCTATACATATGAGGACGTCCATAGGTTTCTACTGATTTTTGTGTTACTGTAGCTAAATAATACTACACCTAAACCTAAACCTAACCTTAACCGTAACCTCAGCACGCAAAAGGCCATTTCTCTGCTCTTTTAGTTTTCCAAAAAAAGATATTGTGGTGAAAACAACACATGCTCAAGTAAGGACCAGCAAAATATCCTCACCTGAGCAAAAATTTCATTTAGTCCTATCATAGCGAGGACATGGGGTCCTCACAAGTATAGCAATGCAAGAACAGACACACACACACACACACACACACACAGCTTGTTACTAAAACTTTATTATGTCTAGTTCGCTGAATCTGCAACAGAGAGTAAAAGTCTGAGAGAGAACTCAGGACCAGCAGCTGAACCAGCAGCTCCAATCAGACTCATCTTTAACCCTTATGAGTCTTAGGTTAGTGTTGTTTCGCCATAAATTCAGCATGTGTCCAGTAACGGCTAACCAAGTTACTACAGCAACAGCCCCCAGTGATGGTAAAAATACACTGACCACCTGTTTAAACCTGTCATTCATTTATCAGTTTAATTCACGCAAATCACAGCAAGACACTAGTTTTCCCACACAAACTTAAATGGAGATTTTGGGAATATTTTACCCAATTTTCTCCTCAATTTACTCTCTGCCAGCTCCACCCATTAGCTCAGTCTCCCCCTTTCACACAAATCTGCCAGGCTGGGAGGGTGAAGGCTGGCATGTGCTCCCACCAAGAGAAGTGAAGAACCACTGCATGATTCAGAACTGCTGAGAGTCACCGAACAGCTCAACACGCTTGGAGGAGAACACTAACTGCCAGTTCTGTTATCGGCTAACAGACGTCCACAGGAGTGATGGGGAGAGGGAGGACCATCATACCCACCCAGAGAGAGAGAGAACAATCATGCTCTCCTGGACCTCACTGCATCTCACTGCAGAAAATCCCATTTTGTCAGTAATCCGATTAACACGTTTACATGCGCTTGAGTAATCAGATAATGGGAAAACTCCAGGTCGACATGAGTCAGACAGTAATCAGATTCCTGCTTTAC